TATGAATCCCCCTTTGCGGTTTAGAGAAGTAGTTACTCACTAAACTTTAGAGGGAGAATAATGTAACGAATGATGTAACGAGTAATGAGTCATGTGATATTAAATCTGTGACTTCCGTTCAAACACATGCATTATGCTTAGTGCTTCTGAAATGATCAGTCTTTAAGTATCTAAATGGAGTGAAGTCTATTTATCTTGTCTCTCTACTTGCCGAACCTAAACGCAACCGTTACACTGGCTTTGCTCGCATGGGCCCGGATCATCTAAAGATAGTTTTATTGCTTCAAAGTGCCTCAAAATCGTCGCCTGAGTCAGAAGCCCTTTTTTACTTCAGCTTGGCTTTTCGAAAGTTCCCAAGTATGTTCTTGGAAACAAGTATCACTCTGAGGATAGAATCCTCGTTGATCCAAACCATGATCTATCTACTAGGAAGCCCAACTGAAGTATCAAACTACCTTGAAAATCATAGCGATTTAGATTGCATGCAGAATATAAACCCTTGGGTTTTTGTTGCATGGCAGCAAAAGATTGAGATCTATGATTCCTTTTTGTCTTTCGGACTTCTGCACTAAAAATTTAGATTTTCTTTAATTTTTATAAAACCCATGGCAAACTTCGCTTAATCCTTGCCCGGCTTGTCCATTCTCAATCAGTTGCAATGGTGGCTCGTGTATTGGGGTTAGTGAGGCTCAGCCATATCAAAGATTTCCAAAATTAAATTTTAGATTTATAAACGTAATTAAAAAATTCAATGTCCATTATCAATTTAGCACCGTTCCCTAATTTCGTTGCTTCGAGTTTCACTGTTTGTCCAGTCTCTAGTTTTTTTAGCTCCCACTACCCGCGGTTCTTCTGAAAACTAGAGAAACACGCGTATCAGAAACCATCTCCTTAGCTTTTGGGGCTAGCCCCAAACTAGCAGAGAATGCACCAATCAAGTGCCTCTTAAGACTCGACTATTCAATTGATGATTGCCTTCTGATTGGCCAATTCTGCTCAAATCTGCATTCCTTTGGGGCTAGTGGAAACCGAGGTGAAAAAAAGCCCCAAGTAGTTCAATTCAACGGTAGCTGAATTGCTGTTGTTGTGATAGACAGTGTTGATCTAGAAGTGGAACGCAGCAAAGTGGCGTGTTTTCGATGACTCGCATTTTCAGCTTCAAAGCTTTCAAATAAAGCATACAAGTTAGGTCTTTACCAGAATTACCTTTGCCGATCCTGAAATAAGCTCAAAATGGGAAGGTTATGCCGTATGCGCTCTATTAGCATAAATAATATTTCCAATGCAGGCTTTCAACTTTAAAAAATTAAACTTCACAGCATATGAAAATTAATCAATTAACAGTTTGAACATTTTGTGTGGCAATTAATAGTGGCACTTGTTTTTCTCAATCAAAACTTTCAAAATGATGACAGCCTTGTTGATTAGAGATAGTAAAGAATGGGAAGGCTCTTCATCAGAGACAACGCTATCGTATCCACTTGCACCCACTCAGCTGTTAGGGCTTAATTGTATGAAACTTGATCAAGTGACCAACGTTAGCTTCGATGAACCATCATGTGCGGATAAATTGAACAGGTACACAGGGGCGGCGCCAAGAAATTCAAAGTGAGGGAGCTCGAGTTGATAACATTCTTAGACTAAATAACCAACTCTTGAAAAATTCACTGAAATGCTTCACGATATTTTATGCCTATGATTTTATGAGGCACTCTTTGTGCTATCGGCACTTTTTTGCAAACATTTTGCTACTTTTAAGGCATGGTTTTTACGTTTGATTAACTCCAGTCTCAAAATGGAAGTCGTTACTTTATGGGGCACCACACACCCAGGCCAATTCCTTTGAAATAAAGCAATATTATAAAAGAATTTATCGCACTATTCTTTTCTTCTATTTCTATTTTTTTCTATTCTTTTTATTCTCTCAAAATTATGTTTTTGCAAAAAGTGGGATTGTGACTGTCTTTGACAAATACAAGGACAACAGCATATAAAGATGGTGAAAGAGGTGAGAGAGGTGAAATTATATATACGTCTTAACAAGTCCTGACATTAAGGTGCTATATGACTTCAACAGCTTCCATATCAACGAAGAAGGGAAAGAAATATTGTTTAATCAACTCTTTAGCCGGACAGTGATCATTTCAAACAACTGGGCCAGTGACCACCAGCATTCTAAAGTTGTTCTTGTCCAATAAATTGGGTGGAACCAAGATTTTCATAGATAAAATGGTACTGGAAAACAAAGGAATATATTGGACATGGTACCATGAGGCCTAGAAAAAGTAAGCATTACTTGGCCTGCACACTTTTTCTTGTTACAACATCCTAAGTTAATCTTCTCCGATACAAGTTGTTTGTGGAGAAGTTCGAAAGACAAAAAGAGATCATAGATCTCAGTCTTCTGCCGCCATGTAAAGAAAACATGAGGCTTCTCCACAAACAATTCTGCTTGGAAACTCTGTCGCTATAATTTTAAGACTAGCTGGTGGTTTGATGTTTGAGTCAGGCTTCCTAGTAGATATAATATGATTGGGATTAATGAGGATTCGTTCGTCAGATTGATACTTGTCACAAAGAACATATCTGGGAGCTTTCACTAAAACAAATAAGTTGGGATTAATTAGCAATTAATGCCACAGTTCCTATGGATGACAATTCAAAAATTAGTTCCATCAGAACATGTATTAAACTTTTTAGATGTCCATTCTAGGATAAAAATTAAATTCGCAATATCATATACGCAAAAACGAGACTTAAAACACAAAAATGGGCTGATGGCCTCCCAAAATTTTTGAAATTTTTGAAAGTGCATTGAAAGTGCATTGAATGTGCACTGAAAGTGCATTTAAAGTGAATTGGAAGTGCATTGGAAGTGCATTGGAAGTGCAATGAAAGTACATTGGAAGTGCATTGGAAGTGCAATGGAAATGCATTGAAAGTGCATTGAAAGTGCATTGGAAGTGCAATGGAAATGCATTGGAAGTGCATTGGTAGTGCATTGAAAGCGCAATGAGAGTGCATTGAAAGTGCATTGGAAGTGCATTGTAAGTGCAATGAGAGTGCATTGAAAGTGCATTGAAAGTGCAATGGAAATGCATTGAAAGTGCATTGAAAGTGCATTGGAAGTGCAATGGAAATGCATTGGAAATGCATTGGAAGTGCATTGAAAGTGCAATGAGAGTGCATTAAAAGTGCATTGGAAGTGCATTGTAAGTGCAATGAGAGTGCATTGAAAGTGCATTGGAAGTGCAATGAGAGCGCATTGAAAGTGCATTGAAGGTGCATTGGAAGTGCAATGAAAGTGCATTGGAAGTGCAATGGAAGTGCAATGAGAGTGCATTGGAAGTGCAATGAGAGTGCATTGAAAGTGCATTGGAAGTGCAATGGAAATGCATTGGAAGTGCAATGGAAATGCATTGAAAGTGCATTGGAAGTGCAATGAAAGTGCATTGTAAGTGCATTGGAAGTGCATTGAAAGTGCATTGGAAGTGCATTGGAAGTGCAATGGAAATGCATTTAAAGTGCATTGGAAGTGCAATGGAAAGCATTGGAAGTGCATTGGAAGTGCATTGGAAGTTCATTGGAAGTGCATTGGAAGTGCATTGGAAGTGCATTGGAAATGCATTGAAAGTGCATTTAAAATGGATTGAATGTGCATTGAAGGGCATTAAAGGTGCATTTAGGGTGCATTTAGAGTTAATTACAGGTCATAGACGGTGCTAGAGGGAGGGCTGCGGGGCGTCAACCCCCTCACTCTTTTGCGCAAACGTATCTAAATACATTCGCCAGTGGCTTGATCTTCCCATAAGTGCTACTTTAACTAGTATAGTTCTTTCTGAAAATCAATTTGGTCTCGATCTTCAATGCCAAACTGTTTCACGCAATACCCTCCGAACTTCTCCTAACACAAACATTCAAGCTTTATGGAAAAACACCAGTAGTGGGATGAATCTGCAATACGACATTTACCGTAACACCAAAGATGTACTGAAAGCAGTAAAAGCAGACAGTAGAGAGTGCTTGGCACACCAATTACTATCCCAGGGTGCTATTATTTCATTTCTGTTGGACCACTCTCTTAAAAAGCTCAATGGTGTTTGGTCTGTTGTGCAGAGCAACCTATCCACGAACATGTTCAACTTTACCATCAAATACCTGAACAATACTTTCCCTACGCGCAAAAATCTAAGCCTTTGGAACCTAAGCCAATCATCTGATTGCGAATTCTGCCTTCTTCCCGAAACTTTACTCCATGTCGTTGCAGGCTGCAAAGTTTATCTCGAACAAGGTCGTTATACCTGGCGTCATAATTCTGCTCTAAATGTTCTTGCAACCTCCTTGAAAGCAATAGAGGGATCCTCTCTTTTTGCCGATATACCTTGCTTCTCCTCACCATCCATCATAACAGGAGACAATCTGCCCCCAGATCTACTTCCGCATACAAAGGAAAACATTCTTTATGTTTTGGAACTAACGATAGGATTTGAAACTAACCTTAACTGCAATGCAGAAAGGAAACGTTTAAAATATTCTCGCCTTGTCTCAGATCTAAGACCAAGATTCAAATCTGTCGTATTTGTAAATCTCTCCATCAGCTCTCTTGGCTGGCATCTTCAGCTACTCATGCGGATCATTCCTTGAAATGTGTGACTCTCTTTCCATTGATGATCAACACAAACGATATCTCATTTCTAAGCTTTCTATGATATCCATTCATACCACCTAATACATTTTTTGCTGTAGGAACAAAACATGGACTAACCCAGAGCTACTCCCCTTTTAACGTTTTTTTTGTTTTTTTCTCTTTACTACGATTGTAATAGTCTGATTTTGTAAAAACAGGCTAGCCAATTACAAATTACCTTGTAATAGTGAGATTTGTAATTGTAGTTTTAACTGGAATTCAAAATGAAAAGTTTTCATTATTATTATTATTATTATTATTATTATTATTATCCATTTTTGCAATAACAAGAACGAGGAAGTACACCTGACCGAGGCTTGTCTTGTGACACATTTCTGACAGCTTCCAAAACTTTCATGAATGGAAGAAAATTGAAAATATAATACTGTTACTGAGAGAAGGATTAGCAAATTTTGTCGCTTCGGCTTGGTCCCTGTTATGCTTGTGTTGTGTATGTGACTGACAAAGAACTTTGACATAGTGGTTTTACCGTTCGTTTCACGATCAGGTGGGCTAGGCCCTCACCATACATTGAACAACATGTCAGTAAGAGAGAGGGCTCGCAGATCGCTACAAAAATAGGAATGTAGAAGTTAAGAATTGGCAGATGCAGTTGACGCTTTAAAATGGAAGACCGTGCAGATGCAGCTGAGCTAGTGAAATGTTTGGAATCGGGAGACTTAGAAGTGGTTGCGAAATTTACTCAGGTTATCCATGAAAACCTGTATGCTGCGAAGGATTCCACTCTGTTGAATTCACTTGTTGATTGTTATGTTGGTTCGAAGTCAGAAAATCTTCTGTCTATTATTGTTGGAATAAATGAATCGCACTGTCAAGTAAGTGATATTTTGCTTGCATTGCCCATAGGCCGAGCCATGGACGAAACTATTAAGCGTAGTATTTCGTAATTGTTAATTTTTGCTATTCTTTGGTTCTATTTTTCGTTTTGCTGTTTGAAATAAATGTTGAGCTATGTAGATTATTACAGAAATGAAAAATTGGCCAAAACAATGTTCTTGATATTGTTTGCTAAAGTTTATATTTAAGGGCCAATAAATGTAGTATTTCTTCAGGGTTTTCATTCATTATTTTGCCCTACATATATTTTTTGACATGTAAAATGTGTTTTCTTGGAACACCATTCATGATGCGATTGTTCGTTCCAGTATCTTTTTGAAAAGATGAATGACCTGCTAAGGCGTGGAATGCAAACAGAGATAAGTTTACTCTTTGCTGCCATAATCAGAAAACAGGTATTGAATTTTTATGGTTTTATTTGTATATTAATTTTAGATATTGTTGGTTTCTTGTTTCGAGCTTTTAGCAACCTTCAAAGCCCACAGCACTTTATTGGAGTGTTGTAAATAGTTCTAAGGCAAACTGTATTGTTTGTTTATTGCAGTCTAAAATTAAACTGAATAGTATGACTCCTTTACTTCCTGTGGTGAATTGCAAGTTTGAAGTCAGACATCTTCTATATCTGAATGGAAAATATTTGTACCTTTATATACTTTGAGATTCTTTGTTGTAACCAAATCTTCCCTTTTCTCTTTTTTTCCATCAAATTTTTTTTCTGCTGCAGCCATCCTGGCTCTATAAAGTTGTTGGTTGTCAATTCTTCACCAATTATCTCAAGACATTACGGGTGAGTTTATCTTTGTCAATTTTGTGTTTACTAGTAGCTTTCCATGCTTGTTACCAGTGTGAATGTAAAAGTTTGCAAGCAGGCCTTCCTGGGAATAAATTAGTACAAGTGTGGCATTTTGCACCCTTAGACTGTTACAGGAGTGTGATGGAGTGCTATCAGTGTTTTGTCTCATTTCTACAAAAGTTTAGTTACATAGTAAATGGAACCATAAAAAAGGTGAGCTTGTTGATATTGCCGTGGATCTAAGTCTAAATCAATGCAGAATATATTTTAGACACAGTTTCAGGCAACCCCTCTTGCTGCCAACTGCGGTGACAGCCTTCATGAAAATATTATTTGGCCCTCACTTTCAACTGTGTTTCATCAAAAAAGATATGAAAAAAAATTGAATTTGGGGCAGTTTCAAACAGCTTGTATTCTTGAAACAGAACAATTTTATGGTAGATCTCCCTCTCTTTTAATCCAGAGTGATTGTTCTGTTCTCAAGTTCTGTGCCTTGAACATTTCATTCCTTTAACACATCCTATTTTCTGCAAATTATTTTTATTTTTTTCAAGTTACAAAGGCTTTGAAAATGAAATATTTTAATGGCTTGCTTTTTTGTTTCCATATGAAAACAATACAACATTAAATCATTTGTGGCACATGAAAAGAAATACGGCACATCTTCATGGGACTAATATACAATACTACATAACCCCTTATGGGGATGGTTGTTTAGCATGGCATGGTGCACTGCTCATATTTTACCCAGCTGGCGACTGGAACTGGACACTGAAATTACTGGCCTAAAACCTATGACATGCAAAGCAAACTTTCCAGCATGGGCTATTGGGAAATGCTTTGACTGAAATAGCTACAGCTTCTTAGCATGATGGGTGTCTGATGATCTTGTGACAATATTTTGCACACAACTTGCACCAAACCTTTGTTACATATTCATTATTGCAGTATAGCCTTATGTCATCTTTGCCCCATTTCAGGAATACGAAGAGCTCCTTTGTGACCCCTTTACTTCTCTTTACTAAAGACCCAGTGACCCGGTACAGTGGACCAGACTGGTGAAACACAAAGAACACATAACAATTGCTTGTTTTTAGCACCTTATTAGTTTCCCTCAGTGGGACAGTGTGTACCAATATGTGTTTCTGTATATTTTTCAATGCCTTTCCAGGTAGGCCTGGCAAGGAAATTTTGTCTTGGAAGAAAGAAATATATATTAAAGAATTCATAAGCAACCATGTTCTCGTCTATTTTTAATTCTTAAGTTTATCTAATTTTGACAGTTTTTGTCATGTTTTTTTTGCAGGGTGATCAGGATGTTGTTTTCCTTATGAGTGGAGCAGTGATCATTAGCATGTTGTTACCCTGTGTTCCTTCACTTGTTGCACAATATCTAGGTGATATTTTGGATATATTTGTCAAAATGGCATCATTTTTAGTCCACAAGCCAGGTAAATAGCTTTGTACAAATACCTACTTAAGTGATTTGATTACTTTTGCAAGGCTTTACCTTTTCTTTAGAATGAAATTTGTTTTTTATTAAATTTGAATTATGGCTGTAAAGTGCTCACATATATCCAAAGAAAAAATTGACATGTGCAGCCACTTGAGAATAGGCGCTTGACATATGCAAACCATCCTTGTAATATAATAATAGGCCATCTGCGTCATTTTGCATGTCTTGATTAGTTTGCATTTGTAGTGGCGTGCAATACAAACAACTTTTTATCTTCCATTTTTCATCCCAGTTATCAAGAAATATAAGGTGCTCCTTTAAAGCCAACCTTTTTTCCATAAGCTGGACAGAAGCCAAGGACATTTACAGCCAAACTGTTCTTCTTCTATTTTGAAGAAGTTAAATTTAGTTAGTTAATAAATTTCCATAAAGTAATCATAGAACTGTTTTGCAATCATTTGAAGATATCTGAATTGAAAAATGTGCATGTGCATTGTTTTGCATAACTTTGACAATTTGGGCATGTGTGGAGGTGTGCATGTGCAATGGTATGCCTCATATTACAAAGAAGGGATACTGTCAGACATTTCAGACAATGCGCAAAATGCTAAGTGCAGTGTACCAATTATTTTTGCAGATGGTGCGGGGGAAGCAGGAAATGCTAGGAAAATGTTTTTTGGGTCATGCTTTGATCTTCAGTTTTGGGAAGCCATAGGGTAGCATAAGTTTGCTAACTAATTTTAATGTAGTATTTGTAGGACCATTTCCACTGGCTCCCCTTTGGCACAGCCTTTGAGCTACTTTCTTTTGATATCTGTTTTATCATGTTTCAGCTGCCTTGCCTGACATACTTATTTTGCATCTACAAATTGGTGTCTATATTCTGTTTCATCGACTGTATGCTATGTACCCAAACAATTTTTTATCATATATGCGCTCATACTATGGCTCAAAAGGCAATGATCCCGTCTTTCGTCAAGTTATTCAGGTATGATTTCATAAAGTTATAAAGTTTAATTTGAGATATGTGTTCATGAATGTATTTGTCTATGAAATTGTATCTGAAATGTGTATGAAATGAAAATCATGTATTAAAAGTAAACTGTAAAAACCAGGCACTTGACAGTTCTCAGACATGTTACCCATGTTGCCTGTCTACCCAAGGGTCGGTAAACAGGCTAGTTCATGCAGGTAAACAGGTTTTTTGCATTAGATTCTACCATAAGTAATTCTAGCATTATGATTTTCTAAGATTCAGCTTTCCCTCAAAATTTATGCATTGCTTAAATCGGATCAGTTAAATTTTTATAGAATTTTTTTAAAAATTTGGCAGGCAGGTGTTTTTTGATGAAGTGTTTTTTCAAAGTAGAAAAAACTCTTTATGAATTATCATATCTAATAAAGAATAGATATAACAGACATTTCATACCTTTAAATCAAACAAAGATTTCCTTCTTCTGATTGCCATGTAAAATATTAACCAGGTTTGTTTCCTTCTTGGCATTAAGATGGCAAGTTGTTATGGTATGCTTGGGGTCAACCTGCAACAAAAGACTGAATGTGTCAATTTTTCTAAACATTCTTACTGGTCCTCAGATTATGATCAAAAGTATTAACAGAACAATGAAACTTCTTCAATCTCCATAAAGTTTCTCTTTAACCAGTAATATTGCCTGGTCTTTAAATCATGTTGTTGAGGATTGCTAGTTTGTTCTCCTGTGCTGATTTAACAATTATTCTACTGGATTTATTTCAAATAACTTGCTAACTGATTTGCCTTGGTGTTTTACAATTGAATAGGATTGTAAAAAGACACAATTAGCTTTTTAGCACATTGACCAGATTTGACAAAAAATTTCCACTTATTCTTTTGTTTTCATTCACAGCCTATGTCACAGTTTGTTAAACTCCACACTGGTCTGATATTAGACACATCAAAATCAGAAACAGAGAAGACAAAGTAAGTTTTTTTCATGTTCTATAAAGTAGGCTATTTGGTTTTTGGATTTGAGTACTATCCAGCATTGGCTTATTTTATATTATGATTCAGTAAATTGTATAACATATCTGTAGCAAGAGGTATTGGAGGCAGATCACCCTAATTTGAGCAGAGCGCTTTCCATATTGATGATAAAATTCCCTGTTTCTCAATGAAAATTATATCAAAAATTGACATGAGCAGACCTTTTTAGTGAAGAGACGAGTCACACAGAAAATACTCGATAGAGGTCTAATTCAACAGTCTGGCTATTTGAAGGTTCTAGCCTGACAGTATATCTTTTTCCTTCAGATGGAAAACAAGCCAACCGCACGACATATTTGCGGAGTGTCAGAAGATTTCTTTAGATCCTCTGGATGCTGTTAAAGAAGCTACATACACTGTACTGTCGGAGACGAGTTTTGGGATCCAAGGTCTTGCTGCTAGAAAGGAAGTAGTTGTAAGCACGGCTGTTACAAGTGTTGCTAATGATAATTTGTCTTCAGTAAACAGTGAATGCAAGATATCAGCTACTGAACCTTTACACCATGATGACAATGGTAAACCTCTTCATACTCATGATTCTACGTCATACCTTTCTAAACAAGAGCTCTCTTTATTTTGGAGCCCTTCTTATTCGTGTGGTTTGAGCACTCCACCCTCCTCGCGTACTCTTTCGCCAGCAAACAGCGCTCAAGATATTACTTCTCTGAATGAATTTTGTCAGCGGCCAATGACGCCCTCTGCAGACGTTGAAAGAGAGGGGGCCAATGAGCCACAGGAAAACCGTACATCACCTGCAGATACTGCTCGTAGAAGGTCTGGGGGTGAGTTGAAAAAATCTCACCAAAAGAGTCACAAATCTCCAAAACTTAGTGTTAAATCGAAAAGTGAGGAAAGTATGGAGAATAGAGGTAGTAAAAAAAGCCGTGAAGACAGTAAAGTTGAACTGAGTCCTGAGTTGATGAAATATAATGTTGATCGATCGAGGACGTCGCCCAGTAAAAAGAAACTTGATCAGATACAAGGTCATCTTGGAAACATAAAGACGAAATTAAGCCCAAAACTTTCTCGATCGGATAAAATGGTAACCAAGCAAACGCAGTCTGCTCCATCGACACCAGGATTGGCACAGAAAGACAGCTTTACTTTCCAACCAGTACAGGATCATGTATATTTACAAAACGAAACGCTCACCCCAGATTACCACAATAGAAGCCTACCCCAATCTGGAACTGCATTCACTCCTTATCAGAGTGACAAGAGACCAATGCCTGGCTCCCACAACGTGTCACGGTCGGAATCCCCTGTTAATAAGTCCAATGCAAGCATTTCGCTATTGCGGGTTGTAAAGGAGATGCACCAGGAGGCTTTGTCAAAATTTCACGTCCCAGCTTCACAAGAACATGACGTAATCGAGCATTTTGAGAAGTTAAAAGTAAAGAGCCCACTGGAGCTTCTCGATGAGTTCATAGCATGTGGTTCTAGTTTGCACTCTCACCAACTGAGTAGGTGAGTATTTACCTTCTCAAATGTACACGAAAATATCGCTTGGTATTGGTTTTTTTTGAAGTTTTTGGTACTGCAAACTGTGAACGTGGCACGAAGAATCGCAAACATAACACAATGAAGTACTTTTCGCTCGACACTCTTCATTCAGGGTATAAACGTTGAGAAAGTAAAAATAGAATTTAAAGTGTATTGAGAGTATCCAACGTTTTACTCTAAAGAGTTTCGGACAAACGGTACTTTAGTATGCTGTGCTTCCGCTTTTTCATACCATCTTCAAATCGTAGCCCTAAATACCTTGTATTGACATTTGTTTACGTCTGAAGTGTTTTTAGGTCTGTTTTGTTTCTAATATAGAAAATTACCTTTATGAGATTGTTCCGATAAATTTTTTCTTTGGTTGCAGGCTTGTAGGAACGCATTTTTATGCAAACCTTTAATTTTGATGAGGCTAAATTGCTTTTAGAATCCCCATAACGAGTCAGATTGACACCGATTGGACCTATTTTGGCGGTATGTAATTTTGTTTCGATGAAACTTTACGAGTTTCTTCGATAAAAAACTACTTCCTTTCTTTTTAAGACATGTTTCGAGATCTGTCTTTTGCAAAACTGTTGTACTGCTTGAACTACTGTGATTTTGGTATAGCAATGATTTCTACGTGACTCAGTCGCGGCTAAGGATCGAAAGAACAAAAGAAACTTTAAAAATGTGGCAGTTAGTTGCAGTTACCAAGCATAGGCCTTTTACTTTTAGAAAATCTTTCTTTTCGCTTTGTCTTTGAATATAATTTGTAAGTTAGCGACGATCTTTGAATGACTGAAACTTAGTTTTGACAATAGTAAAAACTTTCTTCAAAGCTTGTTGATTATTTGATATTTTGGTACATGATATGTAATGATATGCCTTTTAACAAGTTACTATTTTGTAACGTTTGTCTACTGCTCAAGCGGATAGTATTTTATCATGACTGTTTACAAATATATGATTACTTAATTAAAAACTTGTTCAGAAGTCATCAGATTTTAAGTTTTATCAAATTGAGAAACATACTGAAGCTTCCCTAGATACCAAATTCTTTATCGTCTGTTATTATTTGAAGGTACGACTCCTGCAGATGAGCTGTCAATACTCAAGACACAGTTAAATTTGTTTGAAGTGCAGTTGCAGTATCAAAGATATAAATGCGACCAGCATGTTTTGCGGAACCGTCGACTCGTTGGGAAAGTACACAAGGCTCAAGCAATAGAAGATGAAATTGACACTCTGGTTTGTAGCAATTGATACTTTATGTTAGTAACACCAATCATTATCGTAATCGCTTCCTGATTCAGAGTGACTCAGTCATTTAGTATCAGTATTTGTAGACTTATACGAGTCAATTAGTAACAGTATGCAGACTGATACGAATCAACGATTGTCATTCGATTTGTTCTGTCTACTGAAGGAGTCAATTGCGACAGTCTTCTCGGCCAATAAGTGCTAGGATACTCAAAAAACATTAATTTGCAGATTTGAATCCTCGTGCAGACAGAAACATTATTTATGTTACCCAATTTCGAAAAAGTCATTTGGCTTGGAATGGTCTTTCTCTTTTGTATCGGCAGTTTTTGCGATATGTTTGCTTTAATTGTCACAAGTCATTTTCTCTCTCCTTATTTGGCCTTTGTTAATCCATCCACGTAATGGAAAAGAAAACTTCAACAAGCAATTTTGATTGTGCACAAAAAGCGCTTTGAATCAACCGCGTTTTGGACTTTTATTGATTGACAGAATTTGTTCTCTTCCAACTTCAGGGTATGGAAGGCTATGTTCGTAAGGATAAAGTATCCTTTACAATGAAGTATAAACCATTCCAAGGCTCATTATAGGTCTGCAGTTAATTAATCAAGATCTCAGGTTTTGGTTGGATAAAAGTCAATCAGGGCCATATATCTTGCATTGGTTTTTCTCGATCTACATCTGACCGTAAAACAAGTCATCTTTTTTGTCAGTGTCCACTTGCCAGCTCTTAGGAGTGTTTGGCGAGAAAAATTTTTAGTTACCGAGCTCAAGATGTTTTTATAGGTATAGAAGGTATAAACTAAAAAACTAATGTGTGAATAAAAATGTAAAATCCAAAATGGAAAAAAGAGAAAAAGGGAGATAAGGAGTAGTCACTACCACCTGGTTACAGCCTCAAACTCAGATGGGGGGTGGTGTGTGTGCCCCTTGTATGTTTTGAGCAATTAGCTTGAAAAAGGCAGAAAATGATAAAAAAGCAACTAATCAGCGGGAAACCCACAAGGGACATTTCGAGGCTATAATTCGATATGTTCGTTTGAACTTCAGAAATAAATTAAGAGAAATATTGCTTGGATTATCCAATTGTTTATGTCATCGCCATCCAGGAATGATTTTCTTTCTGTGTAATTTACTATTTTATTGCATCTAGAGAAATCAAATTTCACTTTTGGAGTCAGAGCTGAGAGAAGTTAAAGTTGCTTTGAAACATAAGGATGAGCTCGTGAGGTATGATATTTACTTGTTCTCTTCATCTGATTATTTGTGTGTTTCGATGTTTTCTTTTATAATTTCCTCCGTGATTAGAAATTTGAATCACGTTGTGTTTGTACCGCGTTATTTCATAATGCAGTTAAAGTACTGTTCTTTCATTCAAGGAAGACTGTACTTCGGTATATAATATATATTTATTATATATGTTATTCTGTTCATATATATATGGTTTAAATGGTTATGACGAAGGCTTAAAGCCGAAACAGAAGAAACAACTGCCTTGGGTAGGTTGAAATCTCCAGGATTAGCTTGAGCCTTGGAATAAGTGTTGGTTTTTGAAGAAGCAAACTGGAGTTCAATTCTGACCATTAAAATTAGCCCATTTCATGCATAAAAGCACTTTAAACCCCTTGTTTTCACTAGCTGTTATAGAAATTCTGAATCTGTGACCATTTATAATTAGAGTTGTTGCAACCTTTGACGATTCATAGAGATTGTGTTACCCAAGGTCAGCAGACTGTGAAAAAATTTAGCATCAACAACCCTACCTTTTTGATACCACGAGTTTAACTTAACTGATTCTTATTGTCACTGTCAATATTCCATATAGCACCGTGATTGTCGTTATATGATTACTGCACTGCCACCTCAGGATGTTGGTCAGTTGTACCTTTATGAATTTTTAGCGGATTGATATATAGAGCGAAAAGAATGTCATTTGATTTGCCTCCTCAGTTATTTTGTTTGAAACTGTAAATAAATTTTGTGTGGCCTGCATACCCAAAAATCAAGAGAACAGAAAATGGCTTTCATTACTCTGCAAACAAAAACTGGAATAAAATTCCAATAGAAATAAAAAAGATATCATCACTCCCCCTATTTGAAAGTGACAGAAAGAACTTCTACAGGGTAACCTCAACTCATTATGAACCCATCATGGCAGCCCCCTTTAAAATCAGTATCTTTTCTTGTAAATAAATACTTTCCGGAATACATTTTATTTTGTTTTGTCATTAGGAATGAAGTCCTGTAATATCATATTGAAGCACTTTCATTTCAGGCGACATCAAGATACCCATCAGGTATCGGAAAAGAGAATTTCAGGAACTTTACAGTGAGTTTTTAAAATTATTTGACAATGTCTTTGTTTTTTTCCGCCATTGTCATTTTCTTTGTGATGTAAACTCTGTCTGCTTTATAAAATCTTCTGCAAACCAAATTCAGCTTCGTTTGTTGACAGTCTTTATAAAACATGCTCTTTTTGTTTTTTCTGCAATATCTTGATGGGAGTTTCATTTATATTATTTCTTTCTTTCTGTTTATCTTAATATCTTAATTGAATGTTATTTCAACAAGCCTTGTCATTTTATTGGTTTTAGGGTTGAAAAGAAGATCTATTTCTTTTTTTGTAGAGAATTTCAAGCAGAAAATGAAATGCTACGATGCAAATTAGACGAGCTTGTGGACGAATTAGCCTCAAAGGAGTGCCAACTCACGAGTACTGCTTCGGTCTGTGTTTATGCGATTTATTTTATAATGACCCTATGGTACAGGGGTTTCTTTGATATGTCAAGGGCAGAATCGTTTATTGTGGTCTGTAACCTAAGCACGTTGTCACTACCTATTGAAAATGTATGAACGTTTATTCTGCAGGTGTCGTTATTTCGAGTTATGGAACTTATGCTACTGAATTCTGTACCCATTATTTATTTGAAATTTTCTCCCAAAAATAAGATACTGCTTGTTTTCAGAAACCATCCTTTTTTGTTGGTATAAAGTAGTTTTTATATCGTGTTAGCGTCTTCATGAAAATATACTAATCCTCAATGTATAGAAAGAGTGTATCTAAAGAATCTTCCCTTTTTGATGAAATATATGTTTTTCGAACTGACTTCATTTCTTGTTATTACTCAGGAACTCAAATCGGTCCAACACGAGTTGTTTGAAACCAAGTCAGAACTTGATCACATAAGACCGAAACTAGAAATTAACAACGCAGTGCAGGCCAAGGTATGTTTCACGCCGTAATAAAAACTAAACTAATATCGTTCTCAACTAAGATTTCACGTCAATTAAAGATACCACGTTTTATGCCTGTAGAGTAGCGTTGACATCGCAAAAAGTGTTTCGATGCATTCTAATGACGCTTTAAGTACAGCGCCATGTAGAGGATTCGTAGTTGCTTTAGACGAAATCTCGATCACTTTCCAAATCTCAAGACTAGCCTTTTGTGCTTGAAAATGTCGAAATAGCTTGAGAAAATGAAAACTAAATCGTCTTACATGAGTGCGCTTTGTTGATAATCCTTATAGTGTGAAATATGGAACACTGGATTGAAGGTAAACCGAAAACTTTATACAAGTGCTGGTTGAAAATTACATGCGAGGAAGTATAGCGAGGAGATGTTAAAAATAATCTATTATACTGTTTATCTTTTTCATATGTTTAATTCTGTGTTTTGTTCTGATTTTTCAGGCAGACAATCTTGCAAAATCATTGGTGACATTTCATGATAAATATGACAAAGTCAAAAGACAAGTTCAGCTGTTTGAAAAAAGCCATGTTGGTGGCGAAGAATCCTTTATGGAGCTTGAAGCACTGAAGATTGAAGTCAGAGGTGAATTGTGCTATTTGATGTCTTTGGAAAGACTTTCTCTCCTTACAGTAGACCTAGGCATTTAAAAGTATTTTGGAAGTTAGAAGGTTACTGTTCCTGTTGACTGGATTGTTTTTGTATTGCTCAATGGACGGGCTTGTGTATGATTCTGATGTGTAGAACGTTGGTTAGAACATTCCACTTATATCCATCATGTTCTACACACCAAAGTTTTGAAAGCAAATATAAATGCAATACATTACATAGAGTAGCTTTTTATCTCCAGTTTATATCAAATAACTATATTTTAGGCTTCTGAAATTTAGAGTAGGCCAGTTAGAATAGCATAGACCAGTCCCGTATACACACACTTCTTGATCTCTTGCAGATTCGAGTTTTAGAGATTAGAGATTCCCATTAGAGTTTAGAGTAACCCTTTACAAGAGCACTTCATTGCGAAAATACCCTTATATAATCTTGACGAATTTGAAATTTCAGAACAGAAAATTGAACGTGAGCATCTTCTCTCATCCCTTGATGCTGCAAAGGTGCGCATTGCCGATCTCGAGGCACTACTTGCTAAAAAGGTATGACCTTTTCGATCATAATTATTTTCAAACATAAATGCTTGTTAGCTGAGGCATTTTGCCTTATTTTTATGATTTTCTAGCGTGCTATTTTGAGTATGATTCATTGAGATGTGCCATTTCTGTTCACAGGAATCGTTGATCAGGGAACAAAAAACAAAGACGGAAGAAATTTACCAAAAACACGAAGAAGAGAAAAAGGTTTGTTTTTTTTATTGATTTGGAGTTTGCTTCAATTTTTCAATCGCCACACAGAAACATCTGCTAGACGTTCCTCATCCCAATGTGAATTATGAACGATAACAATCAGACACGGATAAGCTTATCTTTTAATGTGACTTTTGCTTTGTTTGCTTATTTTCCAGACTGTCATTTTCAGTGAGCGAAAATGAAGCACTTAAATGTCGGTGGTTCTTAAAATCTTAGAGTTGCCGGTAACTTGGCAGCTAGATATCCTTCTGTTTAAAGGCAATCGACAGATATAAAAGTCGCCTAAGCCATCTGTCAACGATTGATAAACACTCACCGATTGATAAATTTTTGATTGAAAAATGGCTTGAGCCCCTTTAGTATCTGTTGATTGCCTTTTAGTAAAAATTCAACAATGACATACCACCTAGTAGGCCGTGTAATTGGCCTAATACCATCTATTAGATTTTATTTCTATTGATAATCTTAATTTCCTTTTAGGTTTTAGATGAAAGATACAAATGTTTGAAGAAGGCTATCCAAAGTATGGAATCATATATTCTCTATCTGTTTGCTAAATTAGAAGAAAATGGTCGAGATGTTCGTGGTCATGGCTACGGAGGAGGGCACAGGCGCAGTGAAAGGCATGAACGATATGGCCATGATGATAATAATTCTCACAGAAACCATCAAGGGGAACGACGAACTGAAATCGATGTGCATACGAAATTGTCTCAGAAGGACAATGGAGAACAGAAACGACGGTGTGATGACGAACCAGTGGCAGGCAGCAAGGCAAAAGGAGAGGCTGAACACGATAAACAAAGCCTGAACAGTGGTGAATCTCGGTCGATTTTGCTGTTAAATGATGGTAGCGAGTCGAGAACCGATAATGATAGTATCTCTTCTGAACTTAAAAACGATAAGAAATTAGATCAGGAGCATACACACTCACTTCATCTTGATAATGAGAGACATGTTGATGATAGTGGTATTGAGCGCAGTGGGGCTGTGTAGATTGTCGACTTCTCTAGTTACAATTTGTTTTCATTATAATTGTTCATAACCTATTTTTCTGCGTAAAATTGTTAGGCTGTTTATGAAATATTTATATTAAAATACATCCATATTTTAAAGAAATTGTTAGAGTTCTTGTTCATCCACACGACCGATTTGCTTGTATATTTTATGAATGGCTACCGTTGATGCAATTGTGACAGACTTTTAACCATTCAAAAAGTAACTAAATTATTTTAAGTATTAAAAATCACAATACCAAGCAACGAATTCAATTTTTTGTTTCGTTAAAACAGAGATCATATGAATCATATGATTGCATATGAATTTTGATTTATTCTTCTCTTATTCATGTCACTTATTTATATTTATACTTTTGCCAATCTCTTGCGACATTGAACAATAGAATTAATCAGTAATTAATCCCTTTTTACGATCATTTTTAGGCCAATTTTTTAATAGATTCTTCCTAAAAAGCCTAGTCTATTTAGGTCTTGAACACGAATGCGTGAAATCGGCTCGGAGATGGCTTATTAAATCTTAATGCTCAATGTTACCATAAGAACCTTTACTCGGGTCTTAGTTCAAAGCCTGCAGTCTTAAGTTTACCGGTACCCTAATCTTAAGTGGTTTTTCGTGTATTGAGATGTTTTGCTCCCACACTTATCGTGTATATCAGGCTATGTTTAAAGAAACCGGCGTTGATTGTCCAATCTCAGGACCTGTAGTTGATTGATAACCTTTAAATGATCTAAGAAATGCAAAACAGTCAGAGGAATGTCTACTGAACTTGACCCCATTTGTACTACATGAGACGTCCTTAATTCAAAAGTTTCTTTTAGTTTTTAATGTTTTCAGCATCATGAGGCTATCTGATGAAAACAGGCTACCAAAGATAATCGATTTGCGTTTTTGGTGCGCTGTGTTTTGTCAGACAAAAACATTTTCTGCATGAAGCACAATTTTTACCGATTCTGTTTGTTTTAAGAAAACCTACATATAAAATGCTGCCATCTCTTGAAGATGGTCTTCAAAACGATTATCGAAAGTTAAACGAAAGAGTTTAGACTAGGAAAACAATGTTTTTGTACCTAACTCCATAAGAGAAGAGAAACACTTGGGAGGAACCCGTCAAAATTCTAAAAAATTTTATAGGCTGTTGAAGTTTAGCTAAAGCTGCTATTTTCAACATGGTATTTCTCTTAAGATCTTATTCGTTTCAGAATTTCGTGCTTGGTGTTACAGAAGCTGGTTTCCCAATGCACCATTGATGCGGGAGGATATAAAGTCTAAGATAAGGTGCTGCTCTTTAATCAGTTCTCGTTACAACTGCGTAACTTACAAGCTGTTTGCCTTTTGATTCATAGAATAAGTTATTGAAATAAATTACTGACATAAATAGAGATAAATAAATACAAGCCACACCAGCAGCAATTCACTCGGACGCTAAAATTTGACATCCAAACATGTTAAATGAACAGGTAATTAAAAATTGATTACCCTTAAGTTATTTCTTTAGCATCAACAGTTCAAGAATCATTTTCAAAATCTACTGTATGCTTCGGTATTCGATGACGACTTTGTGGTTAAAACAGTAACTAGCTTGAAGGATGAAATTAAAACTTTCATTCGATGTTTGAAAATTGACATTCACTTATTTTTTCAGACAGGGAAAGAATTTTTTTTGTAGATTATCCATCTATTTTGAAAAACAAGTCCGATCTGGTACCAACGAATTTAAACTTAATCATGTTTTTGTTACATGGACATTTTTACATAAATGAAAAACTTAAAATATACGATTAATCCATTAAAGTATAATTAATGGCAGAAACTGCCGTAAGTCGTTTGTTTAAATTCTTTCTTTGATATGAGGATTGTCTGGTACCCCTGGAACACTACATTAGATTTTGACAAATTTCAATATCCTCCTCTCCCAGGAGCGTAGCTAACGGCAAGTATGACACAACAATACTTCATGATTTGGTCAGGAAATCTTCAGTTGGTCAAAATAGTCCTTACTCTGTCGGTAAAATTTTCAATCGGCAGGTGAAATAGTACATAAATTTTTCTACATCTATCTTCGTCAGTAAATTTTACCATTGATGATCCTTCACCATCTAGTCTGGAAAGTCAAGCTACGATACTGTTCCTCCCTGCTCTTTAAAAAGTGGTCTTTTAGATTCAGTGATAGAGATTCAGTGTTGTGGAGACAGACGTGCATGTCGATCCTTTGATTGGCATTTTCTCAAAACACCTTTGGAGCTATAGAGCTTTCAAATGACTTTTGAAAGGAATTACACTTGTATTTTTTTAAAGGATCAGTTTGGTTTTGACAGCTGCGTGGCTCGGTATATGATCCTTTCTTGCAATACTCAAATGCCCAAAAAAGGATTAGAGTTTCAATGAAGATGCATAGTGTTGGATCAAAATTTGGTTTACCTGTCCTTAAAATATATATATAGAAATTAGGATACAATTTGCGTGTAACCATTTGATATTGCAAGTAATCTCTTGTGCAGTGTGGCTTTCACCTATCGAATTAACTCCATAGGTGGCCATACTCACATCTCTCAAAAAATGAACTCTGCAACTAATAAAAAAATCTTTTATTTTCGAAAATCCTTCACAATTATTGAGATAATGTAGTTAAGTCAGCTGCTTTTCAAAAAAGTACCACGTCATCAACCGTAACTACTTCAAAGATACACATTACTCGTTTATAGTTCAAAATGACATATTTCTACGAGCGTCAGCAAGAATACTACCACAACGTGAACAGCAACCACTCGTCACATTCGCCGTGCTTCAGTGTGACTCTACAATATAAAAACCATTGCTCGGAATCCAGAGTGCGCCAGTCCGTCCAGTTGCCAATGGTGGCGCTACCGGGGAGACACGTCCGATCAGTTCTCGACAGGATCAATTCTGTGTTTTGTGGAAAAGTGTTTGGGAAGGGGTAGAATTTTGACAAAATATTCTTTGTGTTGTAATTCTAGACATCGAAACTGTCTTCGCGAATCAAAAATAGTATTGGGCGTTCTCTTTGGGTAAAATTGGCGATCCTTGTTCGTAAACGGCCATTTTTAGACAGCAAAATAAGTGTCAAATATAAGAATATTATAAAACCAGCATACATTTTAAATGCGTCACTTCATTTACATGTACAAAGTCATTGTTAGAACTATGATTATATTTCATCTTTTTATCTGTCATGCTGAATTTTGCTATCATATGCATTCATGTTTATGTTATTCTGTTTCGGTATTTACCCGTCAATAGCTGTATTAAGCATACATTACATAAAAAATCATGTACGACGCTTTTGAATGAGAATGAAAATATGAAAATCTGAATCACAGAGAATGCTCGTAGGGTACGCTGAAAAAGACGTTTATGTAAACAGGAGGGTACGTACCCCCACTTTTCAGAAATAGAGGTAAAGTGACTATTTGTAAGCAGAGGTGTCCCTTTTTCGCCTGCAGGTGCCTCCCTACTATTAAAATGCTTATCGGGAATTTATGTCGTGTAACACAGATGAATTGTCTTTTTCATTTGAATATGAAATAAAATGATCTGCTACATTTGTGATTCTTGGGCTATTTCCAAACTGCCAAAAATTCAACGGATGGTTAGAGAATTCTATATTTGAGAGTTCATGGATATCTAGAGCCTTTCTACACCTTTCTGCCTGAATTGGAGGCAGATGCCAAATACATATGATACATACCTGTAGATGTCATTGGTCACCCTGTCAAAAACCTTTTAGAAGGTAGGTTGGTACAATCTATTACATAAAGTTCCAACGTTAAAGGAATTCAACATATTTAGCTTATGTACTAAGCTTCAATCAACCGCTGATGTCCACGTCAGTGTCTCTAGAAAAAGACAAATAATTGGGTAAACTAAGAATAACAGAAGCATGGAGCTGACAGGGTTTATCTCCCATCCCTCACCAAACTCCAGAATATACTCTGTAATCATACACTGTACCCACACTGAAGTATCTGGTTTTCGATTCATTACATAATTGAACACTTTTCAGCCCCCCTCCTTAACATGGTCTGCAGTCCCTTTTGGCTACATTTGATTATATTGAGTAGACATTTGCAACCGATCCCATATCAATTCTGTGATACTTTTTTCTAGCCGTGTCGCTTTAATTAGCCTACCTTTTTAATTCACGCAAAGTAGCTACAGTGTCCACTATGTAATTAGAGAAGACCGTGTTACATACTCTCAACCTGCCAATCAGGTGTGTAGTGCTATCATAATAACGACGGGGCTCTTACATAAAACGTTGTTCGAGTAGGTCTAATATTAGACGATGTTCACGTTTCGATATTCATTCAAAAGGCAGACAACCAATTTTTGAGCCTCATAGAACCCTAATCGCATTTAGGAATCCGTCTGGTGGAACAAATATCTTAAAGCTATTGTAGCCGTCAAATTTGAATTTTTTCAGGCGGCTTGCGCTGTAATTGCTTGAGATCCAGCTGCTCAAAACAGGGTACCAGCTTTTCTTATACCTTTCTACCTACCAAGTGTTGTCAACATTTAGTATTGAAGCTTCTGAAAATGTGGTAGTTTGAACAGTTAAAATATTGCTATAAAAATTAGGAATGGTAATAAAAGTTTGTTGAACAAATGCATTGAAAGTTGAAAAAGCCTCATATTGGATATGATTTTTACTCTTTCTCTCTTTGTATATTGCATTTAAAGGTTTTATGAGTAATAAAATGTTCGCTCAAAACTGTACATTTCTGCTTCGGAAAGAACTTAATAAATAATCCTGAAGGAATATATAAAAAGACGAAAATAAGCATTTTTGAAGTGTAAAAAAGTTTTGTTATAAAATCAATAGCCTAAAAGAAATACTATTGTAGTTAAATTGGGTCACTCTGTCCTTAAAACTTTTTATAGTTGAGCTTTAAACCAATCTACGGGAACAGAATAATTTTAGTTCTCCTAATCATGACCAGCTTAGCTATCAGTTCATATCTAGACGGTATCACAGTCTTGATAGCTGACAAACATTAACTTGCTATCTTGGCTCAAAAAGGTCGAGACAATACCTGGAAGATTCGATTCATCTCAAAAATTGGATAAAGAATGCCATCTGTTTCCTTTTTGAGAAAAATATCAAGAAAAGAAGGGTCAATCGAAAGCAGAGAAATAAAAACAAACCTTAATTTTGCAAAAGCATCCTTGCCAATGGAGGCAATTGCTAAACAGAAAGCAGCGAAGAAGAAGAACAGATTCCAAGAGACTTTATTTAGGCCACTTTTTAATTTGCTGACGTGATTCAAATCTTCGCTCCAAAGAGATAATGATAACGAGGCTAGCCCTAGAGACTCAAAAAGAGATATGCATTATATTTTTTGTCTACATTTTAGTGCAAAAATAATATTCGTTTGTTTGGTTTTGCTATCAAGTCATTTATTGACTAAAAGATGGAGAATGTTATAGGATTAAACTCAGGTGTGTATACGAATGCCCTCTTTATCCTCCATAATTTGCTGAGATCTTTCAGATCCAAACAACGTAAAATCTTGGTATTAATTTACCTCGATAAACTGTGGTTGGTGCAAGGCCTTGCAGATTTAAAACAGAATGTTGATTTAATCTTATGCTTGTGTTATATTTTAAACAAAAAGAAAATTCGTTTGAGCTGATAAAGGCCAGTTCTGACGTCGGCCTGTTATTTTCAAGGTAAAATTTAGAAAAAAAGAATTCGATCATAGTTGATGCTGCCATCATCTTAACTCTTTCGACTTAAATTTAGGTTTTCCTACAATTAAATTATATGAAAAATATTTGAAATAATTTTGCTTAGTAGGAAACATGCTTTTTCAGTGTCTTGGCGTATAAACATTAACAAACACGTCAAATGTAGCGCCACTTAGTGTCATTTTTGAGGTTTGTCAATTTTGTCTTGATGTCATTGTGGTTTTGTATAATTAGTAAAATGGAAAATATTTCATTAAGAAGATGTTTATTAGTAACAGACTTCTACTTAAATTCGTTCTTTTTTATTTTGGTTTGCCAAATTTCCCGCAGTTAAATTTAATTAGACATTCCTTTTTTAGCTTTGGATTCAGTTCGAGCTTTCTCGGGTTCAAGATAAAAATTTCAACTTTCTTTGATTGTTTAAAGCATCTTCTTGCATTCATACTCTTAACAGGGTGTCATTTGTAACACAGCAAAGTTTCCTGCCGAGGCCCTCTTGTCTCTAGCATTTTGATTATTGCATATATAGCTTTCAAAAGGTTCCTTTGAAAAACAATTTTTCTAAAAGTCTGAACGTGTTAACCTTTATACATGACTAAAGATGTTTATCTTGGTTTATCTGATTTTAACGTCACATTGCCCAATTTTGGAGTACAATACCAAAATAGTTATTTTTCATTGAAACTATCAACTCTAGATACAGCTTGTAGATAAACATATCAAGCCGCTCTAATAGATGCAAAAGGTGCTTAAATCTTTGACACGATGTTTGGTTTTCTCTCCCTAGAAGCAAAACTATTGGTGGAATCAGATTAACCTATGCATCATTCGATGCACAAGAACTTGGTGATTCCAACCATATCACAATTATTGGCAAAGATTTTGAAATGATACTTTCCAGGCAAATGTATTGCTTAAATGACTTTCAAAAGCTATTTTGTACTCTTGCGTTCAAGGTAACAAAATCTGATTTATATCAGCAGAAAGAGTAGATTCTTAGCTACCAAAGTGTGTGTAAGATTTTTCAAATTCTTCTCCCCTCGAAACTATACCCCTTTAAAAATTGGCAAACAATTTTTCTTCCCTCTCATAACTGTATTTGGCTATATAAAAGACGGACCAGAGCAAATAAAAAAATTTTGAGACACATTTTGCTTTGCTTACCCGATATCTGTCCTGGCCGTGTGCAAAGTTTTGAGCCATTAGATTGGTTCCTTGGGTACAAAAAGCTTTTTCGTACCTGTATTTAGAGGAATTGTAAGTCCGGAGAAAACGGGATTCTACTGATCGCACTTGCAAGGTGCACTCGTAAACCACTTTAAGTCACTTTAAGCTTTTAGATCAATAAGCCTGTTTAAATAAACACGGCCGTACATTGGATACATGGACGTGCCATGCGATATTGTAGAAGAGACATGCGACCAGTACCACAACCGCAAAGCAACGATAATCGGCTTACAAGGTCAAGAGATTTTCAGGCCTCAACTAAAAGTTCTGATTAAAAATTATAGAAACCCTCGGAAATTTTTCTATTTTCAAAATTTCTGTTAATTTCAAATTTGGTATCATTGTGTGCCTTGAAAGTTCAGCTACTTGAATGTGAAAAAACCGAAAAATTGATGTTTTCATCCAGTTTACCGTTTTTCATCCAAAACGTTTACTGTAACCTTAAGATCTTTCTCGTGAACTGGCAGCACTATGTTAAATTCCAATTTCCAGCTATTGATCTTTGCATACACCCTCTAGATTCTAGATCTGTTTTTCTTAAGCTTGCCCAGTCATCGAATAAACCATATCTATGTTCATGTTTTGTTTTGTTGCCTCATTTTTGAGAAAATAGAGCCAAACGCCGAATGAATATGTAAAAGTCAGAGGATTTTATGATCAATTGCTACAGATAATAAACAGTTTAGTTCAAAGTTACAATCAATTTGTGAGCCTTTTAGTACTGTGAGATTGTCCTACTACCTCGCACCCTCCTTCATTCGGTATGACTTTGAAAATTTACCTCGAGAGTAGGATTTTTTTGCGTAGAGAAAAGCCGATAAAATATGTAGCTTTGAGATTCCTCAAAATGAAAATCTCAGTTCCCGCCACAGAAGCATCCTTCTCTTTGTCCTTGAGCTTGATACATCATGCAATTTCTTAGTCGTCCAACTTTGTACAACTGCTAGACTTTACCATACAAAGGATCATTTTCAAACAGTCTAATTCAGACAGTAACCACATTGACTTTGAAGCCGTGAAATAACAGAGACGCCTAGGGCACTTAGAAAAAAACGAGACAAGGCCCTAGTGAAGGGACTGCAAGAAGGTCCCATCAAGTGATGTAGATCTATACACAAAAGAAGGTAGGCTCTAAAAAGCTTAAGTTAAACATTTTGTACAACAAAGTTATTGATGTAAAAACGATAACGTTTCGTATCTTTACAGGAATTCAGTTCCATATACAAAAGTTCAGGAATGAATTCATATTTTTTGCAAATTTATTTGTTTACAGAAAGCTACATTCACCGTCACTGAGTTAGACAAAGCGAAGTATACTAATTTATAATAAAAACTGATTTTTACCTTGAAGTACAAGTGTAGTAATACTTTAGCACCGATATAATCATTAGAGAAACTTTTGAGAATTGAAAAAATTGTTTCCCCGTAACATAAAGATGTGCAAATATAAGTTTTAAAGGGGCCCCTGTTTTTTATTCTGCTAGCTTTTCTTGCAGATATGAAAACATTTCATCTGGCCCCAGTTCGTGGATTATCACGTTCCTACACAGCTTTTACATTAAAGACCAGATTATAGATAGGTTTATAATTTTCTAATATTGAAGCGTAAGAAATACTCACTTGGAGTTTCAAGTGTATGTAAAAATACACTTGAAACTCCAAGTGAGTATTTCTTACGCTTCAATATTAGAAAATTATAAACCTATCTATAATCTGATCTTTAATGCCCCGTGCTACTATGATGCCCCATGCTACCTCCATGCTGCCCCTATCCTGCCTCAATGGTGCAACCATGCTGCCCCACACTGCTGCTATAGCAACAAAAGCAACAGGATTAGTTGTCCCCCACTCTTTATGTACCTGTAACCATTTTTCTCTTTTAATTTATCATTCCATTGCTATTGCTTACTGCCACCTGCTACCCTTGGTACTATATTAGAACTGTAGTCGTTGCTACCCTTGGTACTATATTAGAACTGTAGTCGTTGCAATCGAGGCACAGCTCCAATCTCCAAAACTTTCATCCTTTCTGCTGCCGACTCCATATTGTCGCTATTTTTCTTGTGGCCAGGCCCAAAGTACGCCGAGGCAGTGATACAATTCATATCTCGTTGACACCAAGCAGGCTATCTCGCAGGTTGCCGTAACCGATCAGGTTGAGAATTCCACCTCCATCTGCTCAGCTAATATGGATCATTCTGAGGTGTTGTTGGCTTTGACACAGAAAGGTCTTCTAAATACTCGTAAACTTGCGCGGTTTACTTGCAGCTGCAATGCTTTGATCGGTGATGCAATTCGATTAGCTTCATGTCCAAATTTTTAACGTTGTTAAGATTCAACGAGAAAATGAGAATGTTGCTTTGTGAAATAGGAATATTACTACAAAACCACTGCTAAGTGAATAATAAATTTAAAATTACAGTATGTTACAAACATTGCTATGATCTAAAGTAATGTACTGGCAAAGGTTCTAAAAAGGACCTAAGAAACCTACTAAGAAAAAGGAAAATTTAGATATCATTTTGGAGACACATGGTCCGTGTTCCCCCTGTTCCAGAATTCCTGCTCAGCAGCCTCCTAAATAATGCGATGCTGGTCAACTCCTGATGATGTATGATATTGAACGAAGAATGACCATTTTAAGGGTTTTATTGGCAAGACCGATAAAAACTCAAATTGATTTTAGACCTATCTGAATAAAACAAAAATGGAACATAAATTATTTCCTGGCTTTATGGTTCAAGGCTAAAAACAAGTAATTTTCAATGAACTTTCGCGTTAAACGACAAATCTTTTCGATATTATATGTGCTATATTGTTTGAAGAGGCATCAATCAAGGTTTAGTTAAAAAATATGAAAAGTCATTTCAACATAAATGGCCTAGAATTGCAACGGAATTGCAAAAAATTTACACACATATGTATCAACTCTAGACACATTTCTCTAACAGATCGATTTTAAAAATCTTAGCAAAGCTCGTATTTTAAATGATCTGAAAACTCATAAACTCCAATTGTAAAATAAATAAACAACGACACAAATTGAATTACTAATAACCAGAGGAGTTTGTCACGACTTTTTATAACATTTTCTTTCAAAACACATGCGCCTAATTGTGGTTTGTTTTGTGCAATACTTTGCTTTGTATCGCAAATCGGTCACTCTGCATTTCCTTGACCTTACTTGAACTCCAATCCCACACTGATTAGAGCACCTAGACCAATTTGACCAATTAGTATAACCCCTTGCATCTAGAATAAAAATGTGAATCCATAGTTACCATTGATGTTATATAACGAATATAGGCTATCATATATCTATCTGTATAGTGTGTAGTGATAAAATGCTTTATCACAGATCTCGTGGAAATTACAATTTCACTGTTCCAACAAGTGTATTGCAAATATCCACAGGAATAAAATTTAATTTCTCGTACGACTTTGGGACTATTGAGTGCAAAAAATGATTGGGGATACTGTGAAGGGACAGGGGATACCATTATACCAAGGCCTGTAAAAGGTCTTATCTTCGTAGAATGTTTTAGTCGTACTGTATGACTAGCCGAATTACGAACTTCTTAGCAAAAGATATCCAATACAGACTATTTAAAATTTTTGATTTGCTGCACTTACATGAATTATATATTCCTTTTGTATTGAATCTGTATCTGGCTTTCATTCGAAAACCTGAAAAGACAAACATATTTGTTCGTGGATAGGCTAGCAGGCAAAGTTGAAGACATTGGCGCATGATACATAGAGACTGAGGGATCAGGCAAAGATTATTAAATTTGAGGCACATTCGGGGAGTTTTATCTCAATAAAGCGAAATTATTCATACTAAGCCTCCTAAACTTTAGCCTCCACCATGCCCATGGTTGAAGAAGAGAAAATTTCAAAGTAGCAGCTGGTAGAAGAACAAATTCGTTTTAAAGGATACAAAGGAAGCAACCATAAATACGTCATTTTACTCTTTCGAAGTGCTTGCCTGCTTGTCACTAACAAAGAAAGCGTTCAAAAGTGTGGCTACAAGGTGAAGAAATTGGAAAGATTGCGATGAAAGAAAATTTCAAGTACAAGGTACCTTTTAGTCTAAGGAGGAATGTATGTTTGATAGTTCCATAATCATTTACAGCTCTGCATTCATAAAGGCCTATGTTTCTAAATTGTAAACGCCCAATTACACTGGTTTGCAATATTTGCTTCGATGGTCGTAATTTTGTGATGATTATCTTTGGTTTTGGCTCGCCTTTTGCGTTGCAATTGATTTCCAGTCGTGTCCCAAGTGCAACAGGCAGAATCTTTGGAGGTAGTGATATGAACTCTGGTGCTATGAAGAATATAAATCGCATTTAAGATTCTCTATGAAGTTCGACGAATCACTGCAAAGCTCGATGAATTAACCTATCATATCAACTGATCAAATCAACAACATCAAATAGTTGGATAAACAAGATCAGGATCACATATGACATACAGGGACCGCGGAATGTAGTAGGTTTATATGTCATTAATTAACATACGTAATTATTATGCTAACCTTGCACCTATTACTCTGTAATATGTCTAACGATATTAGAAATGATGTAAAGCTTAGAAGTTGATAAAAGTTATTTACTAGAAAAGGGACATTGGAACCAGGGTATATGCCCCTTCAACTTTTGAATAATACCCTTTTGTAAGAAGTAGCCTTCAAAAAGATCTCCATTTTTGAAATGGTACCTCTTCCCGTCTGAGCCCCTTCAACTCTAAAATGCCTTCAACGTCCCTGTAATAAGAAAAATTTCTTCCACGTGCTTACCTTTCCCTTTTCTTTCTACGCTTTTTTTGGGCGCCTTTTTCTTTTTTGAGGCAGATGTGCCAACTACTGTGAAAATATACAACACCTTAATGCGATGAACTACAACTTTGAAGAAAACTTTATAAGTCAGCCAGAAAGATCATAGCAACAAGAGTTTTACAAAGATTGCAGGACTCTTTATTTTGAAAGTGATTTATACATGGTTGAAGCCCAAAAACCTTAGCCAGTAAAGTGAAAGAGTACATTCTGAGGTCTTTATGGTAAACTGTCTCTGCAAACTTCAATCACCCTATTAAGTCTGAAGTGACACCTGATCTAGAATAAAGCGACACATATTGTGATCAGAACGAAACATTAGCAGATGAAAACATGACTAGATTGACACGCAATAAGGAAAGAGATGTCATCTTTTAAGTGGGTGTGAGAATAGTGACCTTCTTAAGACTTCGAGACATAAATTGTTTCAAAGGTGTCCAATGTAAAGCAGTATTAAAATCCACATCCATACGAATTACAAGCCTAAGACCTAATTAACCATATCAAGCAGATGAATGCTCCAAGAATGGAAATCAGCTTGCTTATTCAGTGTTTTTTAGACAGTCATCGTCAATTCGTTGAATTTAAGCCACCTTTCAGACACACTTCTATGCTAAATTAGGTACTTTAACCTCAGGGTCAGAAAATTCTAAAGCTCATTAAAATATTTCCAAAGCTTCATAAAATGTTTTGTAGATTATTGCCATCCTTAAACATGCAAGACTTTATCAGACACTTTTTACAGGACGCTCTTCGCCGGACGATCTTTATATTATAATCTTTACCTGACACTCTTCACCGGTCACTTTTGTTATCTAGTAATCTAGTAATCAACGATAAGCCTTTACAAATGGGTTTTACTCACTAATAAAGGACTATAGCTCAAACATCATATACCCGATCAGCTGGTTAAGATTTTTACTCGACCAACTAGACCGTTTCAGAAGAGCGTATAAATCTTATGAGCCTTCACAGACGCCTTCTGTAAGTGAAATCCTCATTTGAAAAATACCTCTGAGCGATGGCACTTTACTCGTGCCTTCATAGCCAGTTGTGTGATCTATTACATCTCTTGAAGATCGAATTTTAAGAATGTCGCAATGCTTACTCCGAAAGAATATCTTACAAACCTGCCGGTATTTTGAACATAACTTTAGCTCTTCCATACTTATTTTGTGCAATGCATATAAATACTGATGACTTGTTTCTTTTCCATCTACTGATCTTCAGGGATGTCTCACTAACAAGCGTTATCGTTGGAGGGCTAATTGGCGAAAGCCCCTTTTCATTTATCCAAAATACATCCGGTTTTGGCTTGCCATTTGCTTTGCAGTTTAGGACAGTTGCACTGCCATTGCTATAAATATGTCTTTTGCTTCTTTGAGAGATTCTTGGAGTTTCTCAAAAGAAAATGAATTAAAGATAAAAAATGTTCATATCAGTTCTGAATTGAAATTCATAAGAAAGAATCTTATGAGGCATTAATTTCACTTTCTTGCCATATTTTGTGACTACTGAAATCCTTAATAGGGTGAAACACCATAAACATGCTTCCTGTTTTTGCAAAAACGCTTTCTTTTCGTTGCTGCTGTAGTTTATTAGGCATAAACCGTTTTATACTAGCCTCGGATAGGAGTTCGGAGATTAGATGAAGGTCGGAGCAAAAACATGGCGTCTTGTCTCGTGTACTCTCTCGGTCTAGCGTTAGGTCGCAGCGGATCTTAGGCCTCACGCGGGCATGCACAACAGTTGCTAATCAATTCCAAGGTCAAATTTGAAAATCTATCATGCACTATTTAAAACGGTAATTTAAGCAAACTCAAGACACTTCTTCGTCATCCTAGAGGCCATCTAGTAGCAAGGAAAATAGCTTCAACATGCTTCAACATGTAACAGTTGTTATTATTGTTAAGGTACTGACTGCCTCACACCGTCAAACATAATGTACTTGACATATTCAATTACCCTTATGTAGGATGGTGCACTTCATCAAAAAAATTACTTTCATTATTTAGATTTCGGAAAAACTTTGACAAGATAATTTTGAGTTGAAATACTGACATGCATCAAATCTAGTGTCAGAAATGCTAAGTTCAGAAATACTCAATTTTTACCATTGATTGTGACGTTGAAAATTGCCCTGTATCCATTGCCATCTAGATCTTGAAAGTTACATTCATATTGCCCTTCAGCTGCCAGGCTGACCGTTGTTACCATAAGTGTGCCGAGGGAAATACGCATGCTTCTCGTTTCCTGGATTACACGACCATCTTTTTTCCAAAAAATGGGGATTGATTTGAAATATGGGCACGATAGCAGCAGTCTCTTGTCCTTTCCAGCAACTGCAGTAATATTCTTTACATCTATTAATGTTCTTGACGGGCTTGTTTCTTCAGTAACTGATGCTAGAGAAGGTTGAAGAATACTTGTGAAAGTCAAGGACCAAAACACTCACGTATCATAAGTAAAATACTATTAATGTGTGAAATGGCTGTTTTTCGCTAATTTATCATGGCTGCCCCCCCCCCCCCAAAAAAAAGCTGTATCTCGGTCTTTGGTGAAAGTAGAACAGAAAATATACATAGAGAAAATGAGAGCAAGTGACACGACAAGGACAGGACTAAAACCTACAGAAGTAGAATCATTTTAGACATTAGAAACACAATTAGGTAAAAAAGGGGCACCTCCGGGAGCTGAACGTAACCTCTCTTCATGCCCCCTCGTGCCTCTTGCTCCTTCATCTATGCTCAAACCCGCGGCCAGCAACATTGTAAATCATTGCTCTACCGGTTCATGGCTTGGGTAACCTGTGTTTCAGACCCCAAACTATTCAATTTCATTCAGAAGGTAGAGTGACAACGTAAAATTGTCACTGGTTTGAGTCCTGCCATGGTGATGTCATTCACTACTTCTCTCCGGATATTTTCTAAAACAATACATACAGCAATTATCGAGATATTTCTACAACTGTATCAGATCATTTAAAAAGGGTTGTTGTGATAAGTTGCTTTATTGTAGTTTTGTTATTTGAAAATGGAAATTCAAAAACATTTTAGGCCAACTTTAAAATGTATGGCACCAAAATGATCAATTTGAAAGAGTGATTCCTGCACTTTCTCGCATCAAAGTGGTAAACATCATGCAATAGAGATACAAAGAATTCCATGAATGATTATTTTCAAACGTCAAAGTCCCAATGAACTACTTAACTTTCTTATCAAGATTGGACAAGTGACTACGAAATAATTTATCAAACTTCTGCATTAGCCTGGCGAATTTTGCCCTTATGGATACCAGTTTAAGCACCACACAACTGCCTAAAGTAAGGGGGCTGACATGGAGGCTGGGGGCGTGCTCCCGAAAAATTTTTGAGGCCACTCCTTTAAAAAAACCACAGAATGCTCCTTTCAGAAAGTATTTGCTCCTATCCTATCAGAATATAGTTTCCAATCCTTCTTTTCAAACAGTCTGATTTAGGGAAAGTTTCAATTTACTATGAAATTAGATATAATTAGCTTAAGGATAAATAAACACAAGGTTAACCAAGTTAGAAAGTACAATATATTATTAAACAAGTACAACACAAGAAAATGAACAAGATATAACACGAGAAAATCAACAAGACACAACACAATGCAGTGTTGGGTAAAGAAGAGTTGCTACTATTTATGATCCAAAAGAGCTGTTCGGTGCCTGCACCAATCCATCTATTAAAAAAGGCTCCAAAAACAAGCTTCCAGACTAGTATTTCTTTAGCAACAGCATTGAAATAACAGAACAAAATGTACAAATTGAACGCGGTCATGGAGATAGGATGATAAAGATACACGTTATTGGATTGAACAAAAATGTAAGGGAAGCCTTCTTATGGAAAATTAGTTTAAGATACCGTGGGCCATATCAAACAGTTTTTTGAGGTGAATTCACTTATCTAATAAATAGTATCTTTTCACTCATAAAGTCACTTCTACTCATTGTTACAATTTTCAATAAAACTTTGGTTACAGCAATTGAGTTATCTATGATTGAGCCATAAACCAACCACATTCTAGCTCCGAACCAAATCTGTTTTTGATACTACAAGAAACAAAATGTTGCATGCATAGAAATAGTATTTGATGGCAACGATTGCAATGAGATAAAAACATGTTGCAAAGTTCAATTAACCAAACTCCAATTAAAGCATACCACAACAGAACGTACCCTCTTATAATCGAGGCTTTACAAACTTATTATTGGAAAGAAATTAAAATGGCAAGATTCTTAAGAAGCAAAGACAATCACTATAAAAGGTTTTTAGGCACTTTTTGCAACAACACAGTTAGTTTTCAAGTAAAATGATATTTTTACAATTTTCTAATCTTCTCTGTTTGCTTTGGAGTGAACCTGGAATAGAATCCCAGATTCAATAAGGACAGCCAGATTCAAAACTTGGTCCGTGGTAGTAAATGCGAATGCTCGTTATACAGTAAATTTTCTGTCTTGTAATTTGAATTATCGTAAATCCACTTTTGTTATAAGATAAAATTGAATATTTTATACAGTACAGTACAAAACAAAACCCTGCAACGGACAACTTCCATTAATGGACATCTTTATTCATATATCTGCGCATCTTTGGTTAGGACTCCCATATGCTTCATTCGTATGGCATCAGAGAAAAATACTTAACTAGGTAGAGCCATGTCTATCTGACCGTAAAACCATGCGTTGTCTTGATCACATCTATGCTATTCTGGAGCAACGTGCAAAGTGGGGTCCCACAAAGACGAGTACTGGGCCCTATTTTATTTTCAATACTAAAAAACGAAGATCCAGAATTTTTTGTGTCCAGCAACGTTAAAATTTTTACCAATGATTTAGAAACAGCCAGAACTTAAAGGGCAAAATTCAAAAAGATGGATAGATATTAACGGAATAAAGAAAGTTAAAGTCATTGGTGAAGTAGTAGATAAATGAATGATAAATCTCAAGTTTGATAAATGAATTGTGGATAGAATAAAGAAGGTAAACGGAGTTCTATTTATGATTTTTGTTATCAAGATTGATATCTCATCTAAGACGATTGATGATACAAGAGGGCGACCGATCACACTTTTGATAAGTCGTACGTTCATTTTATGCATTTGATCATAGTTAAAAGATTTGATCTCGTTTTCATCCGTGGAAAATACGTTTGAAAATAACTTTTATTCGGAAGAATCCGATGGAAATTTCAGCTAATCTTTACGGAAGTGAAATTAAATATACAATTCACAAGCAGTTTTGATTTTGGTCATATATTGTTTGATTGATTACTTAGTACTGGCTAATATTTTATCAGCTATGCCATGTTCAAATTTTGCAAAAGGGGTACAGAGGGGTTATAGAGGCACCTGGGGTATACTGGGAACATGCAGGTCACCTGCGAGCCAAGCGAGCAGAACATTTGGCAATTGCGCTCCTTAGATTACCTTAAAACTCCTTTTCAGAACGATTTCTTGAAGTAAGTTCGACACGTTAAACGGTTGTCAATTATCCGACGAAGGCCCGAAATTTCTGACGACATCGCTGATTGGGGGGGGGGGGGCCAAAACCCCCATAATTTCCGCCATTGGTTCTAGCCTCTCGATGCAACCTTTTTGAAAAGTAATATTTCAGAATGCCTTTTACAATTTATTCCAATATATTGTTATTTTATATTTTTGTATGGACCGTACTGAAATTTAAAATCAATCTCCTGATGAAGACGTATCGCTGCATTTTTCTTACACAAATGAAATCATAAAGCATTTTCACTATATTAAACAAGTTCCTTTGTCGCGGAACCCTTACTACTGTAACTATTCCTAATTGAATTTTTCGCTTTTTCATACTTCAAAATAATATACGACCTATTGTACCTAAAGCCACAACTCAAATTGCTGTGAATTCTTGAAAAAACAATTGTCTTCCGGCATTAGGTAAACAAAGTGCTTGTAAACATTCGCAAGCATCCTGCAATTGCTGTTAAATATATTTAGGTTGCCGAAAATGCCTGAAATATATATTTTTTTCATAATTTTAGACCATATTTCCGGTGGACTAAGTCTTTAATTGCTGAAGCTATGAAATTTGATGAAAACAATTACACATATCAGAATGACGCTTTCTGTAAAGTCAAATCTCATTCACAAAAAATTGGCAAATTATTGAATCATGAGCAGTAACCTTTAACGAAAGTTACTTTAAGATGGATTTTGAGAAAAAGCTCTTTGGACGACTCCTCCACTTTCCGTCAGGAAGCAAAGTTCTTTTTTGGCTTTGAACTGTATTCCTCTGACACTTGGTCACTAAGCTGCTTTGATATGAAAAGGCATTAGTTATTGCAATTGTAAGGTAGTCCGTTTCATCACCTACATGGAATAGGATCTTTTGCCAAAAAATTTCCACACTTTACATAATGGCAAAAGAACGAGACACAGCTAATAACATTCGATACGGATGATTCGTCTAAAGAAACGGCTTTGGAATAAAATCAGGTTATATTTAAAAAATCTATTCATTTTTGAGGTCGTAAAAACTTATGTTACTAAACTTACTTTAATTGGTAAATTGTCAGAAAAATATGCTTAACATTAAGCTCCATATCACTAAGAAATGGAAACTATGAAGCCAGGTTTTAATCTTCTTACCTAAAAGATTATATTGGCTGGATAGACTGATTAGTTTTATCTCTCTCTCTTTCTATTTTATGGACTAACTTCATTCATCGTCTGTAGTGTCAACTTCATCGCCCACCAAGTCACTTGAAGCTAAAGCTGTAATGCAAGAAAGGGCGTATTATGGATGCAATTCAATGCGAACGTAACCGGGGTCTGCACAACAGCACTGATTTTGGGGCTAATCAGTCTCAACTGATCGTTGTTTGGCGTAGAAGTGTAGCTAGCACAGTCTTCTAGCTATCTTAAACCTGCTATGCGCACATATTTCTGATTTATGTCTGAATAACTGACAGATTATGCTTGTTTCGTTAGATTATGCTGCTTGCCTCGATTCTGTTTTGTTTTCCCAGCTGGGCGGAGATTGAAAAATGACGAGGTAAAAAACATTAATGCAAAAACCAAGCTGGGAAAAAAAGTAGCAATAAATGTGCAACCTAAACAAAATTTCCAGATTTGCTCGACCGATATAATCAGTAGCGGCGCCACGAAGGGGACTGGGAGCACGTCCCCCCAGTTCTCAGCAGAATCAATTTTATATTTCATCTAAATTCGTCGAGAAAATGTTGGGGGAGGGGTAATATTTTAACACCGTACTTTCTTGATGTAATCCTATGATTTTCAAACTTCCAATTTTCAAACAAAAGTTTGTCATAGGCGTTCCCTTCGGATAAAATTGGCGTTCCCTGTTGGTAAAGGGCGTTTTCTGGTGGCTAAAGGGGCGTGGCTTAAATTTTTTGGTTTGTCCTCCCCAGAGCTTAGTGGCTGGCGCCGCCATTGGATATAATGGCAGTCATAATTAGCCCGACAAAATCTGCTCTTTTGAAAATTGGGGGGTGCAGCACCCCCATACCCACCAGCAGTTTCGTCCCTGTTTAGCAATGCCCAGTTACCAGTAAGCCTCCTCGTGGATATAAGACACACATGCTGTTTTGCTTGTCTCGTTTTTGTGCCTCTGGATATCATTTTTGAAGAAGTGCAAGACTGAGTGTTAAGTTTTCTCTCCAATGCAAAGAATATTGGTTGCTATCAAATCAGAAATTGGGAACACATATATCTGCGTGATCACCTGTTTTTCGCTTGTCGGTGTCAAGTGTATGGTCATATATATATGCCCTCTTGGTCACAACGAATATTCATATTAATTCGAGTTTAATCATGAGTCATATTACATTGATTTCCATCATGAGACCACTAAAGTTATGTATCGCTACGTGCGAGGGAGTCGTTTTTTACTTTGAGTTTTGCTCAATAATGAGTGAAAAGTTGTTTCATTTTTACCATCACAGTGTTGTTTAATAATGAGTTGCACTCAAACATCTTATTTTTTCCTATTTTTGTTATTTCATTTATATTTACATTTATTGTATTTGTATTAATATTTTTATTTCCAGTTTATCAGATCATTTTCATTATGATAGCCTTGTAGTTTAATCTTTTATTGCATGTGTACAATAATTCAAATAGCATGATGTGGAATAAAACATAAACAGTAACTCTTCCCAGGGGCGTGGTGGCTAGGCGGGACACCGGGAAATTTCCCGGTGGGCCCCTTAAGAATGAGTTTGTAAGACCCCGGTAAATATTTAATGTTAATAAAATCTTTAGTGGGAAAACCTTTCAACTACATGTAGACTGAAGTTCACAGTTCAGAATTAGAGGAGGTCAACATATACAGACAGGGCCGCTGAGAGGGGAATAAGAAGGGTCAAACTGCCCCAGAGCCTCGAAGTATTCCAATTTCTTAAAGCAAGGAATTCCAATTTAAGAACTAATCTTTAACGAAAGGCAAAAAAATATGCCTAAAAAATTCTAAAACGTGGTAAATGACTGGAAAAAACATTCTGAAATGTACTTCAAGCTAATTTAAAGGGCTTGGCCACAAAAAATTTTCTGCTCGTTTCGCTCGCCGTGCACGTAAGTGCCCTGTCACGTTTGCGCTTGTATCAGATGTGCTCTACAGCAAAGGTATTGATCAGAACAATTGAAAGAGGGAAATTTTTAAGAAACAACGTGTAGCCAATTCAATTGAAAACATTGATAATCTTCCAGTGCTAGAAATTCTCAACGCTTCTTAACGGGTGTATGCTAAGCTCCCCCTGCACTTTGCAGACCATTAATTGCTATGATAAAGGGGATGAGAAGCCATAAAACTTTGATCAAAGAAGCTGCAGCAGAAATATTTATTTCTTACGAATTGGGCACATGAACTAGCTCTCAGATCATCATTTTCAGTTGGAAAACAGAAAGGACATTTAGCCCTTTGAAAATTGTAAGAAGTTTCCTTCGATCAAGAACAAAAGATAAAATGGTCAATTCCTTGATGCTTCCATATCGTGAAAAAGATATTTTATATAAAACTGATCTGCAGAAAATAGCTTAAGATGGGCAAAGCAGAAAAAGAACAGAATTGCTGTTAATTGAATTGCTGTTATTTGACTTGAGAGAATGTTACTTTTTATCAATATAAAAGTAAAATGTTGGTAATTTATAAGTAAAATGCTGGTAATTATAGCCTAGAAATCTGGAATAAGCCGTAAGGCTATTTCCAAATCAATTTAGTAGGTACAGAAGATTGATTGGTCGAAAGAAAAAATTCAGCAGGTAAAGTTGAAATTTTCAACCTTTCGCGACCCCCCAAAATTAACCACTTGTTCACGTCCCTGGCAGCTAGTATGCACATCGCGATAGCTGCAACATATCATAAATTGTCCCGGGGATAATCGTGGACTCCTTTTACGGCTCATTTTAATTGTATTCGGTGTTAAGCGCCGATTTCAAATTCTCTCAGACCTTTATTTAGATGCCAGTCCGTTCCTGCTGTAACGAACTTTGTTTGTGTAGGTGATAATTGTTGGCCTTGCGTTTATTACACCAAAACTATTTATTAACTTCTCAAACTCTGTATGCCCATGGTTTGGAATATATTTCACTAAAGTCTTAGCTGGTCCTTTCTACTTCTAGTGTTACCAAAACCTAGAACCTTGATATTTCAATTAAAGGTATTTCCCAATCATTTTAAATAAAACGAGCGGTGAACCGCATAGATGCCAAAATCGCTTACAGGTATCATTCTGAAACGGCCACTCCCACAATTGCTATGATAATAAGGTGGTATCTAAACAAGGACTGGCTTACGTTACCCTGTGAAATGTAAAAATCGTAGCCTAAATAAAAGAAAAAACAGCCCAGTGTTGACCCTATCTTAGTAGATGCCATCCGATCATAGATTTCCGCTCAGGGAAAGCTACCACAAACTTAAGAAATTATGTTGTTTGGTGTAACCTTAGCGTTCGAGAAGTTCGTTCAGACATATCTTTTCTCTTAAATGTGTTTGATCTCAGTCGTGAAATTACAGTCCGCTCAACGTTGTTGCAAAAAAATACAGAAAATACTATTATCACTAAGGGCATTATCACTCTGAGAAAGTTACCTAGAGTTTGGTTCAATTTTTTGAAAACCCATTTCCTCCATCGGATTGTATGACAAAAAGAACATACAGGCTATCGGAGTGTTCAAAAACCCAGAAGATTGAACTACCAACAAATTTTTTGAATTAATGATTTTGAATCAGGGCTGTAGCATACATGTTTTATTTAGTAAGGTTAGATTTTCTTCGGGTTTTTTTAAATCGCAGAACATGGCAATGTGACTTACAAGATCAAGTCACTGGAAATCATATTGGAGGCACCAGTCATTGCGACAACCCTAGGTACCAGGCATTAAAGCAAGTACAATAGATTTCTTTAGCACTGTTAATCCATAACTCAACCCTTTAAAGCAGATAACCACAGTTGCCTTTATTAAAATATCGGCTTGAAGATGCCCATCCATTGCTAGAAAAAGTGACTAAAGTCTGAGTGGACGAACCGATGTTTCAATTTTAATGTAATGGATCATATTAGCCAGATAATCGTTTCAATATTGTTTCACTTTCCAGTTCCAAAAAAGATTCTACGTTGTTCAGATTTCTAGTTTATGTTTAGACCTTTATTAGAAAAATAAAAGAGGCCATGATATTAGGGTTCAACCCTATTAGCATGATCAAGTTACTCTATAAAGGTTCATATGTTGGGTTTTCATCAATTTGTTGTAATATTTTAGTGCAAATAAAAACAACAGGCAGCTTACCCATGATGATCTGCAATGAAATATATGCAATGAGATGGCAAAACAAGCATTTGTACAGCGTCATAGCTCTCTAAGGGTGCTCTTGTCTGCCTGTTAAGCACTCTGTTAATAAGACATGGATAACTGTGCTGGTTCAAATGCGGTCAGACGAGTCTGATTATATCAAATGGATCCGTGTTGTTCTCTGCAAATCCACAGCAATGAGACCTCTCAGCCACAAAAATGATAGCTAGAAGCCCCGTTTACAACATGCGCTTTGCTTCTTTGAAAAATTCCAGTTGACATCCATAAATAATGGTCAAGACAAGGTCACCTTGACTGAGGCATCGCTGCATCATCAGACAGACACAAAACCTCTGGTAAATTTGGATCAACGAGACAGTCTCCATGGACCATCAAGAGGTGACACGGTCATTGAGAGGTAACAATCATTGTTGCTAGGTGACAATCATTGCATTCAAGAACAGCCGAACACATCAAAGTGAATATGATTGATGCCTATATAAAGTTATATAAGATTGATCATAACATTTTTTCTCCTGAAATCATTCTTTTGTTCTTTGAGCCAATCATTTTCAAAATTCTGTTTAGGCATGACAACTTAGTAAAAGAACAGAGCAAAATTTACGTTATGTTTTATTCAACAGCAAGTTAAAGCCATATTGAGGTTTTTATTATCATAAGCAAGGGATCTGATGTTTAGCAACACTTTTCCTAACACGTCACCATTAGTTGCTTAAAATGTCTTTTCAGATTCATGAAGACACTATTTTTCTATAAACAGAACAATTTTTCCAGGAGCAAAAGTTTGGCAAAATACGACAGAAGAAATTAAGTAAACCTAAGTAAATAAATAAGGCTTTGGCACACCATACTGAACTATACGTTCGATACCACTCAGAGTATAAATGCCCAATAATGTCCATAAACAGAAATTTCTATCCAGCAGATGCGGATCGAAAGTAACGCGAGAGAAAGAAAAACGCTTTGATTGGCTCTTTGTCTTTGACCAATCACAGCCCAGATGAAGGGCCCAAGGGAGAAAACGAAATCAGGATCCTTTGTTTTGATGTATTCCAATTGCAAAACTTAATCAGTGGTTTTGGTAATGAAAATCAAAGAACCAATCAAATACCTTTTTTCCTCTCACGTTACTTTCAATCCGCTTCTGGAAATAAATTTTCTGGTTCCTTTTAAATATAATCCGGCATTTTTACTTCTACTACTAAGCATCAGACAAAATATACTTCAATACGATTTAGTATGCTTCCACTCTTCCGTGTTGTTTTTAAACTCTAAAGTGACATATCTTTCTAAAGTAAAAAATAATTGAGATGTTATTCTTGAAAGGAAAAGAATTGAAATACATATTCTTCGATAGATTTGGCCAAAAGTATCTGATGTGTTTTATAACAAGCGGAAAAAAACAAGAAAACAAAATGTATTTTTCTAGGAAAGGGATGTATTTCAGCTGAATTTTAGTTGAAAATTTATTTCAGCTAACAGCTGAACACAACAGAAAGAGCAAAACTCGCCAAACATACTTTTCACAAATAATTTGCATCATTTATTTTGAATAAGCCATAGCAACCATGGTGAGCTTGAACGTTCTCAAGAAAATATTGAGACATGATACATCTGTTAATGGTGAAGAAAACTAAAAATACTTTTTTGATTAAAATGAAGCCAGAAACATGTAGGAGCAGAAAATGAGACAAATACTCTCATGTAAGTTATGGTTTGATATTCATTTTAACGTCTACGAGTGATTCGAACGTGCATGCTTATCTACCTCGCTAGAATACTTGCCACAATCCAGTTTTGATGCTCTCACCCGTTCTTGAAAGGTTAATTAAATCCAATAAAGGCTACAGCTATTTTCCTACTGGCTTTCAAAAAACCACATCTTGAAAAGCACTTCACTCAATATCTAATAATGGGGTGATTATAAATGAAGAAATTTTATTCACATGCGTGCAAGATACATTACACGTTCCTTGCTGTACCTACCATCCTTGACAAAAGTCCTTGGAACTCCCTGCGACCAATCGAAGATTTTGAAGAAATAAAAATTTCCGGCCGTAAAATACAGAAATACCCCCCCCCACTCCCCCCAAAAACAATGTTGGCTGAAACTATTACTTACCCTAGCTGATAAAGTGACATTGGACGAATTTAAAGCTTTGAAACTGTTATTATTCAACATTGTTGCAAGGGGGAAAGGGGGATGCTACTGAAGTTATGCGAAATTTTAGCTTGGTATACCAAGACTTTTGGCAAGGATTGTACATATTGGACTTAGAAATGAGCAAAATTGAGAGAGTTAAACTACATTTGGTTCGAAGTGTAATGTAATTTTATGCTGTATCAGGCATTTCAATATTGTGCTTTACATTTTGCATGTTGCTCGAAAAACAGAGTAATAATGTGTAGTCATCTAATCTTTTAAGTTAAAAGTTAAAGGGGTGTACAAAACACCAGTACTGCCACGATAATCAAGATGTATTTATCACGATTTACCACTAGGAAGGAAAACATTGGTACTTTAGAAAATATTGGCGTTATCTGTTGGAAGAAAAAGCGATTTCGTACAGTAAAATGGGCTTGGCCTAAGATCTTTAGTTTGTCTCCCTCCTCCCTACACAACCTAGTGTCTCGTTAGAGGTTATATGTACACGGCTTTGACAAAGAAAAGAAACTTTTGAGACAGCATTACTGTTCATTGCCTAGTAGTGCCCGCTAACGGGAGTTGTTTTTTAATGAATGTTTGACTGAGTGGCATAAACGAAGCAAGAAAGATACGTCTAGCTAGTGGTCCTTGGTGCTGCAACTGATGACCAGCACGGTTTAATAATTGAATAATACTGGAAAGAGCATTTAGTAAATTATATTTGTATTTAACAAGTGATAATGTGTTGACGTAACCTTTTGATGTGCTGCAGTACCATAAGCATGTTAACGGGCATTGAAAAGCCCGATTTTGGTGTACTTAGCGAAAGCCAGAAAGGAAAATGTGGCCTACCATCGTCTATTTAATCCACACAAAAGAGCCCTTACTCTTGACAAGTCATGAGATTGTTTCAAAAGTCAAAGAAAATCACAATTTCCTTAATGCTAAAGTAATTAATCGGCAGATCAAGAAAGTAAACTAGGATAAACAATAAAATTTTCATGGAAAGTAATGAAGAGATGATTTTTTTCAACGAAGTGAATACTTTATGTTTCGACCAAGCAATAGGTTTGAGCTATTACACAAAAATTTTGTGTAATAGCAAAGAGAAAATGAGCGTCAATATTGGTCAAAAGTTAAGAGCAAATTAAGAGTAAGATGAATCTGAGCTACTGAAAAATGCAATTTTGAACAACGTTGTGAAAACCTTTTGGTGTTTGAAGGGGTCTTCGAAAAAATTGGATGGTGTTTGAAGGGGCTTTGTGATGTTCGATATGGCATCATCCTCCTTTTAGTTCTATTTTGAATTTCAATATTGGATATTCTGAATTTTGAATGTATATTTTAATATGAGCTGAGTCTGAACTTGCCAGTTTGGAGAATTTTTCTGATCAATTTTCGACCAGTCTTATACCCTTTTATGAAAGCTAAGCCGGTTTTCAAAATTTATTATTTCTGGAATTTGCCTTTAACAAAACCAAACTGATGAAACCAAACAGTCAATAACTCTGAGGTTATGGCGGCATTTTATAGCCTAAATATCATTCAATGTGAGCTTCCTTATACTGTTAGCTTCGCAATACTTTTTTAGGAAAGCCTGGAACTTTCTTTGGAATGTTGTTAACTTTTTGGGGAATGCCTTGAAATTTTGCTTTTGCCCTGGGCTTTTGGGGAATGTTTCTGATTATTTGCAATGGCTGTGAATCTTTTTTCTCGCCGTGGCAATTATAGGCAACCTTATCAAAATGACTGATAAGGAATTGCTTATTCAAGAGAAATCTATAGCAAAATAAAGGACCTCAGACACAGACTTTTTCCAACCAATCATTTGCTCTGTTACAAAGCTTGGGCTGAGCAAACGTTAAAAAAGGGGTCCGAATCCCAGAGCCCTCTCTACGGCACCCCCTTTTCATTGGCCTTAGTCTATCTTGTCACTTACTACTTCAAATGCAACAAAAAACTTACCTTTCGCATCCTACGTCTATTCATTGCCTTTCAAACAGGCAATATCTGTGTTCTTTTTACTTTTCTGTTAAAGTGTCTTACTGAGTTGGCCAAGTGTCTTACTGAGTTGGCCAAGCATTAGTTATCTGGATCAAAAATGGTATAGGAAGATTCATTTTATCCCAATATCCTGCTTAAGATAAAACAATAAACCTGGAACAGGTAAGTGACATTGAGCTTAATGTATTCTGTCTTGATTAACGATTGATTTTGTATTTATATCGATCTTTAGTACGTTTTTTCCCGATCTTGATTATTTGATTACAATTAATCTTGATTACTTGATTACAATTAATCTTGATTACTTGATTACAATTAATCTTGATTACTTGATTACAATTAATCTTGATTACAGTAAATCTTGATTACAGATACGTTATGCCAGAATAGGCCAGTTGTAATAATAGTAGTTTTACAATTGCGTAATCAGGGATTTTTTAGAAGTTTATTTGGTTTTTTAATTCAGGTAGGGTTGCTCCTAGCTTGTAGAAAATGAGGCTATCGTTTCTTATAAGCTATTTCTTATAACAAAGATACGTGTTTGTAAAGATATTAATTGGAAGTGACATATTAGGGCACTTTTTAGCTTCTCTCGTACCATTTTTGATAAGCCTCTGATTAAATCACGTTTCAACTTTCAAGTTTCAGCTCTTTTTATTATACGATGAACTAGTTACGACAAGATCAAAAGTCAATACATTAAAGAAATTTTTTGTATAAAATTAGACAACAAAAATGCAAGCTGAGTGATCATCTTTTCAAGGATCGTTTGATAAAAGTGACATCTATAAGGAGATTTATTAACTGCTGACAGACCTAAAAACCAAAAATGTGATTGTATCTGAGAATTTAAGGACTGTCTCAGTAAACAGTTCGTTACCTTAAATCTCTTCAATTATATTTCTATTGGTTTTATAATTAGTCAAACCATTTGGTTCTAAGGAAGTTTTATTTGTGTGGGCAGCAATGGAGTTCGTAGACACCCATGCCTACTATTGTTCTTGAGGGGCATGAGTCCCCAGCAAAGAATTTGATATCTCAAGTGAGATTCAAGCTAACATGCAGGAATTTTGTTCCAAATATAAGAATTCCTAAGAGACAAATTTCTCGAACATGGATAGCAACAACCTTTATCTCAATTCTTTCTTCACATTTTTAAAATATGAAACTGAAACTAATTAGAAAGAAGGGAAAACAAGCATTAGTGCTAACTTTTTTCAAAATTCTCACCGAATCAAATTGGAAAGAAATGAGAAGAATTGTAAAGATCGAAGTTGTTCCAGATTTACTGTACCAATGAAAGACTGGGATAAATAGAACCTTAGAAAGCATTCAAAAAAGAGAATTTAAATCATCTTTGCAAGGTCATATCAATAGCCTTTTTTTCACAAACAGTCTAGCTAGCCTTCGGCTACCAAACAAGAGCCATGTCAAAGTTTGGTTGACTAGTAAACCATACAAATTAGGGTCTGGAAAGCACTTTGATTCGTCATGAAACCAAACAGATCAAAGCATACCGAAATTTAGATTTTATAGCCAAATTACAAAAACATGATTTGAGCAAATCTTAATATCATTTAACAGGCAGAATTATTCACTTCCTCGCCCTCTTCTGCTAGCGACAAAGAAAGTGAACTGATATGAAAAAGAAATGTTAATCGTATCTTCAGCCCTTGTACTCAATTGACAGAGGTTTTCTTTTTCAACAGTTTTCTTTCCAATTAGCGGACACCGTCGGGGCAAGAGCAAGGTGTCCGCTAATTGGAAGTGTCTACCTTTTGAAAAGTTTTGCAATGTAAGTCCCAAATTTGAAAATAGACCCGAGTTTTGTATTTAAAAGGTGTAATCAGTGGTGGCACCAGAGGAGGGCTAGGGGGCTACAACCCCTCCGTCGGAAGCATCTAGCCCCCCATCGGGGGAAATTTTAGGTTATTTTCGGAGCCAATTTGACAAAATAGCGTACGAAAACTGCATTATTTAGTCATTTTAGCCCCCCTGTCTGAAGCTCTAACCCCTCTGTCGAAAGATTTCTGGCGCCACCTCAGGGTGTAATCTGGGTATTTAGTGGTTATCGGGTTGAACTTAGACACTAAAGACAGAAAAAATAACTAAACTGAACGTAACACAAATTTGTTTACAACAAGAATATGTATCAACATCATATATGATATCAACTAACGAACGGACAAGAAAAGTTAGTAAACTGGGCTGTAAAGAAGCTCGAAGCTGTAAAAAGCCAACTAGATTGCCAAATATCAAAGTGTTTGCAAATAAATATTTGAACCAATATTCATTCGTCTCAGTTTTTGTTTTGCTGCCTCCTAACTTTTTCGTACTGTCCGCCAATTGGAAAGAAAATAAGCCAAATTGACTATTTTGTGCAAAAAATATTGTCCATTGATTAGAGTGTCTGCTAATTAAGTCTCCGCTTTGTAAAATTTGCTGGCACATTATAAAATTCCTGACACCATTTGATACCGAGCGAATAAATGACACGTTTTTACTCTATTCTTTTTGTTCCATCCAAAGCGAAGACTTTCTTTTATACAATTTTAAAACTTAGGTACTAAACAGCCTTTCACAAGCACTGTTACGCCACTAAATTATATGAACAGCCTTTCACAAGCCACTCGGGTTGACTGCCATTAGCCCTTTCTTAGCTTTTCAATCCATGACTGTTCGGTGTATGTAAGTGTGAGTGTGTGTCTACAAGTGTCACCCTGATGTGTGAGTGTGTGTGGGAGTGTCCCAAGTTTCTACTCTTTATAAAGTGTTCACGATGACTCTTACTAATCTACTTACAATTTGTGCTTTTGCCGTAGTACAAAGGTTTAGCGTGAATACTAAAATACATAAGTATGAGGTGATAAATATATCAGGATACCCGGGGGAACTTAGTAGGGTAAAAGGACATGTAAAATAATACGTCATCGGAAAACATGAAAAACTAACACACGACAAACTAATATATCTTAAACATAGAGAAGCATGAAAAAATATAGACATAAACGCGAGACTGACCTAAAATGCACAAGTACCTATATTACAGCTCTATAGAAATTATGAGACTTTGACCAGAAAACGATCGGAGAAACAAAATTTGTCCGCTAATCAGAGTTGTCCGCCTTTTAGAGTGTCCGTTAATTGGAGAGAATCCTGTATCACCCTGTTGACTAGATGTTGAAATGAAACATTGCTTTTCTTGAGGATAAACACCATTATTTTTTTAACGTAACGCTACACTAAATATGCTCTAAGTTCAAGTGGAACAGCCAAATATGCCGATTTTCCCTTCTTTTGGAGATATTACCAGAAGATTAATAAACGATGGCTGTGGCTGTGGAACCTGTAGGCACGTATCCTTGACTTGCTTTTCCACCTTGCCCTAAATTTTCAATACGCCTTCACACCCCTGGTAGAAGACCCCTTGCGCCAAATATCCCTTCATATCTCCCTGCGTTATAAGAAATCGAAAATGTATAAAATTATTCTTTAAAAACAGCTAAACATCAAATGTCATAATCACAGAAAAGAAAATGTACAAATAGCGATTGTAAAATCCCACTTTGATTTTACATGAACGAATAAAATGATCTGATGAAGCCCTGTATGCCGGGGCGAAATATTAGTATATTCTTCAAATCTAATTTATTTTGAAAATTTTATCTCGTGACATTGGACTCTCGTCGTCGTATTGCTTTGTTCCTGTATATCTTTTATAACAACACTCATTGCAAGATTCACAGAATCCGGCGGACAGCCTATCCTGCGGTTCTTCCTTCTCACACAGAATAAAACGATCCATCGTTTTAAAAAACAAGCAAATTAGTGGGGTAAATGACTCTAGGAGGACTGTGATGGTGGTAGGAATAATACACTAGGGTATCAAAAGTATTGCACCACCTCGAAGGAGGAGAAATGGCGCATGAATGATCGAAAGCTATTGTTATGCAAATTATTTATGTTTTTAGAGGGCCAATGGCAATTGGTTGAAAGCAAAACAACCACCAATCAAAACTTCAATCTATTTAGAGCATTTATTTGAAAAATAACAGTGGCAATCGTCCTTTAACAGTTTCAAATTTCAATATTTTGATGGGTAGCCGCAAACTTTTGAAACCGCAAAAAGCCTCCTTGAAATGGATCCACATTTTTGGTCAACGTATTCTTGTGGAATTTCGCAATAGGCCTGGAAAATTCTTACAATTAATGATTCTCTGGCTTTTGGACGACCATTTGGATCACAGTTTGTAACATTTTTCATTTGAAGTCAAATTTTTTTAGCGATGTTAAAGATTGGACTTAATTCTGGCTATGCCAAAACTTTAATTTCTTTTGTATGGAAATAAATATTTGTAAAAATGGTTTCCGTTTACTCAGGTAACTTTTTCTTTTGTATTTGTGCAAAACACTCATTATATTTTCTGTGGACGGAATTTGAGCTGCAAAACCTTGCGCAGTGTTGAGTTTCATGCCTTTTACTGCCCCTTGGTGCTGTACGTAGTGAAATAAAACCGACAAATTCTTTTCCCTTTAACATCAAATTTATTTTGGTCGCCAACTTCTCGGTTTCTTTACTACTGTAACATTCTCGAGAAATCTTTTTTTATTTACCGCAGCTGTTGAGTAGCTGCATTTAACTTGGTCAACATTTTTTTAAAATTAAAGACCACTTCCCCGTAAATGTTTTATAGCGACTCGCCTCTCATTTGACAATTTTGTTTCCTCAGGCACTGGCTACATTTTTACAGATAAAAATGTTTTTGCGTAATTTATACATTTTTAACTAAGTTTTCTATGGCGTCAGCAAGATTTGCAAACTTTTCCCGCCAAAGTTTGCTCTAAAATGCGCTTATTTCACCCAATTAATGCATTCAAATGTTTTGCATTGTCCAAAAGTCGACAAAATGTGCCGCCATTTTGAGCAGGGTGGTGCAATACTTTTGATACCCTAGTGTATGTAGATAAAATGTGGATAAAATGATGAAATGAAGTTCAAAAAATATAAGCCTCTTAGCCAAAATGAGACATACCCTAATCGAGGTCGCTCACATGCACTCAGCGTTGTTCGCAAAATGTCGGAGTTTATGTTGACGGGAATTTTTTTTGTACTCATGTAACATTGATGCCAAATTATATTTAGTATAGTCTAGCGTCGTTCAACTCAAAGAACTTCTAATCATGTCGTTCAACTCAATGAACTTGGACGACAGACTCTTAAAGGGCATAGCGAAGCAAGGATGGTCATCACCTACTCCTGTTCAGTCCGAAGTAATCCCTCTTGCCATGGACGGCAAAAGTATCGCTGCAAGAGCAAAGACTGGCTCGGGTAAAACTGCTGCCTATCTCATACCAATCATCCAGAAAGTCATCGAGCACAAGGACAAGAAAAAGGAAGGGGTTTATGGTATTGTCATCTTGCCATCAAAGGAACTTTGTAAACAGGCCTTCGATCACATCGTCCTACTAACTGCCTATTGTTCAAAAGATGTCCGATCTCTAGACATCGGAAATAAAACAGTGGAAAATTCAAAGCCGTTGCTTTCAAAAGGTGTTGATATTGTATTTGCTACTCCAAGCAAGCTTTTGTCAAACTTGAAAAATAAGACCTTGTCATTGGAAAACCTTGAATCGCTCGTGATTGATGAGGCAGATATAATGTTTTCATATGGGTATGAAACAGATCTAAATGAGCTTCTTGATTTCTTGCCTAGAAGCTATCAAGCAATGATGCTTTCTGCCACCCTGTCAGACGATGTTGCAGCATTAAAAAAGAAGTTTCTAACAAATCCCGTGATATTAAAAGTTGATGAATCTGATCTCCCTGAAGAGGCTCAGCTTGCTCAGTATCTTATAAAATGTGAAAGGAATGATAAATTTTTGTTGTTAGTGACACTGCTAAAACTTGGTTTAGTAAGGGGAAAGACTCTGATTTTTGTGAACAACATAGGCAAGTGCTACAAAGTGAAACTGTTCTTGGAGCAATTTTCAATCCAGGCTTGTGTTCTAAACTCAGAGCTACCTCAAAACTCCAGGGTACACATTGTTGAGCAGTTTAACAAAGGACTCTACGATATTGTTATAGCAACTGACGAGGCCACTGTGATCAAACAAGGAGCTGATTCAGAATCTCAAACAAAATCTGATGTGGAAAAGAGCAAAAAACAGAGCAAAGATAAAGAGTATAGTGTATCAAGAGGGATAGATTTCCAAGGTGTTGAAAATGTGCTGAATTTTGACTTTCCAACAAATCCAGAGTCATATATACACCGTGTAGGGAGGACTGCAAGAGCAGATAATACAGGCACTGCATTGTCACTTGTTGCCATTGATGATGAACCAAACTTAAGAGATGTGAATTTGAAGTTGTCAGCTTCACCAAATGACAAGGATTCTGTGTTGAAGCCATACTTGTTCAAAATGGAAGAAATTGAAGGTTTTAGATACAGAGTAAATGATGCACTGCGAGCAGTGACTAAAGCTTCTATAAAAGAAGCTAGGCTAAAAGAGATAAAGACAGAGATAATGACTTCACAAAAGCTAAAGTCATTTTTTGAAGACAACCCAAATGATTTGAAAGTCTTGCGCCATGATAAAACTTTGCTACCAAAAAAGCGCCAGCCTCACTTAAAGAATGTGCCAGACTACCTTGTGCCAGCAACCTTAAAACCAAAGATAGTCAGGCCTAAGAAAAAGTTCAGAACAAGGGATACCACAGTTCATCATAAACAATTTTCTGGTAAGAAAAGAAAGAATGATGACCCACTGAAAACATTCAAATTTGAAAGGGCAGAGAAGAAGAATAAAAAGTAGAATTGCTATTTGCATAGTAGGCCTGCCTTTGTTCAAAAAAAATTTATGACAATTCATTGATAACTCAGCTAGACAGTTATTGTTCTATCAACAACTATTATTGAATAGTCACAGTTGCATTGAAAGTGATGAGATACACCCAAGACATACCATTTTTACTTTCAGATGGATTTCAAGAGATTCTAACCATCACAAGTTTTACTTGTTTTTAGGCTTTTGTCAAACTTTCACAGCAATGTAATCCCTTTGTAGAGAAAAAATATGGTATTATTTTAAGCTCTTTGGCTCCTTGCTGTAGAAATATTAGACTGTATTTGAATTCAACCACCGTGACATTTTCCTCCTTATAAGATTTATCTAAAATTTCTGGTTATGTTTTAATTCCTCAATTTTTCATTCCTGCAATCAGTTAGAAATATAAGCAAAGCTAACTGACTTTTTACTCTAAATAGTCATGAAAAGATGGTGTTCTTGGCATAAGCCATGTGTTTTTTTACCCACAACTACCAAAAGGCCAAACGAAACCAATTGAAGATTTTATGGTTTATGAAATTATGAGAATGAATATTTTGAATTTAAAAATTACAAATCTTTTGTTGTCACTATTTGATTCTGAAATCTCATTATCACTCATCTTTCTGCACTTCTTGCTTTTCATATTATTTGCTTTGTTGGTTTAAATGTTATTAGAAAAATGTTTGAATTTTTCATGCAAAAAATTGTGTCGCTTTTCATTGCAGTATTTCAATAGGCCCTGCATAATTTCTATGCTGGAGTTTTAGAATTTTTATCTCCCTTTACTTCAATCTACTGTGACTTTTTGTAGTTTTGTCCATTTTTTAGACACACATCAATTACTGGCTTTTAAAAACTGTCAGCTTTCATATAACATCAAAACTTTTGAAGAAACATTTGCCTACACCATTTCTTGAGTCTGCTGTACTAATTTTAATCATTAAATCAATCTTCATACTTAGGCCATGTCTTGCTGAAAGATTTACCTAGAGTTAATTGCGGACTTCATTGGAGAAGTTCTTTCCCAAAGAGTTCTTTAGTGTGACGACATAAAATAATCGTTTTTTTTATTTTTAAAGTTTGAACACATAACCTTTAAAAATTCAGGTTAGATATGGCCTATGAAAAGCTTGAAGGTGCTATGCTCAAAAAGTTATGAACAGAGACCAAATTACAAAGGTTTGGTTGATTTTGCAAATTAAAATATAAATTCATAATGCTCTTTCAGATTATGGGACCTAAATTAAAAAATTATTGGAATCTATTTTTGTGACGTCATCACTTGTTCATTGGGATTGTTTGTTCTTGTTGAAAAAGAGGCTTCCCGCAGATTCCCCCTGCCAAACGCCAAAACGCGTTTATCTGTGTATAAGAATTTGCAATGGCTGCCATCCCTGTGAGAAGGTATTAGGGTTTGTCAGTTGGACACCTTTGTCATCAAATAGAAGCATATTGTCGTTTTTCTTTACCAGGTAACTTCATTAATGCTTGATCTTTTCTTCTTTACGTTCTAAAAAATGTGCAAAAGCTAATGCCAGATGGCTTGATTATGCGTGAAATGCCCAAGAAGAGGGACAGGGCTCAAGGAGAGAAGGAAGGCCAGATGATATGGCGTTCGTGTCGTAGACATATGATTAAGTGCAGTATTTTTAGCGTTTAAGGTATCCTTGATGTCACATTCTTTATCAAATGAAGGGATCGATGCAAGCAAAGGTTATCTGACAATTCCTGAAATTCAGCACAATCTAGAGGTATTTAGGCCAGAAGCTAGATTAGCGATGACTTCCGATTTTGATGTATAATCTTGTGTGGCTTAAGTGTGGCCTAATCATGTATGCTCTTGTTGTAGAAAACATATTTCATTGATCAAGTTTTAGTGAAATGCATTGAGTAGAATGGCTTTTAATTATATAGGTATATTGAGATCTATATAGTTAGTGTCAAACTGGCTGTCTGCCTACCCAAAAGGGTGATAATATAAGTTACTAAAAATAGTTGAAGTTGTAAAAATGTAAGTGAGTTCCAGCCATAATTGTTAACTCCAATTTCTTTTTCCAGGTCCGCCAGTTCAATCACTGTACCAGGTTAACCCTGAAATCATGTTGTTATATTTGTAATTTTATGGGTTTTTGTTTGAATGCAAAATGACAAACAATGAAGTGGTTAGGATTGTGGATGGTGAATGTTTGTCGAATACCAATGGAAATCATGATGTTGGGAGCTCTCAGTGCCAATGTGGGAAAGAAACTGCTCACAGTGAGTCAGATGACAAAGGCACATCTTCCAACACATCATCAAAAAAGAGTTATTCACAATTGAAGAAGAAGAACTCAAAAAAGAAGAGAGAAAAAGGCAAATCAAAAGATGAACTTGAACAATGTGAAGCACAAGTGGAAATAAGCCCCACTTTGCCGTCACCTAAGAGTTCATGGCTATTAAGGCTGTTTGAATCAAAACTATGTGACATGGCTATTGCTATAGCATACATGTTTAAATCAAAGGAGTCAGGTGTTTTGGCATACTTGGGAAATAAGTTATTTGTAAGTATCAAGTTTGTATTTGTATTTGTTGTTACCTAGCGTCTGAAGGTAGTTTTTAGGACGCTGAGAAGCCATGCTTATCAAGCAGTATCCTGGTCCTTCCTCTCGATGTGACCACACCTCGTGATTCCTACGCCTGGAATTACAGAGAGCTAGAGACTCTCCCCACTCTGGGTGAAAGTTTGGTCATGTCAGGGACTCAAATCACGGACCCTGGGGTCTGTAGTCAGCACCTCTAACAACTGAGCCATCCTCAAGTTGAACACAACTTTTTGAAAAATCTTTCTTCGGTAGTAACCAGATTTTGTCAATAGAATAGCGAATAAATGCGTAACTTGGCAAAGTTTGCCTATGATATCTTACAGTGTATTTTGCTATCTTAGTTTTTGTCTCCTAAATTAAAGGATTAAGCATTTGTTCTGTAGATTGCATCGAAGGCCAATAATTTTGCAGGTTAATGTTTCAGAACAGTTGAAGTGCCTGAAAAATTTTTTTCTGTTCAAAATATTTTGGGGCCAAATTTTTTACTGTCTGATACATAGCAAAGTTTCTAAACTTTTTGAAAAAAGAATGTCTTCTTCACCAGCACTTAGTCTCTAAAAATAATGTGTTGTAAAAAAGCTAGCTACTCAGTGAAACAGAATCATATTTTGTCAATAACATTTAATGGTCAGAAAAAATCCACATTATTATAAACAATTTTATCATATTTTCTTCTGTCATACTTTCATCATAGTTAATATTGATACCTTTGTTATGTTCCCTTTTTTCATCTGACTCTATTTCGTTCACTTTGTGCTATGGTGAACTTTGCAACAGTCATGGCATGACTGTTAAAGCTTTTGAACTTGTGGTCATGATCCCAGTTGAGAGAATGGGAATTCCAAATCAAGTGAAGTATATACTTTAGTAACCTTAATAAGATGCAATATGCTTTTTTTAATGTAATTGAAGTTTTTTTGTTTTTTTCTGTGACTTTAAAAAAATCATCAAATGTCCAATAATATTTTGTCCAAAATTTATTCACTAGAAACTTTTGGCCTTTAATGTTTCACCCATTACATAACAATATCGTAAATAAAAGTTTTTCTTCTATTTTGCAGAGCTTTCCTGATGAACAGGTTGATGTGTATCTTCCAGAACTAATGTATGTATCTGTCTCATCAATTGTATGTATTTTTCTAAAAAAGCTTAGTTGATCTCCTCATCTAAAATGGAGCATTAAAATGTAGCAAATAAGGTCATATGAGAAATATTTTCATTCACATTTTCATTGTGAATCATTGAATCACATATTCATTTTTGGTTCATAGAACAGTGTTTTATTCTTTGCTTCCATTTATTCAACACAGATGTTTACTAAAGAAAAACATTTATTTCAAATCCATAATTTTTCCTTGTGGTTTGATGGATAGACCAGTTTGGTGGCGTCTTTGATGAAAATGATAAATCAAAGTTTTCTTTTGTGTTTCAGAAATATGTTTATACATATGTCAGAAGTTGCAGATGTTATTGGTCCATACCTTTTGGCAAGAAGTCGAAAAAGTACAAACTTTGCCTTACAGGTGATATATGCATACTTGTTTGAAATAATTTTGTCAATATTTTCTGCAGTTCAGCTGCAATAATTGATCTAGAAAATAGTTTATGACATAGATTCGCATGGCAGTGGTGGCTGGCACAAAAATTAAGATGGTACTAGTAAAGCACAAACAATTTTAGCAGAGCAAACCAGCTAGAGGAATGGTGGCGCAGGGACATGGTCCCTGGAAAATATTTCTTTTTATAGCTAATATGACCAAATTGTCTTTTAATGGCTTGTCAGAAGTTTTTATATAATACCTAGGTTTGTCTGACGTCATGTGATATGGCCAGCTGCAGGGGTTAAATGGCCTCACAGCATTTTATCACTAGAACGCGGAATCTAGTACTGTGAACAATTTCTTCATTGTTGGATTGTCGAAAGACAAACGGTTTTACGTCAAGTTGAATCACAAATGACAATGGGACAGACTTCTGCAGTACTGGGCGAATGAGGTCTAGTACCATGGTGTGCATAAAGGGCTTATTCAATGCCAATCTCTCAATGATTGCTGACTTGAACGACGTGAGACAGGTTGCAGAGAAATTTTCATTGTCTGCTAGTTGCTTTTGGAAGGCTTTGAAAATATCTTTCCATACCAAAGTATTTGCTGACTGGTTAAAGTCTTCCTATAATCCCACGAATGATTAATATAAGCTACAAGTACTTATTCTATCATTAGTTTGTATCCAGTGCCCATTTCATGCTGCATTGAAACTCTTCATCATTTGTGTCTTTCTCTGGTTAGAAGGTATTAACATCCGTTCTTCATCAGTTTTTTAAAAGAAGTTTTCAGATTTCTTTGCAACTAATTAATTTTGTACAAAAAACTTTCCTTTTTGTCTTTCCATAAGAGTGTTACCTTGCTATTAAAATGATCTGTTGATATTCTGCCAATTTTTCATAGGCTACATGGCATTTAGATTCACATCTTACTGATGGTTGGTTGCCAACCAAAGAATATAATAGGGGAAAGAAGCTGTTGGAGCATATCTCAGCTGATGGAAAAAAGCTAAGGTACAAAATGTGTATGCACTGTTCTCTTCATCTATGTGTAGGGTTACAAAACAATAATCAAAAGGATGAAGATTCAAAAAAGCTTCATCAGACATTCCATTTTTACATAAAACTAATCAAATGAATATTGCATTTTTAGGGCAATATTTTAAGTTTTTATTTTTAGTAAATGCTGCCAAAGCAGAACATTTTTAAGGTAGAATTTTACAAGATTTGTCACAACATGTTTTCACAACATCAGGAAAAATAATAATTTGAACAATTTGTTTTTGTGTTTATTTTTAGAAATTCAACCAGTTTTAATCATTTAGTTGTTAATAGTTAGTTTTTATATTTTGTTAAAGAAGAAAAAGTAACTCAAAAATGGTTCTAAGGAGTCTGATTGGATAAAGGTTGAGCAACATTTCTTAGTTTAAAATGAAGTTCTGGATAGATGGAAATAATGTTTCGTTCAATTTGATGAATACCCCTAAAGGATTTAAAAAATTTCCAAGTATATACAATTTAGTAATATATCGAGCTAACATGTCACACCTGTTTAGCTGGCCATTTCAATCACTCCCGGCTTGTAATCAGCCGAAAGGCAAATGTTTTTGTTGGCCAGTTGAAGGAGTGGTGTGAAAGGGGGTTGAAGTTTGGCAAAACAATTTTTTGAGGAAGTTTAGGGGAGGAAAGCCATGTTGTACTGTACGTGTTGATATCTCTCAACATAGTAAGATAAGATGGCACCTGAACCATGAAAATTCTTGAATTCTGCTTTTACCAAGTTACATTTTATAAAGTCACAGGGGCCTAAGTTTTTAAGTTATCATAAAGTTATGCTCACATAAGCATTAGCATCATTTAAAGTTCTGTAAAATTTTGTCAGTAGTTTTTGTAGTGAGCAGCATGAGGCTAATGACATCCTTGAAACAAAGAAAGAAGTAATAATTTGGCAAGCTTTTGATTTTTTTAAGTCTTTGTTTCTGTTGCTCTTTATTAGATTTACAATGCATAAATAATCACCATTCAGCCGCAATGGATGTAAAGTTCAGATACCCCACAGAGATATGTGACATAAATTCTGATTGGTAATTATCAAACTTTCTAGATCTAATACCTAAGTAAGCATACATTATGCAAATTTTCAGTATCACATGTTTTTGTTGCAGGAAAAAGGTGCCATGTTTTCCCAACCAAACATCGGCTCCAGTGAACTCTCCTGGCAAAAAGACTCACCAGCGCTCAAAATCTGAAGTCACTTTTGGCAATATACAGCATCAAAGTATCAATGAGGTATACTTCCTTTTTGGCTTTAGTAGATAATTGTAATCCATGGAGGTTTAAATTTTGATGTAAATAACAGATTGCGACAAGGATAAAATGGGTTTGCAGCCAGTCTATCTTTGCATTTCTGTTTACACTGTATGGATTTCAAGTAAAGTTGTTATTTCTTTTTGGTTAAAGTAGACTTGTTAAAGCATTCAACAACTAGGGTTTTAAGTTAGTTTATGAGGATACATGCTCCAAAAGCCCACCTAGATATGAAGTTTCATTTTCAGTTTCCAAGTCTGCAACCAAGTACCTCATTTGTCAGCCTTTATGCTCAATATAAATGCCATACCTTGAGTTTTTGTTTATAGCATCAACCCTAAGAAAACTACAGTATGTTTCCTATAATTGTTCAGAGTTCTGAGCAAATTTCAAAGAATAATTTGTCAAAGATATTTGTGATATTGATTTATGTGAAATTTATCAAATAATCCTATTTTTAGTCAGGGGTTTTTAACTTGATATTCCTTTTAAAGTAGAATTTGCAAGAATTGTCACAAAATGTTTTCACAACATCAGAAAAAATAATCATTTGAACAATTTGTTTTTGTGTTTATTTTTAGAAATTAGATCAGTTAAATCAGTTAAATCAGGTCGTTTAAATCAGAAGCTATATTTTATGAATCTGATATACAAATGTTGTTTTTCTTATGATTATAAAGTAACTGTAGGCAAACTTGTTTTGCAAAATCTTTTCAGTTTCAAATGAAGAAATACTGAGAAATCGTGTTTTGTTTCTCTTAAGCACTACAATCACAGCCAGTCTACGGATAATATCGACTCTGGGAATCTGCAATTAGGCCTTGCCTTTGGCAAATGTACTTTACACACACCAGTTATAAACTGTGCTGCTTCTTCACCAATGCTCAATAAATTGGCAGATGATCAGAAATGTAGCTGCCAGGTAATTTCCTTGTTTCCGCTTGCAATCATAGGGCTTTTCAGTCTTTTTTTTATTTAAATATAGACAATGATCTATTTCTTTATTGATGCTGGATTAGGTAGGTGATTGAACAAGCTGAGCATGTTAACTAATTTTCTGGTTCCCCAACTAAGCATAAAATTAATTTTAAAGTCAGCCTGTTCACTACAAGAGTACACATATATTAATAGAAACCAAATGACGTTCTATACTAAAATAAATTTCTAAAGACTGTAATTGCCGCAATATGACTTGATATTGCAAAAATGTGATTGAGAAGCCACGCGAAGATCTCTATGGTTCTATGTTATACTGTCATTAGGCATGTGGGTGCTTTGGTAATGTTTAAAGGAGGAATTAAGCAGATTGGATTAACAGCATTATCTTCAACGGACACTGGTTCATATGCTAATTTCAACCGACCCTCTAAACAATTTTTTTGTTCATCTGTACTTGTATTTTCATCTTAACTGTTCTCTCAGTCTGTCGTTTTGCTCTAATGTGTTAGGAAAAGAGATGCCAAAATTGAAGTTCAAAATGATTTTATATTGACCTTCACAACAATTTAACAGATTTTTTTGAATATCAATGACGTGGTATAAGCATTAATCTTGAATTCTTGGAAATCTTTCTCGTTGAAATTAAAACAGGAATTCAAAGATAACTGTTTTCGTCACCCACATGAGTTCCAATAGGTAGCACTGTGGATTTCCTTTTTCAGGTCCCGCTGTTTACAGCTGAGAGAGACTTTGTTGATGCACTGCAAGCAATTGGAGAAAGAATGAGAACTTTAGCAACTAAGGAATTAAAAAGTGAGTCATAGCCAGTTGTTTTGTTTTGGAGTTATTAGTCATTAATGATAATTATTCCAAACCATTTACCTTCCACTTTTATCACTAGCAAGGGAATATATATTTAAACAATCTTTTGGTGGTACAAAACTTGTAAATGGCTTTGAAAAAAGCAAACATTTAGTAAACTAAAGCTTTTCGTCTGACACTCTTCAGAGTTTAAAACGTCAGAACATAGATCGAAAACTCAGAAAGAAAATCAGAAACACGAGCACATGACTGTATAGGTGAATATATATTTCTTCCATGGCAAATCTGATTGCACAAAGTCATATGTTCTATCTATCTTTTTCATCTTTGGTTGGCAATTGCGTCCGCCTGTTGCATAGAAAGGCTAAATTTGAATCATGGTAAAGGAAAGTGACGTCGTCATTTTCATTGGTCAGATCATCCAAATGCCAGCGAAAGCCACAAACAAGCAATAAACCTGTTTGATTTTTTAGATGATCCAGCCCACAATTTCATATTGGTAACTCTATTCTATTTCTAATCAACTTCTCATTAAGTAGCAAGCAACAAATCTTGATTTGTCATTTTTTTCATACAACTTTAGAATCAGAATGGAGACTATAGGGCTTATCATGTTGTGCTTCTTGATCTACCGCATTCAAGTTTAATTTTTGTTTACAAAAAATAAAAACAGTAAGGGAATTCTGAAGCAAGAGACTGAAATCCTTGTATTCATTTTGCATACTGTTTCTATCAGTACCCGATTAAATCCTTAGTATCATCAAGGTTCTTGAGTAAAAATTAAATGGTAATTAACCTATCTTTATAATTCGTATTACTACTCCTTTTCATAGCCCAAAGATTATACGCCGAATTATCAATGCTAAACCTGAATCTACCCGCCCGTGTCTTTTTACCGTTTCCTGATTTAAAGCCGCATTACATTCTGAGAATTCCGCAGGCTGCAGCCGTGGTTCTAAACTCCAAAGACAGGGTAAGGTCTTCGCTTCATGCCTATTTATTACATAAAACATGCATTTTTGAAATTAGAGCTGACAAAAATTAAGAAACTATGGTATAGATCACTGTTAACCTTAAAGGCTCTTACACAACCGGCATGCTTTGCGACTATATTTTCAAAACCGGCCTGATATAATACCGCATGAAAATACAAAACGCAATAAATCTCTCAAGACAGCTGCCGCTAAGCATGCCTGTTGCGCAGGAGCCTTTATAAAAGTGCTCGGATAAGGATTATTTTGATGATGGGATGGGAGTGCTGATGGGGTTAGATGATTAAGTGCTTGATTGTGATAGATCGCCTGTTTCAAAGAACTCTTTGTGACTTATTAGGTATTCTGTTTAATGTTTTGTTGATTTTTTTGTTACCCTGCATGTTGGTGTGCCATATTTAAGAAACCTGTCATAGAATAATAACGATTAAAAACTGAGCGCTAATCCCGAGCTAAGTTTCTTAGAAAAAATGGTGTACAGGTTGTTAGAATTTTAACTAGCAATAAATTAACAAAGGTTTTTTATTAATCAATCCAGCAAAGATTGTGTCGATTAACGCTACATTGCTAGCCTTGTCAATATTTTATGCTAGTGTTTTTTATTTGACATATTCAGTGGTTTGTCACCTGGCTTACATTTCGAACATCTGAGCTGTGTAATCTTATTAACAAATTAGTGTTTCAGTATTGGTGGGTTATACTCGGTGAGATATGGGAAACAACAAGGATCCTTTGTGTTGACTTTTAGCATGAACCTAGTTCCTTACAGAATTCTTGTCTCAGACAAAGTATTTATATTAACCAAGATTTAGTAAAAAATATTTTGTATTGTTATGAGAGACTTTCTATCAATATTTAGCAATAAACTACCAAAAACGACTTCAAATTTTGTACACACTAAAGAACGATTCAAACCAACTCTCCCTATACCACTCCATTAATATTTTTTTCCATTTTCGTCTTTATTTGTAATAGTTTACTTTACCTAATCTCAAGTCATATTTAAAACCATAGAGTTAATATGGACCATTATACTCCTTGCGACATTGTCCCTTGTTGTTTGTCAAATGGGTTCAAAGTATTATGGAAACAAAAGAATGTGCTATCTACTTTTAATATTCATCCCACATCAGGCTTTTTAAAACTGTTAACCTGGTGTTGTTTCACAGTGGTTTTCCAAAACCTACCAATAAACAGACAGAATTCTTGACTGCATATAACACTTTTGAACTGTACATTGACTGTCATTATCAAAACTTCAAGTCAAAATTTTGAATTTTAATCAAAGTTTAAATAAAGGGAAAGCATAAGAACAAGGAAATCTCTTTTTTGTGGAAACAACGATAGAATTTTTGACGTTCTGAAACAAATTAAATATATGAACTGGGGGGAGAGGGATGAAATCACTGTCTTGTCGTTAGATTCGAATAAAGAAATGCCACGAAACGATATATTGAATGCTGTAATATAGAAAGGATTTGGATACTTGTTGCAAGGGCTCATTCTGCGACGTAGAAAAACTTCGCGGATACTGTTTAAAGATTTTTTGAAATACAGTATTTTATTTCTGTTTAGGCCCCGTACATAATATATGTAGAGATCATAGAGACTGAAAGAAATGAAGAAGATGGTAGCATTGACAGTCTTTGTGTTGAGAATCCCATTCGCCAAGTCAGGTAATCCTTCAGCTTCTAAAGAAGATTTGTTTAAACTGCTCAGCCTTTATATTGCCCCTGCAACGTAGTGGATAACACGGTTGCCTTTCGATGCAGTGGATAGACACTCCAGTTCGTGCCTCTTCACGAGCTAACATAAATATCAGAAATCAGGCCAGGGATCGCAAAAGGCCCGAGTATCTTGAAGCCAAATAAATATTTATCCAAAAAGTTTGTATCTTTAGATGTAAGGGTGGTAAAATTATTGTCTCTGGCATCCTAATACTATTACAATTCTGAAATTTTCTTGGAATTGATTTTATCAAGGAATGTCAGATAATGAAGAAATTAAAAGCTTGCTCTCGTGAAGATTTTTTGCATTTGCGCTGTGTTTTCCTTTTTGCAAAAAATTGTTTGAGTAAAGACTGTTTTAAGTGACCTTTAGATTTGCCAAATCATTCCTGAATGCACTAAAGATAAGGGAAGTCGTTACTGAGATATACTCTGCTAAATTTATAATGTTTTAACATTACTTTCAATCAAATCGCTTTTTGGAGTTAACCGGGACTGTTTTTTCAGCCTTACCTAAACTTATGGGCCTCTCAGAAATATGGAACAATTTTGTATGCAAACTAAAAAGTGCTTTCATATAACACCTGTAATGTCTTTAGTAAATAAAACATTTTGTATTCAATTCAGTCGGTTTTTTCTGCTTTATTGCTTCTCCTAGCAGTACAAAACTTCAACCTTTTTAAAATGTAGAGTGGAAATCTCAATTTAATTTGTCTTTTCAAAACATCTTTTGCAGATCAGAGGAGTATCTACCCACGTACACCCGGGATCGGGACAACGTAAGCACAGAATTTCATGTATGTTGGCTGTTTTGCTTCAATAACTCCTGTAATCGTGTGATCTACACCCGTGTAATTAATGGTGCTTTGCTCCACTTTTACTTCTAATACTCTTACCTTTAATCTAAGAACATGTCACGTGGTTAAGGGCAATGAGAATAGCCGTTAAAAGCAAACCCGCCTTGTAGTCGTTGCTTTTTACAAGGTTTTCAAAGCATGAGGGTATTGTCCTAAGGAATGACGAAAACTCTTTTTCCTGTAATACAGATCTCTTCTAGAGTCTACCGTGGCCTCTTCTTTGGATCTGGAAATTATACAACCCTTCTATTTGAATTTATAACTTTTAATCGAATTTTCTTCGATGGCCCGAGTCCCTTTCAAAAGTTTTCTGTTGAGGCAGATTCATTTAAGAAATTAATGCATCTAACATATTTGCAGTTTGTTTGTTAACGCATCAATAAGATTAATTTCATAATTTTCAGGATTGCAATGAGTTTTCAATATTTAAAGTATACATTTTTGTCTGTCCTTGTGTTTATATGTCCACAGTAACCATCTTTTCTTGTGTGGTATTGTCGTTAATACCCCCTTCCCCCTTCGTCTATCACCGTTTCCCCTGTTCAGATCTTAGCAAATGTCTCGTTACTGTTATAATTCCTTGCATTGTCAATGTTAGCTGTTGTTCTTGATTGCTCTTTCAACCACTGTGCTTCTTTTGCAGAATTTCCCCTTCCAAAGGACGTCCTTGAAACAATTTACCACCTTCTGCTTTCAATTTGATACTTTTTGCAGCTTGTTGCTTTTTCACTTTGTTGATCTTCTTATATTTTTTCCCCATCTTCTCTGATCCTCCCTTCGTCATATCATTGCCCGTTTTATAACCTTTGATTGATTTTGAATTATATGCATTGATGTTTGCTTGCAAGGTCTTGATTTTGCTTTGTTCTTTTCGGTCTTTCTCTGTTTTTTCTCCGCTTCTCTGGGTATTTCCTTCTTTGAACTTGTTCGCCACTTGACTTGGATGCCCACCGTTATTATTTCTCGCTGCATTTGCTGTTTCTGCATTGATTTCCTTTTCGTTTATCTCCAAACCACCTGTATTTTTCTTGACCTTGTCACTTTGCATCTTATTATTGCTTTTCCTCGCAAACATTGCATTATTCGTCTTTTCATGCCAATTTTGCTTCGACTCATCATCCTTGAACCCCTGTCTTGTGTTTGCCAATCTAGATTCGGACCCGATCTTCTTGTATCCACGTTTTTCCAATTTCTGAGCATTGTCTGTGTAAACCTTGTTATCTGTATGAAGTTTATCAGCAACATCGTCCCTATCTTCAATCTTGCTTTCTTTGCCTTTTTCTTCCTTGTCATTCTTATTTTCCTCATGCATTTTATCAGCTTCCTTGTCATTTTCAATTTTTGTGTCATGACCCTTTTTCTCTTCAGTTTTCATTCCTCTTTCTTTGTTGGTCTCCTTATTAACTTTGTTGTTTGCCTCGTCTGCCTTGTTGACGTTTTTCTGTCTCTCTTCCTCAGCATTGCTTGTTTCGGATTCCTTAGAATTTTGTCCTTTTTGCGCTGAAATCAGCAACTCATTATCTGACACTTTGTTGTTTGCATTTGATTCAACTTTGTTTTCAATTTTCTGATCTGTTTCTGATTTTTCTTTGTTTTCTATATTTTTCTGATTTTTTATTTCCTTTTCCTGCTCTTCGTTACCTTTCTTTTCTTTAGCTTCTATTTCCTTTTTTTCTTCTTTTTTCTCTTTTTCGTTACTCGCTCCATCCTTTTCTTTTTTCATCTCTTCATTTTTCTTTTCCAATTTCTTTTGCTTAGTTTGCTCGATTTCTTTCTCTCCCCCTTTCTGTTTCTCCCCCTTTTTCTGTTTTTCTTCATCTTTCCGTTCTGTTTCTTCTTTTTGTTTCTGCTCGCTCAGCTTTTCTCCCTTTTCTTCTTTTCTCGTTTCCCCCTTACCTTTTTGTTTGTCTTCTCCCTTTTTTATCTGCCCCTCTTTTCCAGCTATCTTTTTGTCTTCCCCCTCTCTCTCACTTTTTTCGGCCACGTTCGCTTCCTCTTTGCTCTTATCCACTCTCTTTTCTTCATCTTTTCCCTTATTTTCATTTTGTTTTACCGCAGTTTTGTCATCTGTTTTTTTGTTTGATTCTTCCGCTTTGGTAACTCTATACTCCTTTTCACCACCAACTTTATCTTTTGCCTCTTGTGGCTTAAGTCGATAAAAACCAACCTTTTCCTGTGCTATTTTGCTATCCGTAGCCCGTTCATCATCCCATAAGTTGCTTGTAACAGCATTTACCAGATTCCCTACCAACAAGAAGGCAATTAGTGGAGATATCATTTTCAAGACCGTGATCTCTCAAGTGCTGGTTTCCGGCCTTAGTGTGATACCTCTGTAAATGCAACCAGTTTAACCTGTGTCACGCTATACTTTTCCAAACAACCTGAAAGTATGATGTTATCACTGTGTGCCACTTAATTATTAACCGTAGGACAGTTAATCAGCTCCTAAATTGGCAGTTATTTGACTTGTTTACTTCTAACCTATCAACTCGTTAACGTTTCTTTGTATTATACTATTCATGGTATTCGATGGCCTCGCTTTCACATATTATTTTGTCACAGCGATAAGATTGAAATTAGTCACCCATGTTTAGGTTGTTTAAAAGCAGGTGACTTAGATAATGTAGGTCCTACTGCTTATTTTCGTGACTGGATATTACAATCAATCTGGAAATGTCGCTTATGAATATGCATTTCAACTTTTAGTATACATGGTATTTTTGTCAGTTGCCAAGCGCATTGATTCTTAACCTTTCTACGAGGGGCACGTCACTCCCTGAAAATCCTGTACGCATTTGGCAAAAATGCTTTTGTTTTCGTGAGAAAAATCTGCACAAGTTCCTCAGAAATCCTATTGTTTTTAAAAAAACTCTCGTACGCGGTCTGGGAAGAGTGATAAACCCCTCGCCTTTCTTTAGCCTTACTGAATTATAGCAAATAAGACGTGTTGTATAAGGAATCGCTTCACCTCCCCAAAAGGAAGGCACTTCTGCAGAGACAAGTTAAACTTTCTATCTTTGCTTTAGAACTCCCACAGAGAACTCCGTTCGCAGACGTTTTTTCATACCATTAACAGTTTTTACCTCCCACAAAATCTTAAAGTTGTTATCATTAGAATCCTTCTTGCGATAGATTGTGCGCCACCCGCCAGAACACCTTGTGTAGGATTCCAGATGTTTTTTATTTTCTATGGCCTTATCATGCGTTTTTTGAGCAAATCTTGGTCAGCATCTTGCTCCCAACATTGAAGACCTTTCATACCCAACGGAGTTGATTTTTGTTACTCTTAGGCATATCTTAGGTTTTCTGTTTTTAATTTTGATTTATCATCAATTTTCTATCTCATAACAGGTCGGGGACGATGATTACAGTGAAGAATCAAAGTCGACGACAACCTCTATCAGTGACAATTTCTCAGAGGATTCTGAACTTGAACAGGTTTACCCTCATATCTCTATATTACCCTTCAATATCAACTTTCTCCCTATTTAGATCTAAAATCGTTTTATTAAGGTGCAAATCACTTCATTGAAATTTTGCAACCCTTTGGTGCAAATCCTATTGCTCTACCCGAAAATCCCTACAAATATTTTTGTTTTGGTGGAAATTCCATACGTGTTTTGTAGAGAGAATTGCCTCTTAGTCTTATATATTTCAGTGTTGATTTTTGCTTATCATGATTTGGATTGCATTCCTTATAAAATTTTTTCAATTTTCTCCTGATTTTTGCCTTTGCCATACTAACAGATTTTCGGGTTGATCAATCCAGGTTGAGATAACTGACCAACTAACACCTTATCTCTTCAAAATTTCAGAAATAAGCGCTGCAATGTCTAGACCCCATTTTGGTTGGGCAGGATTTTTTGGGCTCAATTTTTGTTAGATTCTGCTACAATATAAAATCTTTTCGAATGAATTAAAAGTAAATCAACTATAGAACAAGACGGTAACATTAAAACGAAAATTCGAAGAAGAGTTTTTAAGATTAGCCGTCAAAGTATGCTTGCTAATATTGCCTCTGGGTATACATAGGCAATGTCTGCCTGATGCAACACAGGCTCGAACAAATATATGCACTTCGTATTTCCACAACATAACACTCATGTCCTTTGCCAATATAACCCAATAACTTATTAGCTACTATATAAATCCAACGCAATACACAAAAAACTTTAACAGCAAACAACTCTAAAGCCATATGCTTTTAACGATTTGCAATATAACTTTAGATCACAATACATTCTTCGAACAGCAACAGAATATTATGTAGTGCCACGGCACTTTATTTGTCTATTCCTGTATACAGAGGGCTCAGCAACAGAACTCTACAGTTTTGAGGAGGATCAATTGAAGCAAGCCCATTGGTTGTATAATAACTAACACCCTTGATGTTCAACCAGTTATGCAGCCCTGATATTTTTATATTCTCCACTGTTACAAACATCCGTCAAAGAAGATTTTGTAATTTGCTTTGTGCATACCTTATTCTCTGTTTGCTTTTTTCTTAGCAACAGTACATATCGCCGTCAGATATTCGAAAACGATTAACAGAGTATTTGGCTGCTCCGAAGGCTTTGTTTATGGTCAGAGACCCAGATGACCCTTCAGGTATGTTTGATACAGCCTCGGTAATACTGTTCTATGCTGCTGCATGTGTCGCTCAGTGCAAGTTACCTAATCGTTACTTAAAAGTGCTGAAATACCTTCAGCACAGCATCTTTTCTATTTATCGTTTCCCCTTCCCCCACACAATGTTGTATTCTGATTAGAAAATGATGACTAATGAAGATGGGAACCGCAACAGTGTAACAGATGTTAAGCAAAATGTTTATCATCATTTCTGACATTCTTTAAGGGGAAACTGGGGATCGGTTCACTTGAAATTGAAAAATAAAGAGAGAAATTACCATTTATTGCGAGCGCAATCACGTTCTTTCAAATACTCTTGATGACCATTCTGTTTAAGGCGTTGAAAACTATCAAGTGGCCTAGTATACCGTAATCGTTCGAATAAGCGCCCCTCTTTTAAGAAAATAATTTTATAAGCGCCCCTCTCGAATAAGCGCCCCCTTGTTCTAGGGTGGATGCTTATTCGAATTTTTCAAATTCACGGAGAAAATCGATGAAAAAATTTTATATCTCGCATGGAGGGTAGGGAACACCTTGGAAAGAAAGAACAACACTTTTTCTTTGACAATTGTTATTCTTTTTTTTTATCAGGAAACTTCTTAAATTCACCGTGCACTATATGTTAGAAATATTTTATAAGCGCCCCTTTCAAATAAGCATCCATCTCGAATAAGCGCCCTCCATTAAAAGCAGAAAAATTAAATAAGTGCTTGGGAACTCATTCGAACGATTACGGTAGCTGTTGACTGAAAAACTGAAGGGCGGGTGCTTGAATCCTGGTTTGTTATTCGTCAGTCTAGCAGTAAAGACGTATTGACGTCAGACTAATGACGGCGGAAAAGGAATTGGCCACCCTAGCTCATATTGTCAACCCGGGATGTCTTATAGCCATATTTTACCGAATGTTTTAACATAACTGGGACATCACCCCATATCAAGAACAAGTATCTGTGTGCGTAATAAAGTTAAGAATCCTACTTCCTTGGTGGATCTCTTTTGTCACGGTTTGAAATTGCCATTGAAACCGTTCCAATGTTTTCTATGTGGACCTAAGGCCTAAGAGTATCATTTTTTATGCGCATTTGAAATGTGTCCATGCAAACGATGCTCGTTCTCGCTAGTTTCTTAATTTTGACGGTTTGTTAGCACTAAAAAATTTCTTGGTAGTTTCTGAAATTTTTAGCGACTGGAAAGCACTTGGATTCGTCCTGCTAAAGATTCACTGCACTGCGATTTTAACATAGCAAATTATATGAAAATTATCATCTTCATTTAGCTAAGAAGAAAATCAAGTTATCGTATTTTGAACTTTTACTGGGAGTTTCTAATATGGTTTGCAACCAGATTGCTTGGATTTTTAATAAAAAGCTTCTTATGCAAAATTCAGTGCTTATTTCCGATAATCAGTTATCGATTACGGCAATACTATAATAAAAATTTTAATTATTAGACCAGTGACCTGGTTAAAGCTCTGATAATTTAAGCTTTAATCTTTCCGCTTATTTGGCTAAGACGACCATCTTGCCAGTAATAAGCCAGAGCTTAATGTCATAGCTTTGCATAAGTTACAGTTTCGCAGTGGGCATGAATGGTCACCTAGAAACGAAAATTTAGAAACAGTGGCCTCCACGTAGCTGAGACTGCGAGGAAAGATATAGAAAACAAAATGATTTTAGCTTCAAAACTTAGAGCGCGCTCTGTTTTTCTTGTTTTTCTGAGAAAGGTTTTCAAAGGCAGCAACAAGTTTTTATTTAGGCCGTAGTTTTGCGAATCCTTCGAGCTTTCTGAGAGCTTGCTTTTAAATTTTGTGTTTAATTATTATTTAGGTTGAACAATACCAGGAAACCTGCTCTGTCTATCAATATATCTGGCATAGTCAGAACACGCACATGTTCGTTGCCCCCACGCATGTACCCGCACATTTATCCGCACATTTACCCGCACATGTACCCTTGTATCTAGTAAAAGTATCTAGTAAAAATCTTATAAATTGTTTGCATATATAAGATGTCCCTTGGTTGCTTTCGTTTAAACGACTAATTAAACGATTTGTCTATGTATCGATAAGTAGAACTTAAGTTTGCCAAAATGCTTCAGGTAGTAAACCATTCAATCGTCCAAATGTAATAACACGGTTATTGCCCTGAAGCATATCCATGTGTCTTTGTTTCTTGTTTATTTCACCAGGGGGTGACTACACGCATAATATTACTTCACCCTTTTATTCCTCAAATTGTGAGTTTTATGTTTCGACAATTTGAAGAGGGTATTTCTCCGTTTCTCAATGTTTTATTGCGATATTATTTTTTGTTAAAAAAAGCCATCGAAGAACCAACATACCACTGTCTTTGCACACCCTGACACTTTTATTTCTTGATCTGCAATTTTTCCTACGTCAGAGCTGAGCAGCTCTAGCACTTCAAACGGAATAGATTAAAGTTTTAGCTTGAATGCTATGGATCCAACGTGATCTTACGGCGTTGCAATACATTCATTAAACATTTTTCAATTTTGTTTTTTCCGTTCTGCATAATAAACGCTTTCTGTATTTTTCAGCTTCTGCTTTAAAAGAGCCTTGGGAAGAAAAAGTTGAGCGAATAAGAAGTTCGTCTCCTTATGGATACTTACCCACATGGAATATCCTTTCATGATATTTTATATACTACATGATTTCTTTTTAGTCTTAAGCTTGCCTTTCAACCTAGGGCAGAAAGTTCTAGCATTACCATTTTTATTACGCTTAAATCTCAACCGCTAAGGTGTTTAAGGGGGGGGGGAGGTAGGGAAAAGAACCCTAAGACCATGCATCTTTCACCATCAACACCCTTTTACCTAGAGGAAATTCGCCTTCTACCAATAGGGAAAGCTCACGACTAGTTTCAAAATCAGTTTGGTAATTGCTACTACATATCCTGCTACATTTGAGAGGGGGCGGGGTGTTAAATTTTTTAGACAATGCCCCTTTTACTGTCAGCACCTTTTACCTAGAGGGAACGCCGTTTAGGCAGTTTCAAAATTAGAAAGTCATGCCACAAATTACATCCCCGAAATATTACTCAACCACCTAAGATTTAAGCTGAAATCCATTTTTCATCCAAGAGATTTTGCTTTTCCCTAACAAGGGATTTTTCTGCTGCTAGCGTAGATTGTATTATAACTCTCCATTTTGTATCCAGTCCACTCATCTCAAAAATATCACCCTTAACTGTATTTATGGCTCCAACCAGCTATAGTGAAAACAGGTGACGACTTGCGACAAGAATGTTTGGCATATCAGCTGTTACGACAGTTTCTCGTAAGTTCTAACCAGTCTCGTAACATTTTACCGAAATTGTAATCTTATAACCATAGAGAAACTTACAGTTATTAAATGCACCTGCTTCCCTCTCCGTTTATCATTTGCAAAGTCGGTACCTTTTGTCTCATTGTGAATCTTCAGGGCCCTTCAATTTTCAATGTGGAAGACTATATGTGGTTTTATATATGCTTCCGCTAGTAAGGGTGGTCTTGTTTTGTGCTTCCAGGCAATTTTGACATTAGCGAGGAGGGCACAATTTTTTATGGACAGTGAAGAGAAAAAACCTTATTGATAGATAATCACTAAAATGTTAAAAAGTGTGATAAAATGCGTTGATTGCACCTTTTAGTTTCATGTAATCATATATCTGTGCTCAATAGAGCTTGTCTGCATTGTCTGTAACTGCGCTCAAGAGAGATTATTAGGCCCATTTAGAAAAGAATCGAGTACCGAAGAGATGACGTCATAAAAATCTATTTTTAGAATTTCTGAATTTTGATCCCAGAACCTAAGAGAGCATCATGAAATACCTTTTAGTATGCAAAATCAGTTAAAGGCATCACGAATTGGCTTAGATATGGCCACATAAGGACAGGCTCTTGCCTCATCAAACCTCTGTAATTTGGTCCAGGCCAGAATAACAGTGATCCGTTAGCAAACTTGAAATCTTTCATTGGCCATATCTCGCCCAGTTTGGAACATATTTAACTAATTTTGCACAATGAGAGGTATTTTATGCCATTCTTTCAGATTATGCGGCCAAATTTTAGAAATTCTAAAAATAGATTTTTGGTGACGTCACACTTCGGTACTCAATGTCAATTTCTTTGGAGCTTCTTCAGACCCACACACCCCCCAAAAAAAGCAAAAAAGAGTTGGACACATTCCAAAGCACATGACGCAAACTCTCCTCTAAGCTAGTAGAAGCTTTTTGTTTCATTCCTAATCCATTAAGCCCTGTTAATATCAACAATTACTTTATACAATGATAAAAGACAACATTGGGATTTAGAAAGAGATGCTTCAGTTTCATTTTTTTGATCGTGTAAAACGGAAAAATTAGTGTGCCTATCATGAATTAAATTCTGCAAGTAGCTTTATTTTTTTAGAATGTGGGTAAGAAGATTCTTGTCTGGAAAAGCACTTTCGCACGTGAAGGGCGTTGCTACTAATCTTGTTTGACGAGAAATGATTGTATACTTTCCTAATTGTTTCTTTATCAGATTTATCGACGAAGGAGATTAAGCAGCTAAACATCGCAAAAGCAGCACGATTCTCATGTTAAATTTCTCCTAGATAAAGCTGAAATTAATTAACTTGCTAAAAATAGCATCAATTTAATCTCTAAATCAAACTATAAAACGGATTTTTCGGAATTTCACACCATTGAGTGAAACAGAACCGAGAGTTTGTTGCATAATGTTGAAGGCTGATTCATCTATTTACATTAGAGCTTTGAAAACTTCATTTCTCAAAGGCAGTCTGATGTTTACCCACATTGCTCAATAGTATCATCTGTAATTGTTCTATGATAAGCTCACTTTATCCTTATTTTAAAATATTGTTAATAAGTGTAGGTCGTGCCTCGATCGCACTTTTGATGAGACAAAAGCGAGAGCTTCGTCTGATAATGAAACAGCACTTAGATCTAAAGAGTTTCTTAAATTTATTAAAAATATCAGAATTTAACTAAAGACTTCTTTTTAGGCGATATGGCAGCAGGAAAGAGTCCCACTATGGATAAGGCCGTGAGTAATATTTTATCATAATTTTGATCACACTCTGATTGTTTCCTAAGAATACAATACTTTATGTTACATAAGAAACATTAATTGACATGCGCATTTTCTCTAGTCATCGATGCTTGCTTCATTTTATATAGAAGTTTGAAAATTGCGAAGTTATATACTTTCAAAATCTTTAAAAGTTGTCCTCGAACCTTCCTGCTTATGAATTTTCATCCACATTTCAAGTAAAGGTGTCTAAAATGATCTCATCTTTTATTTTATCTGATAGCGTTTTTATATTACCAATTTTTGTGAAGATTTCCGTTAACCGATCTGTCGAGTGTGCTTTATATCGTATAGTTAGATATAATTCGGGCAGTTCGTTGATCTTGTAACTCGAATTAACAGCGTAGAACTGTTCTGTTTGAGGCTGGTTGTTTCTGAAACAATGTTAAATGATTTCCAGATGCCTTAAGAATGCTCCTTTGCAGTGCTGTTGTTGTCTTAGGAGAGCTAAAAAGCTTGCCTAAAGTCTTGGTACATAACACTAAATTTTTGTACATTTTATAGACTGCATCAGATATCTATGATGTTTAATATATATAATGTTTAACTCTCAATCAACATTGTTTTGGGGGAGATAGAGTGCTCTGTCAGTCTTTGTACTCGAAACTGTTAATTTTTTCAAAACATCACTTAAGCATTTCCAAAGACTTTTTGCAGGAATTATGGCCGTAGATCTTTAAAGGATCTTTTTGATCCACAGCTACTCAGTGCTAGTGACATCAAATGAAGGAGGTCTCATTGAGCCAATCGTTAACGCAGTGTCCTTGCACCAAATCAAGAAACGTAGCAAATTGTCTTTGCTCGGATACTTTCTCAAGGTAAAAGCTAAAGGCGGTAGTAAAGTTATATTAAATGAAAGGTATCTTCTATGAAAGAAACTAATAGTGTTTTTAAAGAACAGTTAAAAATTTTTTTACAATTTGTTGTAGACCTGGGTGGGTGCTAAAATGCTGTTTGCCGTTTTCCGCTAACTTTTATTCTAGAAAAATTACAGCCAAATTACTCTCTAATAGATGGGCTTCCCCGTGTATTAATTTCAGAAGCATTTGCCCTCCCCCCTGTCGCTTATTAGCACCCCCTTCAATTAAATTTTACAAATCAAGTCATTTGATTTTCATTATTCCTTGTTTTTCATAGTTTTTTGTAAAATCTCAACCGTACAAAGGAAACCGATGATTTGTGACTTGGAAGTTAAAAGCTGTAAATTTGATTTATCTTTGTATGATTGCAATTTTCTCTAAAACTATGCAAAAAAATGTAACCAAATTTTGACAGTATATTCTAAAAGGTACTTCAATTTCAAAAAAGGATTGCCGACATGAACACCCCCCTTCTACTAGCACCCCCTTCTATTGAAAACTGGTCGACATAAACACACCCCCTACTATTAGCACCCCCTTCTATTGAAAATTGGCCGAAATGACAACCCCCTTCTATTACCTCCTCCCCTTCTATTAGAGACACTAGAGTACAAGCAAAGTTCACGTTTTGACAATTTGTCTAACAGCACATTTTTAGAAAAGAGGAATGCATTGATAATTTTATCAAAAAAGTTTGGTTTAGATGTGTGACCACCATGCTCATGTTTTCAGTTATGGTTTCTCTTTATAATTGTCTTTTGTTGTCTGCAGGAATTTGGCGAGACGACAACAGAAGAATTTCTGACAGCTCAAAGAAACTTTGTTGAAAGCTGTGCAGGATATTGCCTCGTTTGCTACATTATGCAAGTAAAAGACAGGTAAGGTGAAGTCGAGGGTGTTATCGCTCTTACACAAGTATTCTTGGATATTTTTAAAGACTGCACAGAACGTAAAGGCGTCTTTTTACCGATTACTTTTTTATATTTTCTAATCAATAGCTGTACGGATCCTGTTGATTTTTTACTGGCTGCACACCACTGTCTTTGAGATCAATGAAAAAGTATGTTCGCTGAAGTTTCTCTGCCACACTTACTGTGTTCAACAAGCCTCTTTTAAGAATATGTAACCTAACAATATATTTACAAGATATTAAAAACCTTGCGAATGTTTCTTTTTACAAGTAAAGCCAGTCGACTCTTTGGATCAAATAGTTTAAAAAGTAAACGCGTACTGTGTTTATCAATTGAGCGGTCTAGAAATGATTTGCATTTTTTTAAATCTGCTAATAACTAGCCCAAACTAAAAAGCGACTATACCATTACACACAGCAAACTCAAAATCAAATTAGCAGGCAAATTCAAAGTTATAGGTTTCCTGGAGACTAATCAGCACTTTCCTTTAGGAATTAAGTAACCAGTGCATTTAGGATTTATCTCTCATTCTTCTCTTTGTTTTGATGGTTTTAGACTTATTCCGACTCATCATTTTTAACAAACCAAAATATTTTCAAGTAAACAGGTTTTAATGAAAAAGAAAAGATCGTAAACATGTGACTATTTGTGTAGTATATCACCAGTTAGTATATTGAAATGCAAATTGAATATTTAAAACGCATTTCAGCAAGGAAAACCAGGTGATTCGTCATATTATAGAGAAAGAGTTTCATTAGTGACCCTGAGTTAGTTCAGATTCAAGGTCTTGTTGCATATTGACTACTTATTCACTGACATTCAGACAGCGCACGATAACTGAAACTTTGACCTAAAGATCATCATTTGAATATGAAAATAAATTATGACGCACTTGATGAATGTTTTTGCTAAAACCTGTCTAAAATTTTACTTTGATCCAAGACTATTCTGTTTTATTCTACTTTCAGCTAACATTACATAGGTCATTGTGGTTTATAGTTTGCATTTTCAAATTTAGAACAAGACACCCTTTTGTCACGTTGGTCTTTTGGTTTTATACTTTGAGGTGTGTTGTTCCATAATGTGACGCAAAATCTTTCTACTTCAATTTTTTTAAATACAAAAGGCTTATGGCCTGTTTGGCTAACAACATCGATTGCAGAAGATAAAATTGATAACAGCAGATAAAGGTTATTCGGGGAACTCATTATTGCCATGATTTTTTGGCAGGTACTGCATTTCCAGTATTAAAATTCCAATTAAGTTAAACACTTGAAAATGTTAGGGGCTATTCTGAAATCGTGTGGCAAGCTACACTCTTTTTATACAATAATAAGTTAATTTTTGCCCAGGTTCGGCGCTCTTACTTTTTGGATAACTCAGTTGTTTTTAATGTTCTTTTTATTTCAGCATTGATTTTTTTTATCTTTATTCTGTTAGTTGCTCTTGCACAAGTAAATACAGTTTGCTTGGCATTTAGAGTAGCTAGGCGGATCATCTGATGAAATTTACTTATTTTAACAAATAACTAATCTACGTTTTTTTGACAAGAGGGTAGATTTTCAAAAAAACATTGTTATTTTTCCTAATTTTTTATCTGAGACTGGAAATCTCAATTTTCGACAAATCGAGCCTCATTGTTCTTCTAAAAAAGATTGTTTTTCAAATGTGAAAGACTTTTGGACATTGAAACCAAATGTTGTTTGATTTGGTCGATAATTAACGATCGTCGTGTTGGCTCTGTAACTAGAGTTAGTCTTGTTTTCGTTATCCAATGGGCTCCTTCAGAGTCTGCTCCACCATGGTGTTTTTGCAGTTCTTTCACACAATTATCCTCACTCAAAGTTTTTTGCACGTAGGAAATCTTCTTTACGCAATCCTTTCGGAGATTTTAACGATGCATATAATATTTTAGTTGTTAAGTTCTAGACAGCACCAGCAAAAAAGACTTGGATATTTTTCAAGGAACCTTGATAGATTTTGTTAGGAATTCCCTTCTTTAGAATCCCTTGCTAATGTTATTTAACCTAATATAAATTTCCTTATGTTACAGGCACAATAACAACATTCTTTTGACATCTGATGGCCGCATCGTACACATCGATTTTGGATTTTTCTTGTCAAATTCTCCTAAGAATCTTGGCTTTGAGAGTTCACCCTTCAAATTAACAGAAGAATTCATAGAGGTATCGCTGATAACGCCAATCGTAGATTGGTTTTATACTTAATCAATCGTCTTAAAATGTTCCTTTTTTGGGGGTAGGTCTACACTAGGCAGCAAATGATGCTTCGAAAATCAGTCGAGCGAGCCAGAAGCTGTCTGCCCTGCTATTTGCTTCCGCTAAACATTTCTTGTCAGTTCATTATGATTGTGGATTCAATATGATTGTTTGTATGTTCAATTCATTTTATGTCCCCTATTAGCTTTTGGTAAATACCTGTTCTTTAATTCAGGCTGACTCCAAAGAAGCCAGGTACTTGATCTCTAATATTTGCCATTCTCTTTAAAAGTTCTGGAAGGAAATGCCTTTTTCGTTTACTGAAAGGTTTAAAAATATTTAAAAACATTTTCAAATAACTGAAAAATCTCTTTAGAAACGTTATTGAGATAACGTGAAAAACTTTTGATGTTCGTTTGCTAACCTCTTACTCTGGAAAGCATGTTTTTGGTCGATCAATGCTACATTTTTAATACCCCTAGTGGTCTAAAACTATGTATGAATAATGAGTTAGATCTTAGAGCCTTTACCAGGAATGCAACCAACTGTCCGTTTATGCAAGCCAAAACCTGGAAATATGAGCGCCTATTGCTAAATAAGATTGCCATTGGTTTTGCAGTAGCCAGAATAGTGGATTAGCCTGGATACGACGCTTTTTCTTATTCCCAAACAATTGGAATTAAGCGTTGGATCTGTTTTATCCTTATTCTTGCTATTACGATTGCATTTGATTACCAACCCGCTAAGTACCTCTAGGCATTCATGTTAGTTATTTTTACAACAGTACCTACCTTTCTTTGCAATAGGATTAGGGATATTTCTGCAATACCCTTTTGTTAAAACACGAATGTATTGCTTTCTTTTAGTTGGATGTATTACCTCACATTCTCAATCGTGTTATTTTGTGACGGTATTTCAAACAATGATTTTATGAGCTCTTTCTCGCCCATACAAATTTTGCACGGAATCTTGCCCGTATTCATTTACAAAATTTAAATAGTCTCCAGGTATCTTCGAAGACGATTTTAAAGAAGTTAGACTCTAGGCCTGATTTCTATAGTTTTGGCAAAGTGGCAATAGATTAGGTTTTGCTCGCTATTGTTCACTTTTCTGGACTGCATGAAAAAGCGGAATCGTTGTACTGCCTTCTTATGTTCCTCCAAATTGTTCTCAATATGCAATATATGGTTTCGCTTTTTGTGCAGTTTGAGAATCTTGCAGTATAAAGGTATAGTTTAGATTTCCAGCTTGATCTATTTAGTGATTTCAAGGTGAAGACTTATCTCTTTTCGCTGCACCTGTCTTCTCAGTCATTAAGGGAGGATCCTAAATATATGCTACTCTAAGAAAGCGAACCTTGTGTACTGCAGAATATGAGATATTCACCCAGTCAGAGGATGGTACTTATGTTAATCTTTGTTGTAGATTGACATTAGATAGTAAATCCTGTAATCTTTGTGCATTAGATAGTAAATCCTGGGATGGTACTATGTTAATCTTTGTTGTAGATTGAAATTAGATAGTAAATCCTGTAATCTTTGTGCATTAGATAGTAAATCCTGGGATGGTACTTATCTTAATCTTTGTTGTAGGTAATGGGTGGAGAGGACAGTGACATGTACAATTACTTTAAAATTCTAATGCTACGCGGATTTTTAGCATCGCGGAAAAACATGGACAAGATTTTGCAAATTGTTGAGATCATGAGAACAGGTACTTCCTACGTTTTTTAATCGATTTCTGAACAATAATCTAGTTATTATTGAAATTTTCAACCACCAAGATATTGTAATGTTTTTTGGTAGCTTTAGGTTTGAATCTTTTCTGGATTTAGACACGGTTTATCACTTCATTTTATTTCAGGAAATTGGTTGCAACATCTTTTAAAATGAAATGTAGACATAAGCAGAACTTTAGAATCCATAAAGAATCTTGTACAAAACCAAGAATAGAATGGAGTAAACTAGTTAACAAATGGGAACATTCCGTTTCGTGAAGAGCTTTGTGAAAACTTTAAAAGTCAAAGTTATTAACCTTAACGAAAATAAAAAAGAGTTAATAGTTTTTGAATCTTGTTTGATAAAGGTTACTGGTCATTTGTTAAAGGTTTATATGTTTAACAAAAGTCTTTGTCATGCAAGGAGTAATTGTACATTCAACTTTCAATCTTTTTATAAAGTGAGGAAATGATCTAAGCTTATTTGACACTGACCTTTGTGACTCAAATTTAAAAAAACGTCACGCTTTAACAAAAGGGATTGTCCTGTCTTTCAAGAACCCTTAGCTAGCTTTTTGGACTTTGGGTAGAATTTTTTCATTTATTAATTACTAGACTAGCGGTTCTTGCTGTGCATTTATGCTTTTCAGTACTCGTCTGTATTCTCTGTACGTTACTGAAATGAGTGGTTATTCTGTATTTTAGGTTCTCATTTACCGTGCTTTAGCCAGGGAATGTCAACAGTGCAAGCAATGCGTGAACGGTTTCACCTAAACCTCACGGAGGAGCAGCTGTCAAAGCTCGTCGATAAACTAATTGAAGATAGCGTGCAGTCATTGACAACCAAACTTTACGACAGTTTTCAATATTTTACCAACGGAATTCTGTGATAGCTGCAATTGCAAAAAACGAAATTAGCTTTGAAGGTGAAAGCTTCTAACTGAGATTTTGGCAATGTCCACCTTGGTTACTTGAGTCAAACCCAGGTTTATGATGGTTAACGCTGGTAATCTCAGTCTTTGTTTGGGCAGAAACCTTGCCAGTAATAATGATGCCTTCTTGGAAAAAATGTGAATAGAAACAAAGGAATGATCTATAAATCACTCAGTCGTTATTGACAACTGTGCATTGGAAAGTAAATAGAAAATCAACAGAGCGATTAGAATTAGTAGTATAGATGTTTATATTGAAGTTAATAAACCGGCTTTGACAGATATAGAGATAGGGCTTTTTTTCTTTTAGTGTGTAATATCATGTGGCAGAAACTGCGCCTATGCTTGGGAAGGTGGCAAAAAATAGAAAACTGTTTATTATCCGCTAGGCAGGGCCAAGACCTCCTGGTCTTTTCGTTGGCGTGGCCTCTGCCTCTAGAAAAGGGGAAAAATCATGTATGGCTAAACTATAATAGTTCTAGGTTTGGTTTATTCACACTCAGTCGTAAACGAATTCTCTGTAAGTTTATAAAAGTAATGCCTACCAGTGCATCTTGGTGCAGAACAACAATATGTTTTCGTTCGCTGTTTAAATAGAGCTTAAAAATACTCCAATGAATGTGTTTCCCTTTGGGTGAATAACAGGTTCTCGGTGAGGATAGCTGTTGCAATTTGAATGGTTTTATCAGAATGTACGGCAGGTATTTTATCTCTTGAAAGCAAACCAATTGACTATACGTTTAAATGTCTTTGTGTATCACACCAGGAACCAAAGCATCCGCAATAAACCGACTGCGACTACGCGGCCTGTTCTTTATATTCGGCCAGTCAGAGACATCACGTGGTCAGATTTTCATTTCCAACCATTGGCCGGACAATATTCTCCTGAGAAACTTGACATTGCTCAGTCATTAAATTTTAAACAGCGGCCGTCCCTTTCAATTTGCATCTTTAAATACGAAGATTGGAAACCACAATTTCTAGCTTAGGCCTTGTCTACAGAAACGGTAAACAACCAATTTGCGTAACTTTATATTGCTATGTCAACAAAACGAATCATTTTGTCACATAAATAGTGTAATTTCCTTCCCGAATTTTCGAATTGCCCTTTGAGACACACCCTTTCGAAACATCTCACTTCCTCTGTCTTTGAAATGATCCAGTATGTAGCTTTGACAGTTTTTCTTTCGTTCTGGCAAGCAAAATAAAACCTGTCGTATAATGCCATATTTTTATATTTCATTAAGGTTCTACAATATTCTAATGAGGCATAAGTCGTATTTTCAAATGAAAATTGGTCACCTATAATTTGCCCTGCCAGCAACCGCATGTCAATTAATGCATACAATTAATCTTTTATTGATAATATTGAACAAGTAATTATATATATTTGTACCAAGCGTACGTTTTGATAAAGCAAGGTTGAATTTTCAAATATTGGTTTATAACTTCATATTTATTAATTAATTTTTCAGCTTTCGTTGCTTCGAAGTTATAATCAGCCATGCTAGCTTAACAACCCGTGTGTTTAGTTACGGAATTAAAAATTCAATTGAAAACAGTTATACTTTTCTTTGCTATCAACTTCTACATGGTATTTTTAAAGTGTATTAAGTTCGTCGGGTGGCAATGACGCGCAAGAAACTTCTCCAGTTTCAACTAAATTTTGATTTAACCGTTATTGTGTCAATTTCCAATGTCTGGATCCAATTAAACATTTCCAGCAAACTAGAAATCGGTCATGCTTAATGACATTCGGGTTTAATTTTAAATACTGGAAGAATTTGCCACTTGATATTTTAATTGCATTTCTCTAAAGTATTGATTGCATTTCTTTTGAAATTAAATGGCCTGGTCTTTTGATATTATACATAGAGTATCAGGTAGATATAAATTTAGTTTAAACATATCAGATATATTGATGTAAAAAACCTCGAGTGACTTAGGTTGTACGATCTGGCTTTGTTTGCTGTTGAGAATCTTCTTTTTAGGAGGAGCGTAAAGTAAATCAATATTTGATAAGAACCAACCGCCTGTTAATGAATGAATGTGGAGAGAAGTTACTTAAAATGTTGCTGGACGAGAGACACTTCCTTTGACAATGTACAATTTTGCATGGAAGGAGGTCAATAGGCAGAGCTGAGGGAAATCCTAGCTTAATGTTCAACCTAAAATAAAGGCTCCCCCTCCTTTCCCGTGTGAGTGTTCCCACCCATCCTGAGCTATATTTTCATGGATGTATTTGTCAGGAAAAAAAGGAAGAAATCGTCCTGATTCAGCGACGCTGTTCCTATAGTAAGATAATTTTGTCATTTGCTTTTTCGTTCCTGCCATTCTAATGTTCAATTTCAACAGTAATATTAATTGAAAAAATTGGGAGGGCTGGAGGATTTACATGAACACTGACATTAAAAACAGCGCCTAAGGCTTTTTTGTGTTTTGAAGGGTCAGTCAAATACTTGCAAACACTGCTTAGAATATAAGAAGTTTGCCTGTGAAAGCTACTCAAAATTACATTTAGATTAGTCTGGGCTGTTAGAGCATGAATCATACAAATTGTGATACCAGCAAAAATGCCCCAAGTGCTATTTTTAGACTGGGCCATATGTCAATACTGTTTTATGAAAAAGTGCAAGAGTAAAAAGTTGTGCATTCTCAAATATCAAAGTATATTAAGAGAACATGGAATAGAAAAATGATCCCTTAATGCTATTTTTACAATATAATTAGACGCGCGGGCACCATTACCTTATTCTAAAAAAAGCATCAAGGGGGGAATTTTTTGCTTGGTTGCTTAATATATTTTAACATATGATAATGCACACAGCTTTTAACCTTCGCACTTTTTCATAAATCAATAAAGGCATATTGAGATTGGCCCCATTCAAGGGCTGAGGCCAAGTAACCCTGTCTAAAATAGCTTTTCAGGGCATTTTTCGGCTTTTATCTGTTCGGCATCGTCACCAGCGTGTGAAATTACCCCCAGTTTATCCTTTTCCATGCTGGTATCATAGTTTGCACAATCCATGTCAAATACTGTGCTAAGAGTCCAGACTAGATCAGACAGATTCCCTACTGAATTTTTTATATATTCCTGTCACTACATATCAAAGAAACTGAATCCACATTTAAAGGACACTTATACATTGAGAGTTTTCAACGCATGTGATTGTCTTAGATGCGATGGTGTAACAACTGTTCACATGTGCGTTTGTATGAGCTCGTTTCCTACGACTTCTAATTGGAAAACTTCTCCAAGCTATACATCTGTGTTCAAATAAAGTAAGATAGTATGATATGGGGAGGAGAGAAGACCGAGAAACTTTTGTTGAATCTAAAAGATTTTCGGAATTTTTGCGATTTAAGCCCACCATTTTTGCATAGCTAAGTAAAAGTAAACACTTGATCTTTCTAAAGCCCCTGTATTAGACAGCCCAGAGTGTCTTAATGTTAGAAAGATTACTGAAAAAGAGACACAATAATTCATAAGAAAGATTACTGAATAATGATACAATGTTGAAACCTATTATCTTTTTGCCTTTTCCTTATATTTTCAAAGTACAATACGAATGTCCAGCAACCAAGATTTTCAGAAAACGTTAACAACTCCATTATTAAAAAATCATCTCATGATTTCATAAACAAGCTAGTTTTTAAATGCAGCATTGATTGTAACGTATTACATACATGAAAATAGAATGAAAAACTGTTTTTGGTATCATTACATCTAACCAGGAGAAGGGAAAATTAACATCTGATTATGTTGAGAAAGAAAAAGGTGGGACCAGAGGGGCAGAGATGGGCAAAGTAAATGCTTCTACAAACGTGGCAGACAAAGTGGGTTTAAAACCTGACATTTCTTTACATGCTGATGACGAGCATACACTATAGAAGACACAGATATGCAAGAATCAGGCAAGGTAAGGGATCTCGAATATGGGGTCCTTAAGGGGTTTACGCATACCCCAAGAAGTCCCGAAACGTACAAAACTATGCAAAAATAATCTTGCCTTTGACTCTTGACAGGTTTATTCCCACAAACTTTTGACCAGCCCCCACCCCAATACGTAATATTTACCACGGGCAAGATACAGAGACAATCTGGCGTGTTCCAGGGTCAGTTCCATGTAAACATGTCCTTCCTAGCAACAAATTACAAACGCACATGCGCAACAACCGAAGAAATTTGAGCGAGCAGCCGAGTTACGCGAGAAGATGGTTGTTTGTAAAATAATAGTTACAGAAAGCTGTGGAAAAGGTTTGTAAACCATCTTTTGTGACAATAAGATCTTGAAACTATTTATCGCTGTGTTATTATGCGTTGAAACAGGAACGGCTGGGTAGATCAGGAATATGCTTGTTGACGGTGTCATTTCGAAACGCATCGACAAATTTGTTAAAAGGAAATCTTGTTCCTGTCTACATTGAACCAATGCTAAGAACTTTTCTACTGTAAATTAAATGTGGCAAACTCATTGTTGAAGCGAAACCTTGTTATCAGTATTCTTTCAATTAGTTGAATACTTTGTGCGTTCGAGAGAACAGACAGGCCTCAGCCCGACTTGTGATCCAGCCAGACAGACTGCGCTATAACTTACATAGGTAGGCCTGTTTTAACGGCAGTGAAGGAATTTTCCCATTTTTATAATATTTCGGTCACGCCGACCTTTTTCATAAGAAATAAGATATATTGAAGTCTCGACTGTAATTTATTTATTTTGACTGGGTCTTCCAAACCCCTCGTTTGGAGACCATATCTAACGGTTTTTCTTCTCCCCGTGCTCTAATTGCTCATTAACAGAACAATGGAAATAAATTTTCTAAGTATTTGGCAACTCAATCTGTTTTGTTTTTCTGATATGTGAAGGAATCTAACATTAGCATGAAAAGGACTCGAGAAACTGCTCAAAAAATGGGTATTCTCCTATCAAGCTCTGATTAAACCACCAATCAATATAGCACTTAATCGCTCTTTGATCGCTCCTGAAATGATATTTTTAGATATTCTCTCGTAACTATACTTAACCAAAGACATACATTAACCAAACGTCAGGTATGAAGTTCTTTTGAATTGTTATAGAAAATTCAAATGTGATGACTGTTAGCAGTTTGAGAAAATCGAGAGCTTTGTTATTGTAGCAGCATTCCAAATTTAGGAATTTTCTCATTTTAAATTTTGAACGATCTTGCATGCTTATGTGTGAATATGGTAATTCTACCCCTTTTAAAAAGTTAACTTTTAAGCTTCATATTTTAGGCTACTTGTTTTAATCTAAGATCCTTTGATAACTAGAGGTAACAAGAAACACTGTCTGCAAAAAATCTACCATTAAATTGACACTTTAGTGTATTGAACAAGACAGTTTTTAAGCAACTTAGAACCATACACTATTTGACAGACTTTTCATCAACCCTGAAGCCCCTCTCCCCCCCCCCTTAAAAGCAACACATCACTTTTCAGGCCCAATCAGGCAGTTCTGTCTCAATATTTGGGCAAGATCCTTTCTGAGCCTCCTAAACATTTGTCACCTTTTTGACATCTGAACAGTAATAAAGACCGATATCCTACAGGGGAGGCTTCTCTTTCATAAATTAAATATTGGTTTTTACGGCATTTTTCCAACACAGCTTTTTGCAACCTATTGTTTATATAATATTTTTGTTTATGAGACTTCAAAATCAAATGCAAAGATTAGCTTAAAATCCTATATATGCATACAATGTAGAATTATTTTATGCACCAGCCAAAGAAGAAGACAATTTTTTACCAAACTGTGTGTAACAAACTGTGTGTGTGTGTATTTTCAGTTCTTTCTAGAAAATAGTCCCATTTTTTCAGTAATCCTCCTTTAAAGCTTATTTTGGTTAATCAGCCTCTCCTCTTAATGGTATTACTTATTCAGTGTTTCAGTTTTGAATTCTTAGAAACAAATCCATATTTTCTTACCCTCTTAAACGAAACACTTAACTTCTGTAAATTTTCAAAGTGGATTACTTAGTGAAAAGCAGAATTAATTTTTAGTGTTTCACAAAACAAGAGTAGTTTGCAATATTTAAATGCACTACAGCAAGAATAAAACCCTGAAGATACATGTCCTTCTCTGAAAGGAAACCAATCAGACTATACTGCCCTTACAACAGAGAAAAGGTTATACCAATGTATCTTGACATTTTTCTAAAGAATCATTCGGAAAAAGCATTATGTCTTTCCTTGTTTCGAAGCACTTTGTTTGATAAAATACGACACATATCTTCTTCAATATAGTTTTTTCTTTTGAGTTGTTTGCAACACAAAACACATTAGTTGCATGAAAAATTCCAAGATTTTGCTGTCACATTTTTTGTACTTTTTCGATACAGATAATTTTATTTAGTATTTCATAGTCATTGAAGGTCCTCTGGCTGGACTGAAAGAACCATAAATTATGCAGCATCAAATATTGTGTGCACAGGTACTTTCTATTTCAATGACTTGATAGGCTATATTCTGTCCTTCAACAGACAAGAACAGTTGCTGTTAATGGGTTGTAAAAAGCGTGTGAAATCCAGAAAGGATTCACAGTTTTTCACAGTTATGTTTACTGCACCCTAACATCAAGATCCAAAGACAAGAATAAATAATTTGGATGGCAAATAAACATTTTCTATCAGTTGTTCTAGTCAGTTTGGTTATGGTTATTATTTTCCAGAGTAGTTTTGATGTAAAGGTCTAGAAGTTAAAATGCTTCTACTGCAAAATTTTTCTTCCAGTGCCACCTGCTTTTAACAAGAAAGTTTTTAATATATTAGCAGGTTGATTTACATACAGAAAAGCTCAAGTTGTTTGCCCATAAGCTGGTTTAAAAGACATTGTAATGTATGCAATTGTGTCATTTTTTACTCAGAATATCTAAAAGACATTCTAGATACATACCAACAATTTACTACCAACACTTTTGACTTGGTAATTTAAAACAGACTTTGAAATTTATCCGAAGAAACTCTGCATAAATGTATGAGGGGGAGGATCTTGAGAGTACAGCCCTCCAACAGGTTGTTGAAAAATCTTTGGAATTACCAGGAAATCAAGCAGGAAGATAAAATATTTTTTGTACTTGAAAACACAACAGGCCAGCTGACAAAACTTTGTGTTGGTTGCAAACCCATGAAACAATGCAGAGGAGACATTTAGGAGTAGATACATAAACTTGGCTAATTATTTTCAGAAATGAACTTTTAAAAATCATATAATATACAGCAAAGTTATTCCTGAGATAAAAGTTTTATATTCTTGTATTTTCCAAATACTGACTCATTTTTACTGGTGTTCACAGACTCATTTTTCACCACCGTTTTCTAAGATTTACCAAAAATATGTGCTTCTTGGCTATTGTTTCTCTGGCAAGAGATTTCATGAGGCTGGTTGTATTCATATTTTGTACTCCCAAAATGTAGAGGAATATTGTTTTTTAACCTTATTGCATAGGGTAGGGTTCAAATATTCAGCATAAACTAAGAATTTGTTTTTTGGGGTCTGGCCATGATGTAAAGCAAGGGACATTGGGCCACTGAACAAGCTGTTATGGGTACCTGGTCAAGTTGCTTAAAAACATATTTTGGTGACAAAGAAGTCAGTGTTTGTAATTACATGAAAGTGGTAGGGAAATGAATCAGGCCTACAAGTTCCACTGGCCCCAGTTTTTGCTGGTTATTGTTTGATCATTACATTTGAAGATAAATTTGGTCGTCTTAACCCTGTCCACTGATATGCAGATATTTGTGAATCTTTGTTTGCATTAACAAGAAGTGCCTTCACATGAATTCTGCTGTTAGCATGCTTTTGGATTCCGTACGTTTTTCACCACAGCTCATCTCTGAATATTGCCTCAGAACATGCGCCATCAAGCATGAAAGCTCATTGGATTAGAAATTTCCGAAATTGAGCGTTCAAACGTACGTTAGCAGATTCATATCATATTCAAAAATCCTCACTCGTAGTCCCTGAGGAGTCAATTCAGAAAGTTGCGGATATGACAGTGTTTTCATCGAGTACATGTAAAAGGAAGTCCTATTTGCAAAATAAAATTTTCAAATTCAGAAATATTTCTATACATGTAGAGTTTGATAAGTTTGTTATTTATGAGTTAAGAAATTTCATCAAAAACTTGAAGAAGGCTATGTTTTTAAACATTTATTACTGTAAAATATTTTTGCAACAATAGTTTTTCTGATGTCTACAATGATAAGTGCTTTCAGCTGGGAAGTATCAGCTGTTTCTGGCATATGATTTCAATTACCAAAGTGTTTCCGAACATTCAGATTTTAAAGTTTTCAAAATAAAGCGGCAAAATTTTTTACATTTTGGAAATAAGCTCTTAAAATTTAACGCAGCTGTTCTCTTCATAGCTGTCCTCTAAAACATTCAATCATTGTTTTAGAAATCTCCCATTTACCCTTCACAGACCACTCTCTACTGCTTTACCTTGACGACTTTATAACATCTCAGTCTGCAAAAATAGACAAGGCTGAAGCCGAGCATTCCATTTATGTGAATGATACAATATGCGTCAGTAGCTTGTGTCATCATCAACTTGCGTCAATAGCTTGTGTTAAAATTGCTTTTGCAGTGCCTGTGCGAAATAACGATCTGGCATCTAATTATAATGAAGCAGTCTGTGGAATGATTTCGGTCACAGGGCCAGATGAATCTGTATGGATCCGGTCACAATAACTGTGGTGGTCATTTCTAAATGCGCATCTGCCCTACTTAACGTATACATACCAAAGAAAAAGTCTACTCTATACAAATTTACCAGTGCCGTCGGAACGAAATTCATATTGGGGAGGGGGCTGCCCGTTGCATTGCTTCCCATTCAGTTCATAAAGGAAATATACTACAGTTTGACAATTATTGCGGGGCTCCAGCCACCCCCCACCCAGCCCCCGTTTTCCAAGGCCCTCTTTACCCTTTCCGTCTCTCTATGTTATCTCTTCTAAGGATATAAATCGAGGTCAGCGTTAGGCCAGCGTTCCATGTGATTCGATTCTCTGTGTGATCATTTATAAAAAAATTTCGCAGTTATTGAAAGTTTGCAAAAATTTTCTTGAAAAAGTGAGTATGATCTTCTTGACATGCTTACATTGCATTCGTATAAGGAAGGACTATAATTGATGGCAACGATACTTCAATGTCAATCAAGCCGACGTTTCGTCGTTTAGGGCTCCTTCAACCAGCGTCAAGCGAGTTTATCTCCAAGCTTTGTCCGCTTTAAATGGTATAAATTTATCCCTGCGTTATTGCGATCGAATTTGATTATGTATTTTAAAGTACAGCACATCTGCCCTTCTGAATAATTTAACGCAGTATCATTATTGTGCTTCTGCACAGCTAATCATATTAGCCTTGAATGTTCCTTCAGAACAGCTTCTAAAGAAAATGACTGGCTGTTCTGTTTAAAGTGGATATTTTCTTCGTAGAGTGAATTCGGGATCATGGCTATCACAAGACGACGACTTTGTCACGTTTTCATGACACAATCTTCTCTTTACAGGTGATATTGCAAATCATGTCGTAGGATTATGTTGATGTTTTCTCTTCTAGATACTGTTGTGAAAAAGTGGACGACAGGATTGAATTAACGGACAGTTTTTTGGCCAAGCGTGGACAGATTTTAAACCAGTTGTCGTTCTATATTAAACAAACCATTCTTCGCATCGAACAAAGTAGAGGACTTTTAGCAGATTATTGCGGTAGACAGCTTTTTCGGGAAGATCAAGATAAACCTGTATACATATTGAAGCTAGTTTGGCAACGCACATAATCGTATGCAATCGCCTTTAAGTCGTTGTGGTCTTGGCATCATACTTTAATTTCCTAACAAGTCATTTGCTGGACTTCATTTACTTGTGGATTGATAGATAAGTTCCTGCTTTTTATGGAAAGGCTTTTGTGAAAGGATTTACTGGAATAGCCTCCGCTAAGTTTTAATTCGAGGAACTGATTTTTATTTGAGTTGGAAAAGGCCCATTGCAGCGTCAAAGTCGTCGCAATTCGGTTGTCATATCAATCGTTATCACAAAGAAACTCGCTGACTCTTCACGTCTAGCTTTTCGCAGCTGCCCTTGGTAATGCTAATTTTTCCTGCGATTTGTTCCTTATGTATTATTAACGATTTGGTCAATTTACACCATTAATTTAAAGATGCTACTGTGCCTAGCAAAGCTTTAACCTGCGGATTCTATCGCTACTGCACAACGGCTACGTGACCCTCTCGCAACTGCCCGGCAGTACGGCTGATATTAATGGGGGCCTAGCATGGGATGCACTCCTAGTAAGCAGGTGGAAGCTTCAAGAGAAGACAGCAACGGAAGTGATCACGGTATGTGTGAATATTACCATCTTAATCATTCTTCAATCTCGGAAAGCAAACTCCATCGATAAAATTATTGTGAGAACTGGACAGATTGTCGCCAACATGCGATTGAAGACCTTCCGCCCCAGGTCAATGCGACGCAAATATCTGCATTTTTAACGATGGCAGATATTGCATTCAAATATCATACATTTTATTTTTTTGCGGCTGAGAAACGAATTTTAATTTCAAAAGCTGCTGTTAAGTGATTAAAAGTATATGTGTCTTTAATCGTAGTGCTATCACTAGGGCACTTCACACGTCTTGCGAGTTATGAACATTACGTGACGTGTTAAAAAACATCTGTATCATACCAGCCCTAGTGGTGACGTTAGCTTGTTTACATATATCGCATGAAAAGTAGGGTAAAAAAGCCCCAGACAGTTTATAATCACGGCAAATTTTAAAATAGGATTTAGGAAATCGTCATATTGATAATCAGGTCACTGTAGTATTTATAATGTGTTTGAGGGTTATTTTCGCGATCCAGGGGGGGCGGCATCCTTCTAATTTTATTGCCACGCCCCTTTTTTCCGCACAGGCAATGCCACCGATCTTGTGCTAGTATCGGACGTTTTTTGGATCTCAAATCTTTTGCTTTTATTCTTCCAATTTAAAGCTGCATGAGCTCACCTTTTATCGCAAAATGGTAGTTTTCAGGGGCTGGTACATGTCTCTTCTTGCGAAGGATAAGTAAGTTTGGAATTTCAGCTGTGCTATTTACCACATTGATTTCTTACCGTATGATTTAATATCACTCACAATGAACTTTCATTGTCGACATTTCTTGTGTTGTTCTTTTTAAAGGATATATGACAAACTAACCCTTATGGATATAACGCTCATCAGTGTTTTACTTAGAAGATGTTCCTTTCTGGTTTTCTCACTTGCGATTGTTTGGGTCAGATGCTGTTATCTCCACATACTCTTCCAAGCAACAGCTTGCATTAAATGCTTGCGTCTTCCGAGCAGCATATTAACAGAAACAGTTCTCGCATGCTTTAGTTTGATCTCGTTTGACAAGCACTTAGTACAGTTACGTATGACGTTTTTTTCGGGTATTTTGTTTCGGCGAAGACAGTTAGATGCAATTAGCTGGCTTGTTAGATTGCTGGTAAGATTTGCTACGGCCTCACTTAAAATACTCCCCTTGGTAGATTTCTCTGCAAATACGTTGTCTAAGAGGTTTCTTTACTGATGTTTACAGCCTTTCGGTAACCAATCTATTAAAAATTTATTGAAATAAAATTAAGGCTCAGAAGATTTGATTCAAGAGCGTTTTGTCCTGTGGACGAAACGACAACAGAATGTGTGCATTGATTATTTGGACAGAAAGAGGTTTGATACAAATAGGTTTCTTCTATTTGTTGAAGCTTCTTCGTTCTAGCAAATATAAAGGTTTTTCTTTTGTTAAAGGGTGTTTGCTTGCAAGCTCGTAATATTTTTTATTCTTCAACAAACAAAAAAGGAAGTGAAATTTCTGGTTGCTTCTGCAGATATTGTTTTTGACAATAATTGGTTGAAACGAATGGTAACTTATTTATTCTTCTAGCAATTCGCTTTGATTTGGGCTTATGGTTGAGATTTAGTGAATAAGAATTGAAAGTTGTTGAAATCAGTCCCAGACTTGCCTTGAGCGCAGATTTGCATGAAATCAATTCTTCATAATATCGAAATCGCCCTCTCAAGTTGACAAGTTGAGGCAGAAGTAATTTTAACCTACTACAGCTAGCCTACAGTTTTAACCTACTGATCTACGGTTTTTGAATAAAATATTCCTAAATTTTTATGTTTTCCCATCATCTAATGGCATCATTAGCACGACTTTTATGAATCCACAATGTCATTTAACGTTCTTGGTAAAATCTCATTTGCATTCTATACCAATCCTTTTTTTAATTAATTTCATCTCATTTAAACACTTTTGCATCTTTTGTGATCAAAACACAACCTTGGAAATAAGCATCTCACTTCTTATTGCCAAGGTCTTGCTCAAATGGTACGGGCGTTTACACATAAACACACGCAGGCGGACTGGTCCGTTTAAGCTGGGCATGCGCATGTATATAAACAATTATTATCTTACTAGTCACATGTATAAACAAAACCTTGCTCCTTAGCCGGATAAGCTAATCTCATAAATGGTCAGTAATGATAACAATATTCGTTTTCACAATATTCGTTTCTTAATTTTCATATTCACGAAGCATCTTCTTAGCCTGTGGAAGCAGGACTGTAAAGACAATTGAAAAGAAATTAATATTTTATTATGTTTTGATTTTGCTGTTTTTTTAATATTTGTTTTTTTATTAACAGACGCTTCTAGTTGTGAACAAGTTTTAAAAGATCACCACCAAGGTGTTGGAATCAATGGGAATTCAAAGAGTACCTCAAACGGTTCATTCCCAGAGAAGAATAAGAACAATAAAGCTAACTCGGTAGGTTCCAGCTCTGCATACATATAAACTTAGTAATAATGAGACTGATTGTTTAAAGGTACATTATATAGTGCAAAGCTTGACAAAGGCGGTTCTAAATTGGTACTTCGTGCTTCACGCTTATACGATCATACGGCAACTGTCTATACTATTCTTTTTAACTTGGAGCTGAAGCATATCTGTAAATGTAAATTTTATATATAGTATTAACCGATAGAGAATATACATAGTTTAAACCTATATAGATATATTCATATAGATAAGTAGTTGCCTGGTGGTTGCGTGAAGCGTGAAACGCCTCTAGAACTCTCCTTTTTATACACCAAAGCGTATATTTTTATCAAAGGTGCATTATATAAATATTCAAAAGTTGGCTTGAGAAATTCAGAGACAACGCTTTCCTGAAACGTTTCCTTTGCAGATTCAATTTCATTCATTTTAAATAACAAAAATAGAAGTTAAAGTTCCAACATATACGTGAAGTAAAGAGTCTACATTACGCTTTTAAAATCTTAATCAATAACAGTAATTGCTGATATATAAATAGTTACAAATTAGCTTCATATAATAATTTTACTTGTTGGGCAGTAATCGCATATTCACTGGCTGATTCAGCAGGATATTGCTTGAAATGCAGTGTGGGCTGTAGATCATAAAATTGTTTACACCCATGCAATTGGACAGTAAAGTAAAAGAACCTTTCGAAAACATTTGTTGGCGAGCGATTAATTGGTATTCAAACTGTAGGTGTATACACAAAAAACCACGTAATATAATTTAAGTGTAAATATGACGCCAAACCATTTCACAACCTGCCTTTTTTGCCTTGTCCTTATCTTCGTCACAGACGCTTCAATAAGGAAACTAGCCTAAAATCTTCTAGTAAAGCGTTGTCAAAAAGCGATTTCCATCTGCTGTATTCCAGATGTATGCGCCATTGAGCCTCTGTCAGTAGAGTTTTTTGTGTTTTTCATCTGAATCTACCTCAGAGAGTTGCCCGTCACTGTTTTTCTTGACGTCAGTCCTCGGCTAACAAGATAATCACTTAAAAATAATTACAATCCTTACCTAAAGTCTTCTTACATTAAACACTTTTATTACTTTTTTTTACTGCATTCCCTCTCTTCCATTGAACAACCTTGTTGTATGCGATGTTTCGGAAGAAATGGTTTTTGTTTTTGGTGGAAATCGGGGCGGTGTCGGTCTTTTTACCAGAAATAGCTATTTTTTTCATAAGAACACTTAAAAAAACTGTATGTTCCAAGGACTTTGGCATGGATTGTAGCCCACAGAAATTCCCGTATAAAATGTTTTCAGTTGCCGTTAATTGTAATTTATCTAGAGAGAGAAGAAAAATAAAAGTTTTATCCGGCTAGTAGTTCTTACTCAATCTATTCTGTAGTTAATGTCTCCCCCTTTTTAGAGTTCATTAACTTCAAAAGGCTCTTAAATTCAATGTTTGCGAAACATTTTTCGCAATGAAATAAAAGCATCTCTAGCATGTGACGGAATAAACCTGTTGGGCCTTAACGTTGGCTTATTATGGACAAGAAAAGATCGAAGAAATAATTTATTACAAGTCAAAATAATGCAACGATGTCGGGTAGAGTTTGAGATACGGCTCACCGAAGCTTTGGGAATAATAAAACGTGCCACCTTAACCGAAAAGCTATTTGCAATTAACGAGTGTCTGGTCACTTGTTCAGGAGATCGATCATGCCCGTCTTTCAGACATGCACTAGCCCCGTTTCAGGGTCATTGCACATGCGCATTATCACTTGAAGCCCTGGCGTGAAGTTCAAGAGTCGTGTGGTCCCAGACAGAACCGCTGTGCGAATAGAGCCGCTATTCCGTATTATTAAGGAATAGTAAAGCTTATGCCGATCCGCGTTTGCTGTAGCTCCATGTACTTCTAAGATTATCTGCAAGTCATTTTACCCCATGTTTATGTGGCTCGACTGCTTTTGCTCGTAGATTCCCATTGTTTTTTTTAATTTACAAGCAATTAATGTCATGCCTGTATCTAGTAATTCATTGTACATTATCTTTCTTCCATATTTCCTTGTTATATCTTCTTGAATCAGTGAATCAATTTCAAATTTTCTCGACAGAATTCAGATTCAAAAACAGCAAAATCGAGGTAAGTTAGGCCTTAGTGATTTTCATAATTCTATCACCTTTGTTTTTATAAATTTCATTCTGTTATTAAGGAATTTCTATGACGTAAGAGAAGCATTGAAATTTTCATTCATGTTTAGTAGAGAGGGAACGTTTTGATGCTCAGTTAAATCTGCTGGTTGATAATGAAGATACTGGTTGCCAGCTGATATTGATAATTATTAGTTTTAATCTGTGCTTTATTTTAAAGAATGCGGCTAGTTTAGTTGGGTTTATCTGAATATCCCTATGTTTTTATGTGACTAGCATGTTCTCAGTTTTGGTCATACCATACTCGACTCGAAGTTTCCTGGTATTTTCTCAGTTAATACTAAGAGGAATTTCTGTCCTAAGCATTTTCATGAGTTTAATTTTTTATTGGTTCTACAAGTATCTATCATCGAAGTCAGTCAACCTGTCTTAGTGGTGCATCTTGGGTCGATCCAGTCTTCTAAGAAAAAGCAAAGCAGTTTTTGTCAGTTCCAAACCAAGACTTAAATTGGCCTTAAAACGAAGCTTTTAAAGTATGGCAATTTTTTTAAAAATGCACCTGTGCCCATGTGTTGTAGAGCACTGCCTAATAGGTGCTTTGTGTCTTTACAACTTGCACTGCTAACTCTTTTAAACTGTCTCCCCAAAAAGAAGATTTTATGAGTATATTTTACCAATTTTTTTAATAATTCACGTTGCAAACATACAAGCAGCTTTTACATGTATTTCCTGGTCTAGTGTAAATCGTAATTATACTTTGATTGAAAGCCTTTTGTTTTTACCTTAGGCCAGTTCTGACAACTTCAAAAACAGAAAAGTAAGTAATGGAACGTGTTCAGCTTATCAAATATAAAGTTCTTTTAGGATTAAGTTCAAATTTGAATTTAATGCAATTAGTGAAAACGTATTATGTATTTCCCTATCCAATGCATACATTTAATTGAAAGCTCACTGTCTTAATGAAGTTGACGATCTTTTCAAAAGTATCTTGCTTTGGTAAGGGTATAAAGGTAAGGGTAAGAATAAGGGTAAGGGTAAGGGTAAGGTTAAGGTTAAGGTTAAGGTTAAGGGTTAGGGTTGGGGTTAGGGTTGAGGAATGCAATGAGGTAGGTTTAATTGCAATAATTTCTCCACTGATTCGCTTCATCGTCAATAAGTCATCTGTTTTTAACTCCATTGTTTGGACGTCATTTAAATAAGAGTTTTAAGTTTCAGTTTTCAGATACTCGGTTTTATAGATGAAGCTTTTCATTTATTCGGTTTCAAAGTACTGTTAATATGGATATACATTGTGCAGTCCAACGATTTTGTGTATTTTCTTTGTTCTACAGACATAGTAATGACAGCTACTTTTTGATCAAGCAATGCTAAAACTGTTGTCCTGTCGTTAAATGAATCGTACTCGAATCTCAGCTCTTATATATAGGTTAAATCACCGAAAAAAGGACCTACTTTTCATGAGTTGAACTGTCCTTGAGTCTTGTTTAATGTTGCTTATAGGAGTGACCGAGTCAAAGATTCTGAAATCAGCTCCTTATCTTAAGGGTTGTATATTTATGATAAATTTGGTAGGCGATGCTTTGCAACTAGGGTGTCTCTTTGTGAAAACAGATGGTTTAAGGGATTTTTCTTGTGATAATAAGCCTTGTTATTTTTCAGGCTAACATAGCTCTTAAACACAAGGTTTTTCAAAACACACGCTTTCTCAAAGAAAGACAGCCTTTAAATAATTAAATTCTTAGTTGCAACTTGACTAAAATGTAATATATGAGAACTGTACTGTAACATCTGTTATGCTTGGTTTTTCTCAGTGATTTCTGTTTTTGCGAGGCCTGTTTCTGATGACTACCTCTGGTTTGTTTTCAGGAAATGCACACAGTCTCAGCTTGATTTCTTTGAAATGTTGGACAAGAAAATCGAAGCGGTAAATTTGATTGCAAATGATTTCTTTCGGAGTATTGTGTTTTGCTAGATATATTTTGGTGAACGACAGCTGTTTCTCCAAATAATTCAATCGAAAGAAGTTTTCGTGAAACACAAACGTCATTTTGTATTTTGAAAGCTTGCAAGAAGTTATCATTTAGTTTGATGATTGCTGATGACTGAAAAAAGGGCTGATTGAATTTTTGTCGGTTTATTTCTTTCTTGTTTGATTAGAAAAGATTTGTTTTATTTTTAGTAGAAAATAAAGAGACAAGTTTCAAAATCTCCAGAATAAAACGAAAGCTCCTATTCTAACTAAATCTATTTTCTCCTAATTTTTTATTGTATAAGACATGATTGTTTATAAGACATTGAATACTATTTTCTATTGTCATACTCAAGACAACCTTTGGTCTTGCCAATCTGCATTTCCTACTAAATTTTTCCTTGAGGTTTAGTGTGGCCTCGTTTCACAATTGTCTTGTTTTATTGTCGCCTCGTTTCGCAATCGCCTCGTTTTCATCATAACTTTACAGTGTGCAATCAGAAATGCAAACAAGATTATGTCTATCATTTTTAATATACAATTTATATAGTCATGCTTCGTCATTCCGCATAATTCTATCTTTGTTGTCAAATATTTCCAGAAACAATTTAATAAAATTGGCAAACGAGCTTAGATCAGTATAAATACGTGTAATTATTTTGGCTGCAACCTCAAGTTATTCTCATAAAAGAACTACTGGCTCATTATTTCTTGATGGAGGTTGGTGGGATGGATGGCAAACAACCCTTTTACCGACATTTGTGTTGAAGAGTTTTAACTTATTTTATTTATTCAATAAGAACTTCAGGATTATTGGCAATTTAAACTCTAGTGTCAAAATTAAGCCAAATAATCCGGCTGAGCTTGTCAGAAACGCTTCCCGAACAGCAGACGGAGGAAAAGTGCGAAAATATTCGAAAATTGGCTGTTTTATCGTCGTGTCTGATATTTATTCGCAATGTTGGATTCCCCTCAATTTTTACCTTACGTCTTAACCGAAACCTCATTGCTCAGGGTGTGATTAATACATTTGACCCAGTCTTCTGCTTTATAATGTACTTCATTACGTGTCATTCAATACTAACAAATTTAATTCAGGAAGCCTCTATTCCTACTGTTATTGTTATATCAAGTTTTTACCTTGTATCTATGTAAGCTAAAAATATACGGCTATGCTTCTATTCATGTTGACACAAATTCGTAAAATCCAACTTGAAGTTAATGAAGCTGTTTATGATATCTGCAAGTAGGCCACTTTATTAGATAAAAGATACTACATTTTTGATATATTACTGATGTATTATTTAAGTTTTTATTTTATCGATTGCTTTGTTGCTTCTAGGGACCTGATTATATCTCTGAAGATGAAAGAGCCAGCAGAGCTTGGGCAGAGGCCAGGTGACACCTTGTCAATGCAAGTATAAGCTGAATGTGTCCACAGTATAAATATTTAGTTCATATTCGCAACAGATGGCCCTGTTTTTGACGAAAGTCATCGCCGAAAAATAAGCCACTAATCACTGGAACTGTGTTTTTAATTTGTCAAATAGATATGTTTTTGTCGCAACTTTTCGTTTTTTGTAAGACATCGACATACCGTATTTCCCCTAATGAACGCCGCCCTCTGAAAAACGCCGCCCTCTATTGAACGCTGCACATTCAGGACTCTGGTGAAGACAAGGATATTGACATTCCTTGACATTTCCATAACGTGAACACATCTTTTGTGAGCTTTAAAAAAAATTCACAGAATCTTTATTATGTGTTTTTGGGAAAAGAAAACATTGTTTAAAGTCTGTTTTTATCTTTTCCATCGCACTATTCTTGTCATTTTTCATTTTACACAATTTTTTTATTTGTGTCAAACGCCGCCCTTAGATAAACATCATCCTCTACTAAACGCTACATCCAAAAGTTGGATTTGGTAATTAACGCCGTGGCGTACTTTAGAGGAAATACGGTAGGCCAATAGCTTCCAGCTGAGCTAGATGGAAGACTCTAAACATGCTATTTACAATGTTGGAGATATGGCTGAAAACTAAAGTTCTCGATGTGAAATATCTCTGTTTGGTTTAATGTTCCATGCATGGCGATTTGATAATGTCTGCACGGAGTCTTAACCAGGGATGATGTTTATATGGCTGTCTATTTTTTACATAAAAAGCAAATACTTCAATCCAGTAACCCTTTTGGAATCAAATCCTCACATAAAATGTTCTGTTTGAAACAAATTGTGATTCATGTGATATAGGGATGTTATCTTTTCATCAATTTCTTTAGTATAGGTGTGTTTTCTTGCGTGTAAAAGTAGGTAAATGTCCTATTTCGACAGACTGTGGTTGATATTCCACTAAATATATTTTTCAGTCGCAAAAATCACTGTTTGTGTTGAAGTCTTGTCAGTAAAATTTGCAAAAAACGTTTATCTGGAGATTTTTGTCATTTTTACGGCTCTATATGTTCCCTTAGTAGCAATATATTTTTTATCCAAACCAAGGTGATTTCAGTTGCGTCACCAGCCTGAAGAAACGGGTGGACAAAATATTTTCTCGAGCTCGCCCTTCAGGGTCTCGGAGAACGTAGGAAATGCTTTGTTTAGTATTTTTTATCTTTTTCGAAATTTTTAGAAAAGCAACTGTCTAAAGTAGCATTTTTCGTAACGGGGGCTTTTTGGCAAGAACGAATATCTAAATCAATCTGATCAAGCCCCCCCCCCCCCTCAAAGGTTTTTCAACGGATCTTGAGAAATTAGAAAATTGACCTTTTGTAAAACTGGGATGGACATGTTTACCTCAGTTCACCCCGTGGCAACGCCACTGGGTGATATTTCCAGTAAAGAAAGCAGAACATGATTTCAAATCAAACTTAAAAGACAGCTGCCCTCCACACAGATTTCCTACTTTTAGTAGGGGTGTATTAAGTAAAGAACTGGTAGAAATTATTATTTGTTAGTTTTGTATGTCGCGTGTTTATTCAGAATTCATGTGTTAGTTCAGCTGCAATCTAAGCAACACTTACAAGAACAGGTAGCAAGTCACACGCCAACACAACTTAATTCATTATCGTCTCATGTTTGTTGCTAGAGTACGTTTGTGACGTCAGTGCATCAAAATTATTCAGAAGCTAAAACACTAAGTTACTCACGCTACCAATGAAGATAGTGGAATATGAATTTGACTTCGTTTAATAGCCATTATCCCTATGATGTCTCAAGCATAATGTGTAGAAGACGCATTTATGTCACTACCAATGGCGGCGCTAAGATATGGAGTGGGGGGGGGGGGGGGAAAATTTACATTTCACGCCTTACATTTTTACTGTCAGAAAACCCTCTTCTACCAAGAAGGAGTGCCCATGTTATCAACAGGGATTGGCAATAAGCAATTTTTCGGTTAAATTGTGGCATTTTCAGAATCATAAAATTAACGAAAAACGAAGAACTGAAAAAATATCCGCCAACATTCCCCTCTCGAATTTAGAGGAATTAAAAGACAACCCTGCCGACAACAGGGAGAAAGAGTCCCCCAGTCCCTCCTATGGCGTCGCCGTTGGTTCCTACTAAACCACCCTCCTACGCAGAATTATCGTACTCATCCAATTTAGAATATGTGTTACGAATATTTTCAATTTGAGTGCAAGCTAATATCATCAATAATCATAGGACGAATAAATGCATTTTGTATCTCCATATACTCCTAACAATATCCGTTAATGGAGCTTAACCTGCGCTAAGACAAAGAACAATTTTTCTACTACAGTCTTACCACCGTTGTATATGATCACATTGTTTGTTTTTCGTTGTAAACGTAAGACAACGTTGTAAAGGTTTCAAATCGTATCTAGTGTGAATGCTGAAGGTATGGTTCAATAAGAGATTTAAAACAACCCCATTACCTTGATTTTATACCCTTTAAAGGCTTGCTTCTGGCAACCATCATTTACCTCTGTGTGTTTTCTACCCTGGCGAATATGAAAATGATATTAAGGAGGGGGGGGGGGGATATAACATTAACCGACAACAGTTTTATCAATTTCCTCATTTTTTCCATCTGCTTGGTTACCCAATGTCGAACAATTTAGGCTAGATTTTCAGCACAGATCTAGTTAAAGTGAAACCCTAATTTAGTGTTCTGAACATCTGGCTTAATCAGCAATTTGAAATCTCACGAATTTGTTTCTATCACGAATTCTGTCAGATATTTTTAATTAAGGCTAAATAAGTTGCTTCGCCGGGTGATTTAGACGCACATTCCCTTAATAAAACTACTAGTTTTCTCCAAGCCTCCCAGTTCCCAAAAAGTTCCCAGTTCCCACTTACGGCATTCAATGCATGGTTGTTAGCAGAATGTTTTTCAGATACTGCAGCTAAACATTTAAAGTTGTAATGCTGAGTTCAAAGGAACTTGTTTTTAATGTATGTGACGTCTTTAGTTTACACGTAACGAATGCAGGTCGCTCATAGATATCTTAGATTTATGTAATTTTGGTAAGCTGGTGTAAAACCACGTTTTCGTATTTAAGTATACAGTTAGTTAAAATCGACAATGTCATTAGAGAATTGCAAACTTCATGGTTGCTTGAATGCATGTGTGTGGACAGTCTTAACGCTAGTATACGTAGCTCTTCTATCCCGTGTTATGGTCAATTCATGTAAGAAAACAATATTGCTCAGTTTGTTTTGGACGGCAAATAACAGGCCATGTTCAACATAAGCTATCCAGGTAGTAAAGACCCCTCAAGCACTGCAATGTTCTATTGTTTTTAAACGATAGGTTTTTGTCAAATTTTTAATAGAACAAAGACTTGACTCCAGAGTTAAGGTGGCCAAAGCGAGCATCCAATTCAATTGGAAGTAGTTGGAGAAAACTTGTTCTTGAAATAGCAAAATATGGCGACGGAATTTGCCAAAACTATCTTCAGTTCAATTTCAGTTTCATTTTTATTTAGCAATCATCCTAAATTCAAAAACAAATTATCAAATGCAAAAGGCGCAAGTAAGGCAACATTGCAATTTCTATCTACAGTATATGCAAAACCAGATGACCCAAAAATAGAACATATAAATGCAGAACACAGGAATGAAATTTGTAGTAAATAAGCATTAATCCAAAGTTCTTTCAATTTATTTTTTATAATGGAAATAGTGTAGGCAATTCTAGCATAGCAGATGATGGTGCTCCATAGCTTTGAGTCATAGTACTGCACTAATCTTAGACCATATTGTATTGTATTCTAACTTGTTCTAAAGATATCAACTCTAGAACCTTGACGAGTCCCATATGAGTGGAAAGCTTGGCTGAGTGGGAAAAAATTATAAAAAACAGGGGGAGAGAACTTATTTTTTGGTTGTAGCAAAATTTAAAGGCAATCTGTCTCGTTGTGGATTGGTTAACGAGAACAATAGCTGGAACAATAGCCTAAACACAATTCCACCGCTCCGCCATATTTTTTACAATGCGATAAATTAACGGGGAACTGGAAACAATAAAGAATCCCTTTGTTCTTATAATCAATCAACGTCGTGACAGATTGCCTTTAAAATTAGATCTTTGAATGTGTGAACTTTCATAGCATGAAATATTGACAATGACGGGAAGACTGAGTGGAAAAGATAGAAGCTATACATCTCAGAACATTGTTTTGCAGAAGAAACAAATGTTTTTGATCAGTTTCATACGGCAGACCCCAATACTTTATTCCATTGTTGAGAAAAGGTCAAATGGGGGTCATGGCCCGGTGCATCCCTAACATTGTGCCTGTTCATTCTGTTCATGTTTGCAAGAAATGACAGGTATGAAATGTTCAATATGTTAAATCTGGGCTTAATGAGCCCAGAGGGGCAAATAACCAAAGACAGTTGTGAATTAAGAGCGAAGTAGGGATGTATGGGAAACCCTAGGCAAGGGCTGGGTAAGTGGTTAATAGTTAGGGCCTGTGACGTCACAGATGTTTTTGCCGCCTTTGTGAAATCACAGGGAACCGCGCTGCTTATCATTCGAAATTGTCATGATGGCTGTAAAGAACATCAACAATGGAAAGAAAATTTGTGGAAAAAGAGCAGCCCTTCAGGCGCAGGAGAACCGTCAGCAGCAGGTAGCATTTCAAAGAGATTGTTTATATTTCTTTCAAACCATATTCCTTGTTTTCGGCTACTTTTCACCTGCACATTCCTTATCTCTATGTAGGAGACTTACGGCCTAAACAACAGCGAACCAGTTACCATTATCAACAATTTCTC